CGGCAACAGCGCGGTGAAAATCCAACAATGAGCGAACATCAAACCCCAGCGCTACGTCCCTCTCGTCCAGTCCCTCGGAGCACCTACCTTCGAGATCCTCCAGATATCTCCCACTCAATACCACACTAGCCCTCCCCCCCCCCCCCCCTTCGCTCCTGCCGCGTCACGCCATATGCCTATACCCTCATCATCGATCCACGCCTCGAGTCAATGCCACTTATATTCCTCAACTTTATTTATAACCTCAATTATTTCCATATTTGTGTATTTATGGGTACACATGAGCGTAAGGCATGTACGAGACTCCCTATATTTGCTCTGTGGAAAACGGGGAACTTACATTTTTTGAGGTTCCAATGAGCGACTGTAAAAATCATCCCCCTCTACAATCAAAAGTATCCTCCTTTTCTTAGGTGTCGTTGCGAAAACACATCACCGATTGTGTCCGTCGATGTTCGTGTTTGTGGCTATGGTTTCTCAAAACACCAGTACTTTAACTTTCTTAACTTTCTTTCGAGGTCGAGCCTTGGGGGTGGAGAGGAGGTGAAAGAGAAGATAAGGATCGCAGCCTAGTTCGCAGTACTAGAATTAAGTTACGACTTACGATGCAAACGAAACAGGAACAGCGCCCTTACTTAGTGTCGAATGCGACGAACACTCAAAATTCAGTTTAACTCCCGGCTGCATGCAACTATTCGGGCTCTATGGATGTCCGTGTTGCATACGCACAAAATTGAAGGCGTTTTGACCGTCCACGCATTCGTCACCGCGCCGCGACCACCGTTGGGTCCACCGTTGAGTGGAATTTAGTGCAAGGATCCAAAATGGTACAGCGCCTTCAATTCTTCGTTTATACTGCGGAAATTTCTCCTAGGCTTGACGAATATTTGCATTCAGGCGTAGGATGTGGGTATTATTAAGCTTCTGTTTTGATATCTCGATGAACTGAGCATTATTTGTTGAGCAAGCATTCATGCCTAAGAGATGCTTTCGAAGTAAACATGAAGAATTGAAAGTTCTCTGTCACTTTAGAGCCTCGTAGTAAAGCCCGATGCACAATAGAATGAGCCTTCATGAGAGGTTGGACGTGAAATTTTCGTTGATTTTTTCACATTAAAATCTGTATGGGGTGGTTCCTTGGAGGGAATTTTATGGAAAAATCAATGAAACAATTTTTAAACCCTGTACATTCCGTATCAGCATCGATATGAGCTTTTAATTTTTCAACATTTTGTCCGACTCCTCTCATTGACTCGCTCCACTGGTGAGGCGATTAGTGTCTGAAGTCAAAACGCCTTCACTTGCGTGCGTATGCAACACAGACATCCATGAAGTTCGAATAGTTGCATCCAGGCGTTATGATGAAATTCATTCATATGCGACTCTAACTGAAGCTTTGATTGTTTCTCTCACTTCTTTAGTTAATCCCAGACGTTGTCAATTTTTCCCGAAATGCATTACTCAAATGTATTGCAAAGTTGCCGGCCCTCGAAATCACAGACACATTCAGGCATTAGGTATCTGAGTTCGTCAGATAGAGTTTTCTTTATAACTTATTTTAATGAGCAGTCCTTTGTTTGGATTTCTCTGTTTTTTTATCCCTTTGGGGGCACTGTCTTGACGTTCAAGTGCGAAATTTTCATAGAACAATCCCCATGAATCGCACAGAATTTTGAACAAAAACGATGACCCATGGTCTTTCGAAAAAATGAAATGCGACAGGATATCTGTAACATCACAAGCCTAAATACACGTGATTTTCTAGGCGCAATGGCTAAACTATAGCCCAATATAGTCTGGTAAATGAATTTGTGAAAATTCTAATATTCTCTATGCCTGTTCCCTTCTAGAATCTGGGTCACGTCTAGTCTTTTTTTTTTATATCCAAAGGGTTTTTTCTAAACTTTGAATTTTTTGACAGGACAAGATGTGTGCCTGTTCAAACTTAAAGATACCTCTGACTCGAATTTTCCCCCTTATCCAATTTACTTCTATCGTTTAATTCAGCTCAAATACCGCTATTCCACTAGATTCAACCATCAGCCGATTTTATATTTGGGGGGGGGGCGGTAATTCTTCGTTTCCCGGACGAAGGAACATAACTCAATTTCAAGGTTACAAAATTGACCCATACAATTCTCATTCGTACCAAAATATACCTGTATAGTTTCGGCCCAAATTTATTCTGTTTTTAGTATGAGATCAGAAAGAATATCAGGAAAATTTTCAGTTAGAAATGCCCAAGATTCTCCTAGTAAAAAAATAATTTGCGCGAGGAACTTTGGCAGCATTGGAATACAGTTACGTTCTTTCGTGAAAGAAACGACGAAGCGACCGTTTTGCTGGATCGTTCGTCAATGGTCAATGGAGGGCATAAAATCCAACTTGGTTTGCATCGCGGCCGGCGGATGAATAAGTCAAGAGTGAGCAGCGGGCAACAAATCCCGATCCGAACGGAGGAACATCGGCAGAAGTTGCGGTAGCGGAAGAGGCAGATCGAGAGCAGGCTGGAATAAAATGGTGGCTAATTTATAGCATCTCTTGAGGAGGGATAGTAATTTAGGTAGGCACTAATTAAGATTCAAGGTGGAAATAGTGCAGTGGCGCGGCGTGCTTTGCGATACATCGATTTATCCGCCATTTAAACCCGTGGAAAAGAATCGACAAACACGGCGTTCTCGACGAACACCTTAGTAATCGATTCTTTACCATGGCTTCAAATGAGAAGTATCGATAGTTGTCCATTCACGCTTCGCCAATGAAATAGTGGCTCTGTTGCCGGAATGGGACTCCAGCAGGTCGATTGGTGAATCGATCGAATGATTTCGGTCGATATATCCCTATCTTAGCAATGTTTTCTATCGATCGAGGTCGTTCGATATCGATCAGTGGCGTGGCGTGACTTGCGATATATCGATTTTTATGCCATTTAAACCTATGGAAAAGGATCGATAAACAGGGGTGTTCGCAGTGAACATCTTAATAATCGATTCTTAACCATAGGTTTAAATGGCATGGTAATCGATACATCGCAATTCACGCCACGCCGCTGATATCGATTCAACAATCGATCCGCAAGCACGAGTGGAGTGGATACTCCAGAGTCGGCGTTTTTTTCCCATCTTGCCGCAACCATGGCGGAGGCAAAAGTTGCTGTTTGTGCATAATAATGTGTTTTACGCAGTGCGATGTTATGCGAAGCGGGAGGTGTTTGTCAACAATGGTGGTGGGCTGTTTTGAGTAGGAGTGAGAGGTTGAATCAGAATCAAGATCTTGAACAGGTGAACTGGGAGCAGGCGCAAGACAAGGGCGGAGGGAGAGGTGGAATGTGCTCCAGTTGAAACTGCTCCCTTTGCCATTAAACTGCCGTGCTGAGGAAAAACGCCGTATGAACTTTCGGACGGTGCCGAATCTCCCTCGATAAAAGATTTATTTTTGGAGAAATTTATGCGTGGTTTTCTTTGAAATTTTCAGATATTTTAGATTAAATTGCGAACGAAATATCGACGGCGTAAGTCCACGATCACATATCTCGTTTGCGGTGTCTCTGAAAATCTTCGTTTTTATGTTATTTTTTGAAAGGAGAACAAATTGACATCATTCTTTGAAGTTTTTACAGAATTTGTTTGGTATAGAGAAGAAAAATCTCGACAGTTTTATTTCCGTTTGAGAAAAATAAAGTATGATAGGAAGTCTGCGACGTCGCAAACCGGGATATGTGATTGCCGACGTCAATATCGACGGTGTAAAAGAATGACATCATTTAGAGGTATCCTTCAATGACGTTGAGGACGAAGAGGAGTGTGATGGTGTAACGGGAAAGGCGGCATCACATATTCTCGTAAACCAGGTCCAGCTTGTAGATCCATTTCGTAAACCACCTTTTCGAGGTATACAATGCATCATTATATAGGCAAAGAAAATAAACCTGTCAGCGAAAACCAAAAGTCTCTATCCCCGCCATCATTTCAAAATGATGACCCGATGGAGTTGCAATTTACAGACCGGTTGTCCCTGTGAAACGGTGATAGACAGAGACTTACATTTGGACTGCATTTTGTCAATTTGGACCCATAAATTCTGGCCCGGTTTAAGAACAACGTATGTGCCATTAGTTTCCCTATGTACATGAGTGTTTTTTCAGATGAGCCAGAATTTATAGTTCAAATTGCAAAATGCAGTCCTTTTTACGTAAGTCTTTTTTAAATGATTTTTCTAACGATGTGTCACAGAAAAGGGGCTACCATTCAGAAAAAAAGCTGGAGGCCTCGCCCTCACTCTTCTAGCGCGGGGGAGGGGGGGGGCAAAAATAATGACACCCCTCCTCCTATCCTAAGTAGCATTTTCCAACGGGAAAATCGCGATATTTTGAAATTAAGTCGCGATTTTTTACGATAAAATCGCTCGGATCGTTACTTACATCTGCCCGATTATTCTCAAGCTTCTGGCAATTCCATCTCTATAATATCGCATTTAATAAAATCGAAATTTTACCTCAATCTACCACGATTTTTGTTCGATAGTATTGCGATAAATTGATGTCGATAAAATCGCTATTTTATTGCAAAATCATGCGATTAAATCGAAATTTTTCATCCGATAATTTTGCAATAAATCGACGTCGATAGAATCGCGATACAGTCTCCGATCAAAGCGCCACTTATCCCAATCACTGCTACTTGGGATCAGATACTTTTCCTCAAAATAGAAACAAAGTCAAAGTGTTTCATCCTCCTATTTTCAATCGTTTCGATTTTAAGGCAGATGTAGACGGGTACTAATGATGGGATACCCTGATAGTAGCTGTCCCTCTATCAAAAATGCCGATTCAGTGACTTTAGAACGAGCCTCAAGATTATTCCCAGAAACTTATCAATGTATTTTATTTGATTTCTCCCGTTACTCTTTCTCGTCAGGAATATCATGGCTGTGATAAATGTGTAAAAATGATACCTACTCGAAGATATTTAACATATTCTTTATTGGACTTTTTGTTTCAGGAGTTTAGAGAACAAAGAATAGATGGATCGTCTCTGTCACTCCTGACGGAAGAACATCTTACTTCGACTCTAGGCATGAAGTTAGGACCTGCTTTGAAGCTCCGTTCGGTATTAAGTAAAAAATTAGGGCATTGCGCAGTATGTATGCATTGCGTTCACTGTCATGCAAACGTCGCATCTCCGGCAGAGTCTCTCAGCCCTCGAAGACCCAGTAGCACAGGGAACTAATCGCTGGTCAATACGGTAAGTTCTGATGACACAAGATATCCGAACTTTAAAACCCACCATGGCATAGTGTTACATATTTGGCAACAACAGACAACACTTTTTTTGTTTTTTCAAATGCTGAACTATTTCTGTTCGGTAAGATGTTGCAAATTACTGCAATGGTTTTCTTTCGTTGAAAATAAGATTTTCCAAATTTTGAAATTTTGAGGAAAAAATGGACGTATTTCTGTCAAACGGAACTAAGCGCCAATTCGACTTTCTTTTGAGAAATTTAGAATCCCAGATAGCGCGATCTGTCAAACGGAACTAAGCGCCATGGAAAAGCATTGCGAGTACAGGAACGAATGAGCCCGGCGCCCGGTTCCTCCGCCAATCCAATTCCCCTTCTACCATCCTCCCCCGATGGCGCTTAGTTCCATTTGACAGAAATACGTCCAAATTTAAGGACCAAGGTTTAACGGAAGCTACAGCATAGATGTGTGTCCCCCAGAATCCGAAATCCAAAATTAATTTATGCCGTGGAGGGTTTAATATCTCAATAAAATTTATTGAATACTCAATTACTGAAATCAACTCCTAACCAAGATAATAACATTTTTAATTTCATTGCATTACTCCCAGGAAAATTGAATTCCTCGTTTACATGAAAAAACAATAGTCTACTTGAATCAAATTACGGCCCATAGGACAGGCGAGGCGTAAACCTACTAAAAAACAACGTCAACCCAAGGCTCGCCTCCAATTTCGCCATATAGGCAATAAACGATTCAGGGATGGCACTTGGAGTCAATGCATCTCAGCATATCGATGGTGCAACTCCCAAACCACGTATCTCAATTTGCAGACCTTCCGGCATACTTCATTCGTTTTAATAGAGAACCACTCATCGTCGGTTCTTACACATCTCCGTAATTTTTCTTCTTCGTGCGAGGCAAATTCTTAAAAAATTTCAAGGAATGATGTTGATTTGTTCACCGTTAAAAAATGAAAACAAGAGTAGAGATTTTAAAACACCGCAAACGAGGTACGTGGTTTGGGAATTTCACCATCGATACGCGTTTATCCTTTGACGGATATCGTCAACTTGAGGTTTGCCTTCAATTTCGCCGTATAGGCAAAAAACGTGCATGAGAGCGCGAATGATTTACTATCTATTCGAAAAACAAAATGTATCTCCTGCGCTTTAAATGCTTTTCTTGAATGGGGCTGTAAGTTTTAATTCTTTTAGCAACTTCCAAGGGAAGCACTGCGGTAAATGTTGCAGTACAGGAATAACATCCCGGACTTTTAAACTACAATTCAGAGTATATCATTTTCACATTTGCTGCCAACTTAGAGAAATCTTTAAGTATTTTCATTATTATATCTACCAGATAAATCTTCATTTGGATGTATTTCTATCAAACGGAACTATGTGCATTCAGACATGAGCCCTGAGACCCATAAGAATATTATGTGCATAACAGGGCTCACGTCATCATGCACATAGTTTCGTTTGATAGAAATACGTCTATTTTTAACCTCCATAAGTTCAAAAACCGCAGTTTTATTTACTACAATTTTTGTGTCACACGTAAACAGCATATTTACACAATTAAAGTGGTCAGTCGAGTGCTATACATTCGCATCAGCATAAAGAAGCTAACATTATGCTGATAAAATTATAGGTAATTATTATGGTTTCGTGCAAGTAAAATGGTGGCATGATGTAATTTCTCGTGCATATCACATCGTATACTGGTAAATTTCCAAAATTTGCAACTAGCATCAAACTCATTTTTACCCTGACTTGTGATTTATCATGTTTCTCGTTCTGTGTGATTTCAGGTTTCCTTAGTCAACCGGGTCAAATTGACTGCAGCTGTTCTAGTTTTGAATTATTTGCCCGAAGCTCTCCCGGTCTTTTCAGTTCTTAGTATTTGACGAATGACCCGTCTCTGACAACGATCCTGTCATCTTCCTAGTCACATCATCATTGATACATTAAGTTCATTGCTCTGAGTTATTATTCGCCTATTCACTTGTAACTTTTACTAAATGAACGTGTAAAAAATTATGAACAATATTGCCAACGCTAACTCGTAGGTACTTCACATATACATTGTTCATGTAAATTATGTTGGAAACACACGTTGTACTCTCATGTGTGTTCAGGTACTCCGGTGCCATTCTTTCAACAGGGTTGCCTTTTTTCTTGTATAATGAGATCTTGAAATTTTAGAAAGACATGAAAGATATTGACAAATTTCATTTAAAATTAAGTGTAAAAGTAGATGGAAGGCAAGCTGTTTTTGCTTTTTGTCGTTTGCAGAGCGTGTTGCATACCTAGCCCCTGAAAATATGTCTCATCTTTCTCATACTTTTCACAGCAGAAATGTCATGAAGTATTCCCCAGAGACGTCCAATCTTTCATATTTTTTATTTCACTTGTGCAACCCTGTCTTTCAATGTATTGACTCAATACTGTCTTCGTTCCGATTCATTTCTACAACGCTTTCAATATACGTTCAACTTATTTAGACTGCAGTGTCTAATGGATTCTCTTCAGCAAAATAGACAATATAATAGATGTAGGTACCTAATAATGTAAGTAGGAGGAGTAGGTACGGAAATATTTTTTATTCGAAATAGCAATTTACTTATCCGTAAATTACCTGTGGTCTTTCAAAAACACTAAACATGCGTAAAAATCGCACTGTTCCATTACTTAATTGCATGAGTGGCTGTGATCTGATATATATTTTTCTATTTCCTTTCCTTTCTTTATTTTTAAAGTTTATTGAATGTGTGCATTTCTACTGCTGAGAGTGATTAAGCGTATTTATCTTTCGTTAATTCTAAGATCAGGGGTACATATTGTGATTTCAACTTGAGTCCAAAAGAAAACAAGAATCATGATTTGGAAGCTGACATTATATTTGTGGGTGATCCAAAATATAATGGTACCTAATGTGATTTCTGGGTTATTGGCAAATGTAGAAGCCTTCGGTATCTGAAAAATGGTAGTTTAAACATGGACAGTTAAGCTATAACATCAGTATTTTTACCGTATACCCGTATTTTTCAGTGGCATGGCGTGCTTTGCGATCTATCGATATTTCCCCATTTGAAGCTGTGGTAAATAATCGATTATTAAGGTGTTCACTGCGAACACCTTGTTTATCGATACTTTTCCATAGGTTTAAATGGTCGATCAATCGATATATCGCAAAGCACGCCACGCCACTGGTATTTTTCTCTCAGTGTCTCACTCATCGAAGCCCGGCTACCCGGCACTCCCATTTTTAATTGTTTGTGCATAGATTTTATAGTCAGAGCCTAAGTGCAATATTCTCAAGTTTTTTGTAAGTTTCTTTTTTTGTATATTTCGTGAATATTAAGTGAACACTTCAAACGTTATCCATTGTTGTGGTGCGTACTTAGAATTTTTACTGCAAAGTATATTTATATTTTTTGACATGATATAAACCCATGTTTTCTAAAAAAAAGAATATGTTCATTTTCACATAACCATTTCTTTTTATTCCTCACGTCTCCTTTAAGGAGCCTCTGAAGGCATCCTACTCTCTCCTCTCTGATAACTTTCGTTCGATTTTCATATGCATCGAGTATACCCAAGTTACACAGACTGCAATACAGTGCGCTATTCTGCTGTGCTAAGGAAGAACGTCGTATGCACATTCGAGAGTTGCCAAATTTCCGTCAATAAAATGTTTATTTTTTTTTTGGGAAAGTTATGAATATTTTTCCTTTATATTTTCAGAATCTTTGGGTAAAATTGCGAACTAAATTATCTGAAACATCGGAAGGAAAATATTCATAAGTTTACCAGGAAATTTACGTTTTATCAAAGGAAATTTGGCAACGCCTGATGGCTCATACGGCGTCCTTCCTTGGCACGGCAGTATGTAATACTAAGGAAAAAAGCCGTATGAGCATTCGAATGTTGTTAGATTGCCTCCCAGAAAATTTGTATTCTTGAAGCAAGTCTCGAATATTTTGCCTTTAAATGTTCAGACTGTGTGTGAATCAAATTAGAATAAAAAATCTCTTAGGAATCAGAAAAAAAAATATTTACAAATTTCCTCTCGTAATTTGTCAAAGTAAATTCTTCTATAGCCGGCAATACAATATCTTATAGCCTTTTATAGCCGATGGCGATTAAGCAACAGCCTGGCGATAAAGTGTATGCTAAACGTTACTAATGACTTAGTGACTTTTTGGACTACCGCTCTCTTCTTGGGCCGTAGTATCTTGATTTATTTTGCGAGGGAAGCTCCGTACTTTTGAAGGATGCCTGCCATTCCTAATATGTTTGAGCGCCTTCAATTTCGTATGATACTGTGCAATACCTCTGGTGTGAAATAGTTGCTTCAAGCGCCGTGGTACGCTGCGGCGCGGCGCAGCGGGCGGGCAGCCAGCCCGAAACGCGCATTGGCGCCTACAAACCTAACAGGGATACTTCACGCATTGCGCAATGCGTGAAGTATCCCTGTTAGGTTTGTAGGCGCCAGTGCGCCGCCGCTCCGCTTTGTGTTAGCCTCTAATATTTAATCTCGCGGAGTCAGCGTTTTTCAACTCATGACTTTGAAATGTTTGCACACTCTGTATGGATTGTTCTCATTTTAATTGATGAAAAAAATATGTAGTAGAGGAAAATATAATGTGCCCCAACCAGCAACGACTGACGTTTTCCAGGAGAAAAATTTTGGAGAAACTGGGGGAAAACTTATGGGAAAATATGAGCGAATGACTGGGGAAACTGATGTATCCGCTGTGTTATAGGAGAAGAAAAACTAGAGTTAAACATCACCCTCAGTTTGAGAGGAAGTTTATCTTACGTTTTTCCTCTGTTATTCAGAAGAAAAACTAGGGTCAAACATCAACCCCAGTTTTAAACAAGTCAAACTCCTGTTTTCCGACTGATATACGAGAGAAAAACCGAGGCTAAACTTAGAGAATACATGTGTTTTCCCCCCAAAATCCGTCCTACAACAAATTTTTCTCCTGGAAAACGTCAGCCGTTGCTGGTGGGGGCGTTCTGTAAATATTAAAGTGATTCCATACATACTTAAGGATTTATAAAGCACACGAATTTCTACACAATTTCTTATATCCTTTTATAGCCGATGGTGAAAAAGCAACAGCCAGGCGATAAAGTGTAAAGCCCGGCGATAGGAACTATAGCCCGGCTGTATAATTTTTTATCGCTTCGTGTAGTCCGGCCGTATGATCTTTCCACTTTCTACAGCCAACTATTTGATTTTCTATCGCCTTCTTCGGTCGGCTATAAGAACTCCTATGGTATTTTGAAACGCAGCTCCTATCGCCAATTTTTACCAGGGTGGATCCGCCTACGATTTTGCGACTTACGCAACCATAACGAGTCGCATTCTTTGCAAATCGCATTTTTCGCCAATCGGAGGTACGGGTAATGCACAAATGTGTACCGTTAAATATCTAAAAATTCGTTTACGGACAACTTTTTGCTTAATTTAACTTGTTTAGCACAGTCATACCTCAAAAAGTATTTGCAACCTCTCTTGTGAGCCGATAATGCTAGATTAAAAGTAACTGCACCGTTGAATTCAAACCCAAGTTTTTTTTAAATAGTTTCAAAATGCAGAAATCCCTGCAGAGAGTTTAACACAGCGTAGAAAAGTTGGCGTCCCAACAAACGGGAGTTATTATTGACGCATGGAAACATTATTATTTAAAAATTTGATCATGCTAAACCACACGAGGGATCACTAAGACGGCAAAATGCAGGAATCACCGCAGAGACTTAAACGCAAGGCTGAAAAGTAGGCGTACCGACAAACGAGAGTTGCTTAACGTATCGAGACATCATTAGTTTAAAGGTACGGCACCTTATTAGAGGCGTCTCTCCGCGGCGCACAGTGGATCGAGTCAATAAGAAAGGTCGGACAAAATTCGGAAACTTTAAACGCTCATAACTCCATTTATACAAAACTTTGAGGTTCTAAAAGTGGTTCCAATGGTTTCCTCGTTAAATTTTCTGTTATCAACACCTCTTGATATTTAAAATGTGACGAAATGAAGATCAAAATTTGCAGATTTAGTCAAAAATTTCACGTCCGGCCCCTCTAAGTGACTCGATCCACTGAGCGGCGTCTGACACCGATGGAAAACACCGATAAATCAACAAAACAATTTCGCATGGAGCCGGCACCTTAGCGTCGAGAAAACGCAGCGCAGAACGTCAAAGGAGACGCTCCGTGCAGTCGCAAACAGATCGGAGTGTCAGGGGCCGAATTTTGTCGGCACTTTCACATAGAGGTGCAACATTCATCGATGAGTCCATCGGCCAATCAGAAGCGCTAGGCCGCACTTAAGTGCAGTCGAGACTCGTCCTGAGTATATTCAAGTACGGCAGAAGGACCAACAAAATTCGGCCCTAGACGCCGATGGATTTTGCTTAGTCCGCTACCTTGTCTGGTACTTTGCGCAAGTAGTTGATGTGCCTATTCCCATTGCTATGTTAGCGGCCTCCATTATGAAAATTCCAAATCATGAAGGTCCGATATTTAAGGTCCATTCCCGATTCAATCCACTCTCTCAAACGTCATTTGACCTAAAATAACCAAGAAAAAAGCCTAGCACGCGTGGTTTGAGACACTTTGTATAGGTAAACTCCAGCGACGCTGTATCACGACTGATCGCTACATCGTATTGCCAATAAGTAATAGTCTCGATCCCCGAGTCACATCAACTGATGGAATTGTGTGTAAATCGGTGTCGATCGACCCCCGTTTTTATTTTTCGTTCGATTCATGTCGATCGAATAAGTACACCGTTGCATGAAAACTTCCTATCATACTCCATTTTTTTTAACTAAACAATTCGCCGTCTGCTGCGTTTCCAGCAACTGTTCTTGCGAATATGTTGTGCGTGCTGACCTCAGCTCATTACATACTTGACTTTCTGTATGCGTTTTATGTGCTAAAGCAATTCGCCTTCAGACGCGTCTGCAGCAATTGTTGTTACGAATATATTGCGCGTGCTCAGTACATACTCGACTCTCTGAAGGCGTTTTATGCGCGCAAGTAGCGCAAGCTGTTGGAGAACGAACGAAGTAGGGATTGAGCGATTCATTCAATATCATTTTTGTTGTTCTCCAACAGGGTGCTCTACTTTTGCACATGAAACGCCTTCAGAGAGTGAAGTATGTAATTAGCTGAAATCAGTGCGCACAACATATTTGTAACAACACTTTCTGCGGACCCAGCTGAAGGCGAATTGAAAACAACTGTATAATACACGTTGAAAAACATTTAGCTCTTCAATTAATATTGTAACCAATGGAGAGGAGTATTTTATTAGTCTTTTTATGGGGGATTCTCGTGAACTTTTCACGATTAACTAAATTTGAATGCAAAATAAAGCATACCATGCCACAAATTTTCAGTGGTGGTGGGAGGTTTAGCCCAAAACTCCCGCCAAGACTGAAGAAGCGCCAACACCACAATGGTCTTGAAGCAAACAAACAAAAAAACAACAAAGAAAAGTGCAAAAAAAAAAGGTACCCAAAAAGTTTTGCAGGGGGTGAAACTATGGTACGTGTAGAGTCCCCAGTGCTTCAAAAATTTCATGTGGAGATTTTGGCACAACTCTGCTGTGACCAATATCCCAAAAAGTTATTTCCATCTATGAATTCTAAACTTTGCTCCACGTGTCTTATCATGACGTGGATTTATAAAGATTTAGAGGGAGTATTGGTAGTACTTCACAATCCTTTATTTAGCACTTCAAGTCTTTAACAGGTCCATGCAATTCCTGGGCCTGAATTCAACTAAAATTGGTAAGATCACCTAAATTGCCCGGCAAACCTTCCGAAGCAAGCTTACCTATGTAATTCATTTTTGCATTATTTTCCATTTTTTATTAATACCTCAAGATAACTACGGAAACACACCATCAACCCCCAAACATGACTTTCATTTGTGTTGTGAACTGAATTTGTAGCTCTTGGTTTTCTTTTTAAACTGGACTTCAAAGTTGAATGAAACCTGAGTAAAATGAAATAACTGACAATGAGAAGAAAAGAATGTTGATATCTCTAAGAGAGAATATCCTACAGAATAGGCCCATTCAAACGAACGAAATTATCTGCACAAAATTTTAATTTCAGATGGGCTTCTTTTGCATGAGGTAATCAAAATGTCAATTTTTGAAAATAGGGACCTGTACGAGACAGAAGATCTCATTCCTGGATCACACGACACCTGACCTGCCACCCGTAGAGATCCAGACAGCGTGTGTTACCTGAACCTGGTTTTCGAGTACCAGAACATTCTTTGTATGAAATGTCGATTTTTGACTTCTAGGTGGATTCTGCGACCAAAACAAGACAGGAATCGATAATTCACTTGGCGTTGTTTCGTGGTGATGATTCGTTCACTCCTGCCAAGGGACCTCAATTTTGGCTGCCATTTGAATATGGGGAAGGGGGAGGGTGTTCGGAATTTCAAACATGGATTTCCTTCTCCTGACATCTAAACCACGTTGATTTCAATCTTTTTTATTCTACTATCATCGTGTTTCAGATGAGCAATTGTACTACACGCGGAGAAAATCGATCAAAAACAGAGGAAGCCTCACATTTATCATACAAATTTCAAAGTGCGATTCAGAAATCGGATCAGCTGAGATTTTAAGTCTACAGCAATAATTGTTGTTGGGAATATGTCGTGCGTGCTTGATCTCAGGTCATTACATATTTTACTCTCCGAAGGCATTTTTTTTTTTGCGAAAGTCATCCTGTTGGAGAGCAACAGAAATGAGATTGAATGAATCGCTCAATCCCTACTTCGTTCGTTCTCCAACAGCTTGCGCCATTTGCGCACATAAAATGCCTTCAGAGAGTCGAGTATGTACTGAACACGCACAATATATTCGTAACAACAATTGCTGCAGACGCAGCTAAATGCGAATTGCTTCCGCACATTCAACGCCTTCAGAGAGTCAAGTATATAATGAGCTGAAATCAGCACGCACAAAATATTCGTAAACAATTGCTGCAGAAGCAGCAGAAGGCGTATTGTTCGGTTCAAAAAAAGAGTATGTGGAAAGACTGCATGCACCGAGAAGGTAAGTATTTGATGGACATGAATCGAAAAAAAAACAAAAACGTGGGTCGATCGACACCGATTCAATGGACAAATAAATTAAAAAACCTGATCATAATCGGTAAAAAAAACCTGCAATTACTTTGAAAAACGACTTTAAATTTTGAACCAAATCTTCTGCTATCGAATACGAAAAATCATGGAGAATTTAAAGTTTATGTTAACCAGCTTCTCGAAAGAAAAATAAAATTTCTAAGGAAGTCTGCAACGTCGCAAATGGAGAAACTTCGTCTCCCTAATTGCTCGAAAATATGTATGAATAAAATTGAAGGCATTATGACTGGCCTCTCTCAACTTATATTCGTCTCTAACGATAAACAATGGGACGCGGTTGCTACGGCGCCATGATACAACTATACCACCTCGACGGATGTCCGTATTGCGTTCAAAAAATTGAAGGCGTTTTGACTTCCTGCTCATACTACCATGCAGTTGATTCGAGCGACAAACGCGTTGGTCGGCGGTGACGGGGACTCGATGCAACTTTTTAAGCTTGTTGGATGTCCGTATCGGTCCGACTGAAGTGCGCAACCACGTATCTCCGTTGCGGTGTTTCACAATTTCCGTTCTTAATTCATCTCTTCCATGAGAAAGAATCCAAATTTACGACTTTAAATTTTGAATCAAATCTTCTGCCATCGAATACGAAAAATCATGGAGAATTTAAAGTTTATGTTAACCAGCTTCTCGAAAGAAAAATAAAATTTCTAAGGAAGTCTGCAACGTCGCAAATGGAGAAACTTCGTCTCCCTAATTGCTCGAAAATATGTATGAATAAAATTGAAGGCATTATGACTGGCCTCTCTCAACTTATATTCGTCTCTAACGATAAACAATGGGACGCGATTGCTACGGCGCCATGATACAACTATACCACCTCGACGGATGTCCGTATTGCGTTCAAAAAATTGAAGGCGTTTTGACTTCCTGCTCATACTACCATGCAGTTGATTCGAGCGACAAACGCGTTGGTCGGCGGTGACGGGGACTTGATGCAACTTTTTAAGCTTGTTGGATGTCCGTATCGGTCCGACTGAAGTGCGCAACCACGTATCTCCGTTGCGGTGTTTCACAATTTCCGTTCTTAATTCATCTCTTCCATGAGAAAGAATCCAAATTTACGACTTTAAATTTTGAACCAAATCTTCTGCAATCGAATACGAAAAATCATGAAGAATTTAAGTTTTATGTTGACCAGCTTCACGGCAGGCACGGTTCGCCTGAACGAGATTAAATTTTTGAAGAGTCAAGCAAAAATTCTTCAGTTTCTAGAAGTAGAGTGTCCGCCGAGTCATTTAGGAGATCACCAAAATAAAGAGTCCGACATTGACTATCGTAGAGTGTAGTAGAGCTTGTGGTAAAATAATCGCAATTTCGAAGTACGGATGAAGATTTGAAATCATTATACCCTAACAAGACTGCTTAAAAAGCATTAGGCCAAAAAAAAGAGAAAAAAAGAAGTAATAATCCCTGCGCTTGCAATTGCCTCAAATTTTACGTTGAACCAAAAAGCAAAAATATGAAATCAAGTGAACAATGTTTTCTTCGAAAAAGGTCTAGAGCTGAAATTTTAGAAGATCGTAAGAGGTTTAAACTTAGTGAACCGCACAACATCGCGATCATATTTCTGTCATTTTTCAATCATTAACCTATGATGCGCCTTCCGTTTCATTAGATGCAACTTACATTACTGCTGCACATCCCCTCGCATGGCATTCCTATTGAAGGCGCAAAATTGTTGCTCTCAGCTTAGCGAGGGGATGCCCACCACCACGAACGGCTTCATGTTAGACTTTTTTTTGTCTTTATGAATAGGAAGCTGGTATTTTAATAAATGACAAAGCCTTTATTGCCCCTTACGTACTGTAGTGTGCTTTTCTTCGGTCCAGTTACACTTGGCCGTAGAAAGCAATGCTGTCATGAGTCATGACGTCACTATATGTCACGACTGAAAAATAGACCAATAGAGTCCATGTTTGATTTTATCTGTGTGTATGTGTGTGTGTCCACCGTAAGCTCCCTGAATTTATTAGTCATTAATATTTTTATTTCTTGAAATTTCTCGAGTCCGAACTTTTCTGATGGTAATCTTGGGGACAGTAGAACTGACAAGTTTTTCAGCAACTTACTTTTTGTTCTCTTGTGTGCCGACTGATAATATTGGCATCACTCTCGTCCTAACCAGGTTAGTTTTGCGAATTTTCAGGTTATACCAGTTCAAATTCAGAGATTCACAGCTTATTTCATATTTAATGTCACTTATGTATGTATTGCCATCATCACATTTTCCTTTTTGCCTTTCTTTATAGTCAGTGAAATCCCTTGTGCTTCACTATCGTCTGAACTTACTTTGATAGTGTTTCAATCTATTCATGAAGTGCTCTCAGTTTTTGTGTCAATAGATCCCTACCGTTCAGGGGGACGAATCACTTCTCAAACATTTGTCCTGACATTCCATCCCAACATCCCAACAGCCGTGATCTTTTGCATCAGTATATGATTTCGTTTTTCATCATTTTCTCATGCACGTTTGTCTGTGCGACAATTGCCACAACATTGCCGAAATCGTATGAGGATGCTGACCATTATTTCGTATATGTCGATCTTTCATTGAAACCTTTACTTGTACCCATTCTCCTTCTATTAATCATCCTCAAGATTGTAGTTAGTGAGGGTATGAGGGGTATTGGATCTTGCTTTCTTTTGAGCTGGTCTACCCTAAGGGACGTTGTGTACTTACTGGAGCAGTAAGAAGGATCAAATTGGGAATGAGCAGCTAACTTGATTGACTTGGATTACTTTGACTATAGCCCTGGCATCAAACTCTATGACTCTAAAGCTAAACCACATTTACTTGACTACTCAGGGTAGCTGCACTTTTAATGAAGCACTGGCCCTTGATGTCTATCTCCTATTACCTGTCTCAATGACTACCGAGAGACATCCTCTGGAGATTGCTAAAATGAAGTCTGGGCCCAGGATATGATGTTTGATCAATATTTTTGTAGCTCAAGACAGCGAAATTAGCTCCTAAAGGACCTGGGTGGGCCCCAGCATCCTGGGAATTAGATGTAGTATTGTCCAATCCGCCCTAAAAGATTTACTCAGTAAAAAATAGCCTCAGAATTTGTGTATTTTCTTGTTCCTTTGCTTAATGCAGAAGGAGAAAGGTTGAGCAGAAGGCGGATTATTTGTATAGTTGAGCTTGAGTTTGTAAATGGCCAACTTTGCATGAGAATAGGTTTAAAATGCATGTTAGGAAGGCCAATTTTCTGGGAAAATCCCGCAGAACTCCTCTGTGTAAAAGGAAAGCTGAGAACCCTCCAAGAAGAATTTTTTCAATGTTTTGCAGTAGGTAGTCCATCATTTCAATTTCACCCGTTTCTATAGCCCTGATGTTGTGTCATATCTTGTAAAATTATGAAGGAACAGGATATGATCATGTACAACCCCATAAATTTTGCTCTTCCAGTGTAAAATTTTGGTGAAGCTTACTTTTTTAAAAAATTTCATCAGGGAAATGTCGTAGGAAACTCGATATCAGCGAACAAGATCAAAATCTTCTTGGTACCTAAAAAAAATGTATGTGTATTCATTTTATCTGAATAATTCATAACCTAAGTTTGTACATCACACAGGTTTAAGAATGGGTGACAACTTTGAAACAGGGATGCTTCCGACTCAATTCCTCAGTGTTGTCCTAGAAGAAACTGAACCAAGTACGCAGCAATATGCGAGTTCCAGGGCAAGTACCAATGAAGGCGAACACAGCAAACCACCTTCTCCTAAAACAGACTGGTGAGTGTTTTTCAGAGACTGCATATCACCTGGTCTTTATTAAATTAGGATGTTTCAAAATTCCATCTGTTATTTACTTGTGTCCTGATCAGTGTGCTGCATTCTATGCTCAAAATAATGTTCAAGTTAGAAGAAAACTGTTTTTTTTTTAACTTGAAAAGCTTTAAAAATCTCTTTAAATGATGTATTCTTGTCAACTAATAGGTAAGAGTGAGGCTCTAATCGGATTCCAGGTTAAAAATACAATGAGTGCACCAAGTTCTACTATGAAAATCTGCTGAATGGATCAAAGCAGCCAAAATAAATCAGTAAGAGGCAGCCAAATTGTCCATTCTACCGGTAATTTTTCTTAACAAATACAAATAAATTTCTTGTTCAGACACCTGAGGGCAGGCACAAGCCAAGAATTTTTAATCCTGAAGGGTCAGTGAATATTGATGTTTACAGGGCTAAAGTCTGGGAAATTTTTTAATGTTTGTTCAAACTTTCCATTTTGTAATTTTGAATGGACTTATCTTTGAACAGACATTCCAGCCTACAGAATTGAGATAATTCAACTGTTTATTAGTGAAATACATTCTCCATATGCTCCAGAGTAAGTTCAGAGTAAGGAGTCTGTAGTAAGTTTAAAGCTTTGGTATTTGCCCAAATCAAATACCAATATCAATCAATCCAAAATGCACTCATGGAAAAATTATCATAGAAAATGAGGCAAAATTAAAATCCAGAGAGAAGGCCAATTTCAGGAGTCTAGGTAGCAATATCATACCACAAAAACAAAAAATCAACCTTGGATTCTTATAATATGGATCTATAGGAACACAGTCCATCAAGCAAAACAAGCCAACAACCCCTGTCCAAGATTCTGCATCATTCATTCCACTGTGCACCGAATGTTTCATTCTGCTGGTTTGTTAATTTTGGATATCTGCGTGGTGGGACTAAGAGTTACTGAGTGTATTCATTGGAGAATCTAGGGAGCTGAAAACAATTAACATGCCCTAACATTTTTCCCTTTTTTTCTTTTTCAGGGAAAATGAAGCTATCACTGAAAAATATTTGAAAAAGCACCTGCCGGCTGCCTTACTAGCAGAATGCACTGTGGAAATAGCAAGAGGCAACAATCAGAAACCAATAAGGTAATATAAGAGCATGTAGATGAGCATTTCAGATGTGTTGATGAAAAAATTGTTCGGAATTAATGCAATGAACTTTGTTCAGAATTTGGATGAAATAAGCTCTATTGTTTATATTCTGCTCTATGCTCTATTTTCTGGTTGGAACTATCAAAAATTGCCTAGTCCAAGCACGATGTAGCCACGAAATGAAGAATTTGCACACTCAAATTGTATTGTTTCATCTGAGAGTGCTTAATAAGCTGAGTTCGTAGTATCTTTCATAATTTTTTCCGACATGGGAAATTGTAGAAAAATAGCTTTAAAAAAGAGAAAATGTGCCGCCTTACGACATCATCTGGCAGCATTTTCCATTTTAACAAATATATTTTAGCAGATTAGGTTATTTTGTCATATTTTCTACAATAATTGTTCAATTAATAAACCAAGGATATCCTCGTACTCAGTTTTCCTAGTAGTATCATTTTAAAGATGATTCGCAAAATTTCAGACTCCTGCAAATTCTCTATTGGTCTATTATAGATGTATTCTGCATTGTAAAAATAGTTTATTTTACCTCAACTAAACATTAATTGGTGTTAATCAACTGATGTCACTAACTCAGAGACCAACAGAGACCCCGCACTTGTACCCTAGCAACGGTGAAAACTTTCAATTTTTTCTCTCGTGTTTTATTTTTTTCTAAAGGAGAGTGATCATCATTTTGACTTTAACTTTTGTGATTATATTCCCTAAAAATTAGGATAAATGTATAGAAAGTTTTTTGGCATTATATGGTTTGGCTCTGTGTGAAAAAAACTTGTACTCAAGAGAAAATTAGACAACGTGAAATGCAGTCAGGTTGGTTCGACTAAAATCCGTCCGAATGATAGAGCTCTGAAAAAAGAGATTCCTCTTTGTCATCTAGAGACTAATAGAGGGTCTCTATTTGTCATTTGTCTTTGATGTAATTGTTATCATTCACTGCAACACTTAATACTTCTTTATTTGTTGATTTTCCTCTTTAATTTATGTATGCCATTTCTTTGTTTCTGAATAGGTGGGAAGAACCAAAGAGAAAGAAGATGTTGCCGCCTGTCCCTCCGGTAAGCATTCTGCAACCTCCATCTCCGTGATTCCTTGCGGCTCTTATACCAGCCTCTAATTCTAAACTAAGAAAAGGAAGCCTTCATTAGGTTTTTTTTCGCTATTTCAAAGTTCATTTGAATCTAGGAAATGTTAAATACTGCACAGGAGCTGAAAAAATTAGTATATCGATGGCCTAAGTGTGAAACCTATCTCTATCACGTTTCAACATTTCAGCTCCTAATTTTTTTTTAAGAGAAACAAGCAAACTTCATAATTTGAAAGTCATACATAACATCCTGCTAATAGAGAAGCTAGAAAAAAAGAAATATGTACAGTAAAGCATGGCAGTAAGTCTGCAATGTTGCAAAGGGAGATATGCGGTTTTGCACCTTGGCCATGGATATAAAGAAAATTTTCAGTGCCAACAGACAAGTACTTGAAGACACTTTTGAGGGGACTGCAGCAAATGAATTCCCATCCTATCATACTAACGCTCTCTTCATCATCCTGTCCAGGGAATCTCTTCTTTATTCGACCTTGCTTACTTAAGCTGTGAAACCTTCCCTGACTCCGCTCCAGTTGAGTAGAAGTTTTGATTTAAGTCAGTTCGAGCATATGAGTATACGCAACTTCACTAAAAATTTGACTACACGGGCAGTCTTAACTAAAGTTCATTCAATGGCAATGTATTTCTCATATTATATTTTCTTTTTCAGCTTCAACGAATTGCGTTTGAAGAAGACAAAAACTTGGATGTTCGCGACATCATGAATCGAGTTGAGGCTGTCTACTCTGACGAGGAGGATGAAATTCGGTTCAGTACTAATGAAATTGAATTGCGGAGAATATCTACTAGTAAGACTCAGGCATCACGGAAACCACTAGCCCTAATGCCGATGCGACCTGTACTGGAAATGAAGCCTATTCCATCTAGTGATGTCAAATTTGCATCAAATGCTCAAGGTAAACCTGGCGTAACTGCTGAAAGCTTAATGTATCCCTGCGAATACTGCCCTAATGCATACAATAATCGCGGTGCCTTGTGGCAACACACTGTTGCCACTCATTCCACTGAGAAAACTTGTGAGTGTAAAATTTGTGGCCGAAAGTTCTATCGTAACTGTAGTCTTGCACTTCATTTAAAGAGCCACTCTGATGAACAACGATGTACTTGTTTGAAGTGTGGAAAATCTTTTGGAAGATTGTCGACTCTTGACAAACATATGAAAACTTTTCATGAGGATTGCAGGTATTGCTGCAAGGTTTGCAATGAAAAGTTTGCTAACTATGAACACTTTATTAATCACATGGCCACTCATTCAGCCGGAGAAATCCCTTCTAATGTAAACTCCGTGATGAAAAGCCTTATTAATTCTAATTCAAGTATCAACTATTCGTGTCAACTTTGTTCCTTATCGTTTAAGAGAAAGGATCTTCTTGACCTTCATTTTACTTTAGTTCACTCCTCTAACAAGGTAAATCTGAATTTCCTCAAACATAACCAACTAACTCCGATGTCTCGTGGCAAACCACACTTGTGCAAAGTTTGCGGGAAAGGCTACAGTCATAAAGCAGTACTCCGGAAGCACATGCTAATACATTCCGGTCTAAAAACAAAATGCACTGTTTGTGGATTACAGTTTACTCAAAAGTCTTCGCTTTTACGGCATCTTAAGCGTATGCATCCTGATTTTGATATAGGAAACTGCTTTGATAACCTTCATGATGATAGCAATGGTAGGATGGAACGTAGTTCTAATGTTAATATTAGCATCGACTCAGAGGCGGATAATGTAGAGAATACATTGGACATGGAAGTCACTGAGGCAGTTGATGACAATGATGGATTTGATGATGAAGTCATGGAAGATGATGAGGAGGATGATGATGTAGATGATGAAATAAACCCTCTTGATTTTCTCTCAACAGAATAGTTCAATCTCCAGTGAATAGAGGGTTGCAGAGGAGTGGGGGGGGGGATTTAGATTAACTATTTGTCAAAATGATCCCCATATTTTCTTCATTCTTTTCTAAATGTTAACCCTGCAGCCAAGGATACGGACCTGCTAAAATATTGGTAGTTTTGGGTTCGGTTTTTGATGCATGGCTGGAAGAGCTTCAAAGTTCATGAATTGTTTTGAAATCCAGTCCGGGGCCCACATTAGGGTACCAAACCAGTCCAAAAACAAAATGAACCAAAATAAGAATAAAAAAAAAAGAAAAATTTTGTAGTTGAAGACAATCGAAATAGGCATAAAACAAGAGTGGAGTTGAAGACAAAATTTTGAGGAATGATATCATAGATCAAACTTAACATTTATCAATTGTTCTCCATGAACGTTGAAAGTCTTTTTAAATCTTCAGTCTCAACTGGTAAAATGCAATCACAGGCAAGCAGTCATATTTCCATTCAGCGACTTGGTTATATAAAAAATTGGGATGTCATTCGTTTTCATCGGGACAGACGATCGGTCTCGCTAATCTAATCCAATGTTAAAACTTGAAAAAATCAAGGCATGTGACTGCAAATGCAGTTTAAAGACTCACTGATGTGACAAGGTCTACTAATCTAGGTAGTTGTAGAGCGTGCAGTTAACAGAATCTAGTCTGTATTATGGCTGTAGCTCTCAAAAATTGAGAAAATAAAGAGACATAAGGGATTGAAGATAGCCAATGAGCCTGAAACCACCTCTCTCCGAATCAGAAACTTATGCCTCGGTAGTCAGTCAATTTGTGCAGGAATATTTCCTTCTGTCTCAAGATGTGTAGGCATGGCATTTGAACAAAAAATGTAATTTTGTAAATTTTGTTGCTCGCGGCTCAACTTAGTAGAAAGTTTTGTTGTTAAGAAGTATCCTCCTCCTGTGAGTATACACATAGGTGACTTCATGGGTTCCTACCAGGTTTAGAGTTTTGGTCCTAGGCCGGTCTGCATCCCTTGCCTGCAGCTTCTTGTTCAATTAAAATTCACCCATCATTTAATTTTCATTACATCATATGTATTCAGATTTCAATTTAGCTGTTCGTTCCTTTATATTTTCATGTATTCACCTTCATTTTAGTCCCACCTACATCAGTCATCATTCAGATGCAGTATCTTTCTCAATATGATCAGTCCTTGAATTCCTTACCATTGAAGGATTAGAGACTTTTCCCTTTGCAGAAATGCGCCTCACTAATGCTCATAAACCTAATTTTAAGAGAGAAAAGCAAATTAATTGTTTTACACTTCGCGAAAGCCAAAATTGTAAGACAACCTAGTGATAAACTTTTTTTTTCAGGCTTTTTGTAATAGTTTGTCACTCAGATTAAGTGTAGTGTCCAATAAATTTTGCTCCCCCCCTTCCACTATTTCCACCAAAGTCTTCTAATTCTCAAAAACTAATGATTTTCGGAACCCATATGATGTACCTGACAAGTCTGCGCAAACGGCCGTTCTATTTATGCCTGTGCCATTTATTGCAGGGTTCTTGCTTCTCTTCTGTGCGCAAGCTCTCCTGTCAAGAATGAGCTATTTTTTTTTCTTGCCAACCCGCTCTGGTTATCACTAACCCAGGCCATCCAACAGAATTTAAATTTAACTATTCTTCTTTTACACACTTATTTCTTTTTTTTAGTTTAGTATCTCTCTGGTTCCAAACATGCTTGATGATGGAAAATAGGTTTTAGGATGCTGAGTGAATTCATAACCTGTGGTTGGATGTCAAGAAAGAAATTTGTATCCATCACTCCATAGATCACTCCACTGTTTAAGATTTGCATTATGAAATCTTATTTTCTAATTCAAGATGGAATGGTATTTTAAAAGAGTCAATTTAAGTCAGTCTCTCAAGGAGGGAACTAAAGTTTTGCTCATTTTTGGCAAAAAATCTCCAGCACACACCAAAAAAAAAAAAAAAACCTAAAACTTTGGCTTTCGGGCATGAGTTACTGTCAGGTTTACCTCAAGCTTCCTAACTATTTTTTGAAAATCGAACAGTTTTTGTGTGAATGACAAGGGGGATGCAAAGACTTATTAGACGCTCCTTGTATTTCAGCATGACTCCAAATCCTGAGGTGATGATACAGCCCTTCAAATTTTTGGAATGTTATATAGCCTGATCAAGTAGTCCAATCTATTTATTATATGTATTATTTATTTTAAGTGTTAAATTTGGGGAAAATGCCTCAAAAATTAAAATCTTGAGAGAATTATAGGTAAATTTCAAAACATCTTTTACGGGGGAAAATTCTTTCATTTTAAGAAGAGAAACGAAAGAAGTTACCTCTTAATGTATTATCTTACTTAAGACGTCCAAGCAGCTTTATTCAGAATTTTGTGCATAGAGTGGTGTACATTATCAAGAAAATCAATTTCCTACTTTCACAACTTCCAAAATTGATAATTAGATACTTAAAAGTGATACTTATCTTCCCATATTGCTTAAAATTAGTGATCAGATCTTACCCCCTGAATTGATGGCTTTTTCTAAGTAGTCATCAAAGGAAAAAATACTTTTCGTCCCGCCCCAGGGCCTTCATTGAATGTTCATTGTGGATTCCCTTTTCAAAACAGTGATTTCTCACCATTTAGTTCCGTGAGCTAAGTCTTATGGATGCTAATGAGAAGAACAATATTTTACAACTCAGTACATCATTTCATGATATCTCAGCAGAAGTATTCTTACTTTTGTGGTAACATGTAGTTTTGACTCCCAAAGCGGGTCGCATGTGCGATGCCTTGAACTTAATCAATGCAAGTAGCAATTTCATGCTTGCTGTCAGTAAGTGGAGTTGTCCTTAGGGCACAAAAGTTTGTGTTATGACACACTTCTTTTCGTTCACATTATGGTAACACAGAGATCCTGGGGTTAATTACGGTGCTCAGGGGCAGCAGAAAGTGTGCTGCTAACTTAATTAGCAGATCAGTGATGGTGAAGAGGAATAAGAAACCTCTTTCCACGTAACATTGTATTCAATTTTCTTTTAGACCAAACAAACAAACCAAAACTGAAAAATCACGAAGATTTAAAATTATTTTGCCTTATACACAGGAGAGAATTGCCGTCCAGTTTTAAGGAGACGTTTAATGTCCTAATGTAAAAAAAAGATGACTGAACTTTAAATGTGCATGATTTGTCCTCTTAATCGGATGATTGGTTGTACAATTCAAGTTTACTCCTTTTATTCCTCTCATTTTATTTATCATTTTATTGTTATGCTGCAGATCATTGTGTATCAGTTGTTTCAATCGAGGAGCAGAATTATTTTTCCCCCTTTTTTCTTATTATTTAAATTTAAGTGTTAATTTATTTACTTACTTAGTATCAATTTTATGTTAGTTCCGTTAACTGCATAGTGATTTATATTGTTATTTGTAATTTTTAATACTTCTGAAAAATGTTTCAATTTAACAATTTTGTTTCTGTCTTATGATGATTTAGTTTTGCAGAGCCTTTTCTCAATTAAATAATTCTTACTCTTGCTATATTCTTTTCTTTTTTTTTGTCAAATACTTTAATGAGTCAGAGTGTAACAAGCCTCATTTTTCTTCCCTTATTTCCTGTTTTTTTTTTTCTTCTTTTTTTTCGTCTTTTACTTACGTTACAGCAATGCGAAGTTTCAGCCAAAGTTGCAGATAAATTGCACTAAAATAGCAGTAAGATTGCATTGAAATTGCGACCATTAGAATGAAATTGCAACTAATACAATGAAATTCCAATCAATTGCACAATTTTCTCCCAATAAAGTTGATTTTTATTGCAAAATGCTACTCGGGGAATATTAGGTAATCACTGGACAAAAATTTTGAATCTCAAAAATATATTTTAAAAATTGTTAAGAAACCATATAAAAATACAAGTTTTCAAAAAATGTAGTGAAAATTTTCAGTGTGGAGATCTAAATGACAAGCATGATGCGCATTTCGGAGTAAGAAAACGGAGCAAGAGAAAATGTGCCTTCAAGAGATGGGGATTAAATCTGCCCATCCAGAAATGCTCAAATGGAATCTATGAATTTGTAGGCAAACATTAAGTAGAAATTCAAGAAAAAACAGTGATACATAACTATTAAACACTTACAGCTAATAATACTGAGTATATACTTGAACAATGTATGGAATAAAATTGTATGATTATAACAAGCCTTTTGTAAAGGATACTGCGATCATAAATAAATTATTAAATAATAATTTAAAAGTTATTACACATATCTTCTAATAGACTTACATTGATATAAAGGAATGCAACATATGAGAATTTTGGTATGACTTAACACTGTTAAGCAAACATGTAGGGGACAGGCATGTTGTCATGTCAACATCGTCAGTTCTTGATTTCATTAATTTTGGAAATGGAGCCAGAGGCCGTATGATAAATGAAACTAGAACTAGAAAACATGTTTCTGAGATGTTTAGGGAAGCTTTGAGATCATAATTTGTCAAGGAGGTGTATCCTTTTATCAGCTAATACTCACCAGTCAGTCTGATTGGTGCCGACTCCTGATGCCACCTCTGATGTGTTGAGGAATTCGTCTCAGATTCTACATGTGGTTGCACTAGCGCCCAATAAATTGCATCAATTAATTCATACAGAAATCTTAGCACATTTTGACTTTTTTGCTAAAAAAACAGGAAAAGACCCTGTGTGTTAGCCTAAAAAATCATCCGTCAGGATTAAGAAATTGCAGAATTAGGAGAAATAAAAACGCAAATTAGTTACGAAAAATTGTGGCATTTGATACTACAATTAGTTTTCGAATCAGGTTAGTGCAAAAGTTTTTCCTAAGCCAAATTCTGCTGTAATTCATCAAATTTTGCAGCTTTTCCTGTGACATATGATTCTTGGGACACGTGTACGGAGTACGGCCTCTGAAACATTGACGGAAGCTATCAATGTTTTTATGACTTCAAACTCAAAATCTGCTCAGAATTGATGTGCTGGCCAATCCGACCACACCCAGACACTGAGAAAAATCACCATGAGCATTTAACAGAGTTAATCTGTTTAAATTAAGTGAATGGTACTCATGAATAAAAATTAAGAGGCTACTCTTTACAACTGAGTAAATTGTAATTGATGATGGCAGTTGCTCTCAAATTTCAGGAATGTGAGTATCTAGATCATCTAACAACTATGAAATTGCTTATTACAAAAGTAACATTTTCTTGCATTCAAATAAATAGAATGATAGGGAATGTAACGATCGAAGATAGTATCAACTTCAGGTGTACATTCCTTACATATTATCTAAATTAAAAAGAAAGATAGATATGACACAAATCAACAAAAGGAAATTGGATTCACTGTGTACAATCACAATTCACATTAGATAAAATCACATGCGTTTAAAAGGTTGCTTGGGTCTTTGCAGAACAACTGAGGGTCTGCCAAGGATGACAGCAAAATTTTCAGAAGACCAAACATATTTCTGTTGGAAAAATTTGAAAAAGGTTTCTAATTACATTCAAAATTTTGAAAAATTCAGTTATTAAGGGAATCAACGCCTGAAATTGAGGTGCATTGGTTTTTAGATGCACTTACTGACGCTTAAATATCAGCATATACTAAAGCAAAGGGGATAGGGGCTAATTAACAGTTTTCAAAAGTGGCTACTTATTACTACAAAATAATAAAGTAATTCCATTAAATAGGAAAGTATTAAAAATATCAACATAAATTGGCACTCGGAAGTCCAAAATAAAGTCCAATTCACACTATCAAACTTTTCATTTAATATAATTGAACACAAAGTTGGATGGAAAGTTGAATGTGACATCACATTCAAGTTTCCGTTTAATTTTTCATCAAATTGTCGTTTTCTCGCTTCAGTATCACCCTATCCAACTATTTATTTCGACAAGTTGCATTCAAGAGGAGGATGAAAAGTTTTTTAGTGTGAATTGAGCTTTAGCCCATTCTGGCATGACCAGTGTCTAAGTATGGGTTAACATGGAGATAAACGCACCTCCAGATTTCATTATGATGTACGTGAAGAAAAATTTCTTAACAAGAAGAGATAGGCGTTAGAAACCTACTCTAGTCTTATGATCCATCTTTTTTCGCCAAAATTTGGGATAATTTACAATATCTAAACTGAAACTGCTGACACTTGTACATCATGTTTTGACACAGGTGTGAACTAAGAGACCTGTGATCTCTTTCTTCATTTGGAAGTTAGAATGAATGAAGAAAAAACTGCTCATCAAGGAGGGAACTTCAGACACTAGTTTGCATAAACATACTAAGATGAAACCAGAATATGCAAATTTCAGTCTCCATAAATGCCACGAGTACACTGGTAGGAAGGGTATGCAGGACGATTAATAAAATTTTATGTACCCGAATGGACAAAACAGGACTAAGGAGAATTGGAATAATGTGAAGGGTCATGGCTTTGTTGCTACTTGGTCAAAAACACTCTTCGCTGTACCTTAGGTCAGGTCAGAAAATCAATTCGTCATTAAAATCAGGGTTTGTAAAAATGTTATAAAAGGTGATCAAAAAATGAATGCAGTATTTCTAATTGATAAGATCATGAGGCTGTAATATCAGCCCTCTTAGAAATCGTAGCATTGTCGAAATGACTACCCGTGTACTGCGGTTCTTATACCTACTCTGACAGAGGAATACTAATGGTCGTTCATGATCATACAGGTTCTACCTCAGTGCCGTTGACAATGTCATATCCGTTCGTAGCATCAGCATCACGATCCTTGACTTCTGCGCGTTTCTTGATTTCTTCCTCATACTTTGCGATGAAGTCTTCGTCGACAGATTTGATGAGTGACAGAAGCTGTTCTTTTTCATTGTCATCCCAATTTTCCGACCACTCGTGGAATAATTTAATGCGGCACTGAAATAAACTTAAATGTTTTCCTTCCTCATGCTTTAAATTCTCCATTCCTGTTATTAATCCATTCAAGTAACCTTTATTACCGAAAATTTGAACGAGAATTGGGAGAAAGTCACCTCTCTGCAACTCACTCCACTCGGCAAACCACCTCACCATGTATCCGATTTGGGCCGGGACTGTGGGAGTATAGCGATTTCGCTCCATTCTTCAGAATTGCACAAACAACCACACAAATTCAAAGAAAAAAGGCTACTTTCAAATTCAGAAAGTATGAAATATTACAGTGATATGGACGTAATCAAAAACTATTGTTGACAAAAAAATAGGGTAACCTAGAAGATAAGCGGAAAGCGGATGCTGTCTTGTGCGGAGAGGCGATCGACCAATTAAAAAAAAGGACTTATCCTGGACGGAGACCAATCCACGAAGTGAATCCGGGGATCGCTCCCTGATTGGTCGAGCGATTTGAAGCGCGTCAATTGGAAAAATCACTAGATCGGAGACCGAAGTTATTTCGCTCTTCTGAAAAATTTGAACTTTTACTTTAAGTCTCTTTTTCCCCATAGAGAAAAAAAAGGAGAAGTATGCATCTTGAGAATTGTGTACCCTATGACGTGGGTCGGTACAACCTGATCAGCAAAATCCGGAATTCGAAGTATGAAAAACAGACCATAACGTCCGATTATTTTGCTTAAATTAACTCAAGATATAATTTCAAACACTTTACGTAGATTGCATTTTTTCCATAAACTACACTACTTCCAAGAAAATCGATGATAAAAGTCGTCGTACCAACCTACGTCATCAAAAAAATTCCAAGATGCCCAAAATGCAAACACCTCCTTTTTTTTCTCTATGCTTTTTCCCATGCCCGTTCACATCTCATTGAGATGACCTCCGAACTAGATTTTAAAAATTTTGGCTCCAAGTTCTACCGCTGGAACTTCAAGAAATGTTGATAACTGTGAACCTAGTGAGGTTCACAGGCATACCGACGGTGAAACAACCAGACCTTGTATCTCGTTTGCAGTGTTTAAAAATCTCTGCTCCCATCTGACTTTTTAAAGGAGAACAAATCAATATTTGCTCTTGAAATTTCTACAGAATCTTCTTCGTAAAGAGGAGAAAAAAACACAAAAATTTTGCAGTTCAGTGGTTTTCCATTAAAAAAGAAATTATGAAAGGAAGTCTACAACGTCATAAACCAAGATACATGGTCTAGTGGTTTCACCGTCGATATGCTTTTCCTTCTACTTAATCATGAACTTCATTTGGTAGCAAGGGTAACTGTTCTAAAATGGCAATTTTTATACCCACTTGAGTTTTACAACTCTTAAAACTTAATTTTTCAACAAATTCAGCTATTATTTTAATTTGTTTGTGGCATGGATTAAAGTAGGTACCAGCTTACACCACACTTTAAAATTTAAAAAAAAAAAATCATACTAAAGCGCAACAAATTTTCATGTAACTTTCTATCGAACGAATCTTGGGAGTTGTCATCTTTTTTTGTCCTTTTAAAACTCACAGATTCAAGTTTTACCAACTACTTAAAAAATAAGGAAAGGTAAAAAAAAGTGTTTAGTGGCGAGAGATTTTGGTTGTGAAAGGATTTATTCATGTACTCTGGGTATCTACATACTTAAGTTTGGTTTCATTGAAAATTAAAAAAAGGCTACTCTATAACTTGGATAAATCTAGCCCACCCAACATGGATCCAATGGACCTAGATAGAGATTCAACTCTGCTTAATGTCATGCTTTTTTAGCTTCACAGACAGCTCTACAAAAACATCCTGTGATCCTGGATCACGTTTTAGTAAAAAAAGTAAATAAATTAAATTAGAGGTCACAAGAATAAAAAATTCAAAACCACTCCTGGAATGCCCTGATGGGGAGCTATTTGCATAGGATTTTTTTTAATAAAAGAAATCGACAGTGAAACTCCCAAACCACATATCTCAGTTTGCAACATTGCTAACTTCCTGACACACTTCATTTTTTTAATGGAAAACTGTTCAATGTCAATTCACTGAAACTTTCATGATTTTTCTTCTCTATGCAAAGAAGATTCTGTGAAAACTTCAAGGAATGATATTGATTTATTTTTCAAAAAAGTAAAATGAGGGCAGAAATTTTAGAACTTCGCAGACGGCGTACGTGGTTTGAGAGTTTCACTGTAGTTTTGTACTAAAAAGGTCTTGATGGATTACACATTCTCCTTCTTTCATGAATTCAAATTACAACCTGATGTAATATGAAAAGTCTCCTGCCAGAACAGAGCATGCAACCCTTATTGCACCTGAAGCATGCGATAATTGCAAAGCATGCTTCAGCATGGGAAAAAATGGACCTTTTTAAGCAGAAAGGAACCATACCACATTAGCTACTGCCAAATTTAATTGGGCACATTAATTCTATTAAATGAAATTGGTTGTGTGAATTTTTGTGCAAATTTTAGTGAATAATCTGCATAGTGCGAAGTAAACTCCTTAAAATTTTCAAATGAATCCGCACAAACGTTCTCTTGTAAAAAATTAAATTGCCTGATTAAATTTGGGAATGGCTGATGTGGCTTGGTTCCCTTCTGCTGAACGCGGTCCAAAAATGCTTCAATATTCTTCATGGTAAAATTCTATGAGGAGAAAGTGTACTGCATTGCTGATGACAGAGAACATAAGATGAAAAGGCAGTTATGTACAAAATCAAGTTAGTGAAAAACGTGGATCCATTGAACCCGGTACGGGGATTCTAGTATAAAAAAATGTTGAGAGGACTAGGGATAGTAAATTTTTACAAAAGCCCTAAAAGGGCACAAAAATTAAAACTGCTTCATCTTGGTTCCTTAAATAATAGATACAGTCTTGAATAATTATAAAAAATTAACAATAAGTACAATGATATGAAAATTAGGAAGAAGACAATAATTTGCGTGAAACTCCCAAGTTCAAAGCTGAACTATGACTTTGAAAGTTGTGAGAAAACTAATTAAAGAGGGGATCAACAGATCAACGTCACCCCCCCCCCCCCAGGAAAACAAGCTCAGAGTGCAAAAACAGCATTGGAATAGTTTGCTTTCAAACATATTTTTATCATGATTTTCTTCGCTCCTGCTTTTTGATTTTTAATGATCAGGACGGACCTGTTGAGTGTTAAAAAATGTCTTGTAATTAAAACTTCAACACCCCACAAACTTGTACATAGGGACTGCCGCATATGCAACTTCTGACCCCTACCTGTAGTATTATCATCTTAGCTTCATCAATTTATCCCCCTGTCCCATTCTTGATCTTCTTCCTCACGTGACACAACACAATGTGAGGAGGAAACTCAAAAAATTAACCATTTACTCTTCTATATTTACCAATACAATTTTTAGAACTTTTAGACATAACTTAAAAACAAGCCACCAGGGTTTTGGTCTTTCAATAGGTTAGTTTTGAAGGCGTTTTCCTGACGCGAACTGAGCTTGAATGCCGGCTCCTGGTTTCGATGGCAGCTTTAGATCCACTTAAAACTTGCTTATCAGAGGAACGACTTCTTTCTTTGGTGGTCTTTTTACTTGTAGATGAGGCTGTACCACTTTTTTGAGTTGATAATTTTCTCTGGTCTGATATAGCTTTTTCTGTAGTGCTTCTTTTGGCAGCCGCAGGCTGCTCAATAGATGCCCTCTTCCTCATGGTGAGAGATCGACTTGAGACTAATTTTCTTCCTGCTAGCTTGTTTCTGGCTAGAACTGACATTGTCTTGCCTGCGAAAAAATTGGGTTTTGTGACAACTTTTGTGGTTGTAGATGATGTAGTTGAGCCTTTCTTTCCGGATTGATTTGATTTTGTGTTGAGTTTCCTTACAGGTATTGAGCTTTTCATGGATCTTTTGTTCTGACTCTTTTTCGCTGAACTCTTTTGAGGAGATGGCGAAACTATTTTCGGAGAAGGCGAGTTCTTTTTGGTGGCTGATTTTACTTGATTGGAGGATGGACTGTTCCTAGAAGTACTTGTCCTACTGCTGTTTGGTGTATATTTAGCTGACAGGCTCTTTTTCCCAGAAGAAGTTGACTTATTCAGAGACTGTCTTCGTTGTGCTATAATTTTTTTAGATGACGCTAAACTTTTCTTGGGCAATGAAAAAGTTTTCTTCACGGGCTGACTTGAGCCACGAATTGATTTTCTCAACACGGACTGACTCCTTCTAATGTTACCGGGTACACTTTGCTTTACAGTTTTTCTTAGGGTGCGGGGAGGGCTCTTCTCAGAACCTGGAGTCAGTCTCTTTTCCTCTTTCACTGGCGAAGACGGACTATTTGCTGTTGGTTTCTTTTCTTTCATAGAATCACTTTCTAGTTCATCTTTTTTCTTTCCTGATATAGGACTTCTCATAGGAGCAAGTCCTGGAGAACTCTTTCCAGATGCATTTTTCATTCTAGGAGATGGATTTTTTACAGGACTTGATATTTTTTTCCTGGCCGAACGTCTTTCACTAAAATCAGTTTTCAATTCAGAAGGAGAGCCATTTTTACGTTCGATTCTGTTTCTGCCATCGACCAAACGGTTGACTCTTAAACTAGGTGAACGTTCATCAGGCGAAACAAAGCTTCTTCTCTTGGAATTTCCCTCTGGACTAGAAACAACATTTTTAAGAGGAGGAGATGCTATTTTAACAGGAGACTTACTTTTCCTAGTACTGTCATTCTTAGTGTTTGGGCTATCTGCAGGAGTTTTAACTTTTTTTTCTGGACTTGGAGTTAGTTCTTCGGACTTCTTTTCTGGAGACGAGATCCTTGCTGAACCCCGTGCTTTCAATTCAGAATTCCTTTGATTTGACCTTTGTCTTGAGCCAATACTTCCACTTACTGGGCTTTTAAGTGAAGTTATATTTTTTTTCCTAGAGCTCCTGCTCTGTCTGGGCTCTAATTCAGCTGCAGTGACCGGACTACTGATTTTTGAAGTGTTTTTCTTTTCAATATATTCAGCTGATGAAGAGTTTGATGATAATCTTTTCACCTTTGACTCAAAGTTTTCAGTAAAAGACATTCTTTCTTGAGGTGTCTTCTCCTTCTTATGCGAAAAGGGAGTTACTTTAGGTGTTGCTACTGAACTCAAAGACAAATCAGCATTTTGAAGCTTTTCACTGTTGCTAGGAGTGCCTCTTGGCCTTGGAGAATTTTCTACAGAAGATCGACTTCTAGCTTGGACCCTTTTCTGATCTGGAGTAAATGGAATAGACCGACTGCGCCTGTTGGAAGATTTCCTGTTGTGCCGCAGAACTGGAGTATCAATTCTGTGTAATGCTATCCTCAGTGACTTTCGAGGAGTCTTACCTTTAGATTTCACACTATCTGAGTGATCTTTAGAGACATCAATCGATTTTGAAGTTGATTTCTTCAATTCTGGGGTCCCAACTGTCTCAATTTTTTGTTTGGAAGGTGAAACACCTGCTAACCCAACCGATGTGCGTCTTAAAGATTGTTCTTTTGTAAAATTGGTACTCTTGGAGGGCGACTGTTGAGGGATTGTATCCTTAGATACTTCCATCTTGGCGGGTGATTGTTGGGGGCTTGGATTCTTAGATACTTTCACCTTGGAGGGTGACTGTTGAGGGCTCGAAGCACATGATACTTTCGTTTTAAGGGATGATTTATCAGGGCGATTCTCATTTTTGCTGGGAGTATTTTTGGAAGGTGTGTGAGCTCGAGGAGACTTACGACTGATTTCTTCTAAAATTTCTAGTCGTCTCAAACTCTTTTTGGATTCCAACTGTTTTGGAGACTGTGGCTCCTCACTTTTTTTGTATTTTGGATCTGTTGGCTCTTCTTGTTTTTTACTATGTTGTTCAGGAAGGGTTGGTTTCATGGGACTTCTTTCTGCTTGTCTCCCTTGATTTCTGGATGGGGAAGATGGTAAATTTGGAACAGGGCGAGAGGATCTGGTGCTTCGAGAGGAACTTTCAAGTGATTCTTTGTGTTTCCTGTCTGGTTGTCTTTTCAAATTGGGAGAATTTTCTATAAATGTGCCCTCCACTTTTCTTTTGTTACCCTCTTTGCCTTTCTTACCGATATTTTCCACTTCAATTAATTTCCTTGGGGTGGCTTTATTCGATTCACTTACTGTTTGTTTGTTATCTGGTTTGGAATGGAGGACCAATTTTCTTCTTAGCCCAGATTTTATGCTACTGGTTCCAACATTTTCATTTTTCTGCTCTTTTGAATCTTCATCAGAGGTACCTTTTTTAGTACTATGGCGAGCTTTTTTGCTTGGCGTTTCCTCTGAAGATGGTCCTGTGACTCTTCTTCTAGTGCTCTTCACTGCTACTTCAGCTTTACCTGATCTTTTATTGGATTTCAAATAACTTTTATTCATTCTTTTCCTGGCAGGGGAGACTTCATCTGAATCTTCATCATCTCCTTCGTCGCTATCAGATGTTGCTGTGCTATTCTCCTCTTCTTGGATTGATTTTTTTGAATTTGATTGCTGTGCTCTACTATTTTTATTGGGAGTTGGAGAAACATTTTTTTTCTTACGAGCACTTTTCCCCATTTCAGGGCTTTTTGGGCACAATTTACCAGATAATTCCTCTTTGTCAATCCTTGGTCTATCAGGAGATTTCATGGCAACTCTGGTATTTGCTATTTTTTGAACTTTCAACTCCTCAATTTCTCTTTTTCTTCTTAAGTTTCTTCTCGTCAGAGAATATTCTTCTTGCTCTGAGGCTGCAATTGCGGCTACTGAGCCTTTCTTATTTTCTGACTTCTGCCTTTCTGCACTAGAATTATCGCCATCAAAATTAGTATCATCATCTTGTTCAAATGCCTGCGAATCAAAGTCTTCAATGCCACTGGAGTCTATGTTTTCGGCATCTGATAAATGAACGGGGCTTTTAGCTGGAGTCTTCTTGAGACCACCTTTTTTCACAGTCATTTTTGCACCGCTGTCCTGCGTTTCATCACCTTCTGAGCAGACCGCATCCATGTTTGTATTTGATTCAGTCTGTAAATTATTAAAAAAAACGGTTAAATAAAAGATTAACTGAATTCTTTACAAAAAGTCTTCCTCAAAAATTCATAATAAATATTATATCAATTAATAACTGTGTATTTAGCTGATTCCTCTGGTTTCATGTGCTGGGTCCTCAAATACGTGGATTGGGCTTACTGAAAAATATGATTTCCGTAATTTGCAAATCTCCGAAGAGTTCTGGAGGCACTAAGGTGGCCAAAGTTGAAACCACTGTGGCTTGATATTTCCAACACAGAGGGAGATGCTAATTGTAATTTGGGCTAAGAATTGTTCGAGATTGATCACTTTAAGACTCTGGAGGATGTAATCAGCGGTTTTCATTTAAAAGCTATGTTTTACACTTTTTTTCGTTTCAAAATGAAAACAATACATTCAATCAAAAGACACTTGAATGTATTTTTGGATCTAAAGAAAAAGCTATTTTCAAATTATTCATTGAATGCCTGAGGAAATGGGTGGTCGCAGGTGACTTGAATTTGAAGACTGTATTCCTTGTATTCTACATTAGATATTTATAACGGAGCATTATGTATTGAGGTGCTTAACTTATTGCCATGTCTAGCTGATTGCTAATTATTTGAGTTAAATGAAAGACCCAGGACATATACTCAGTGATCTCATCTTAAGGAGGCGCACGCTCCCCTTGCACTCAATATGTTGAAGAAAATACATATGTAGAGACAATTCAAAAGAGAAAATTTAACTTGCCATACGGGTAAGGTCCAGGTGAAAGTTCAAGCTCGAGGAGAGGTGATTTATGAAGAAACCATGGGTGAAGGGGAAAGGAGGAAGATCAGGTGATCCACGAATTCCATAAAAGTGAGGAAACGTTTCTTGGGGCCAGCATCCACGAGAATGCATTCACTCTTGCCAACAACAACCTCTTGGCACGACGGTAAATTTAGTGCAATGAGCAAACTTTGAAAGGCCTCGGGCCAGAAAAAAAGGTTACACAAAACTACCGATTATTAGATTTGATAGGGTATCAGCTAATCTGGACAGTATAATAATACGTGATGGAGAAACCAATTCCAACTGCACATGTGCATAGGCCTGCTTATAAGCTTATTGTGGCACAGACTATGTTAACAATACATCTGCACTGCGTATTGGAGCATATCTATGTTTATCACTAAGTCTCAGTGAACAGATCATTTTCAAAACAAATCATCATTATATCTTCGTGTATGGAAACTTCAGAGGGGGCTCCTTATCAATATAAAAATAGCAGAAGTTTTCAGAAAAATGATTTATCTGTAATAACATGGAATGGTCTTGGATGCTTTGAAACATTGCGATACAGATACGTTCCAATACGCTGTAGGCGGCAAAAAAATCCAACACCATAAATTAATCAAACACAAGAATTTTAAAGCAACAATTTAATAATGAATGAGGCAAAAAAAAAAAAAAAAGATGAGTGCAAATAGAGTAAAAATTTAGGTGACAAAAGTTTGGTTATGTGCTTGAAAAGAAAAAAAGGAATGCTATGGAAGGAAAAAAATCTGGTGACAAACTTATTTTAATCTCCATTACTACTTCAAAAAAATGATGCGGTTCTCTTCAAATTTTAGTTAAATCTGACAAAAGTTTTTAAATGAAAAAAAAATGTACAAAGCTGAGGCTCAGAAAGTGTCGACGGGTAAAGCAAAAAGCGTAAGCAGATTTCAGCAGAAAGTTTCATTCTAACTTAAATTATACTTTAAAATGTAGGATCATTACATTTTCTGTAAACCAATAAAAGTACATCTAATAAAATAATCTGTCACTAAGCGACTAGAAAAAATTCAGTTTTAGCAAAGTAATTTTGACAGCAACATGATGACTAGGATTTTTGGGGGAAAGTCAATCTTAGAAATCTTCTCAGACATGGAGCTATGTAATTTCCTTTTTTCATGCATTGAGCGTTTCTTAGGTGAAGATATTACGGATTACAAAAATAAATCGGGACTCTGAAAAAAAAATACATCAATGAACAGCTGAGTAAGTACTACTCCATCGGCTGAATGAAAAGAATAAGATAGATCTATATTATGGTTATACTTTCCAGCTCTTTTAGGTTTCATTCCACTATCATTTTGAGTGATTAACCTCATCAATACCAAGATAAGGTTTGCTGCCCACAACCCCTTACTCTTAAGTAGGAGAGAGATGGGCATGTAAGCAACCTCAGAAGCACTTTGAGACACTTTCCAATGTAGTGCATACTAATGTAAATTAGCTAGAGTTGCAGTTTAAACCCTCATGACAGATGGCATAAATTACAAGTCTCATTTCATCACCGTGGTAGGCTCTGAAGCGTTTACAGTGCTTGTAAGAGGAGAGCAAGATTACTTGTCACTGGTTCACAAAGAGCTCAATTTGACGGTCAGGTTATCTTGTTCATATTGATTTTGTATCTTTTGGCTCAATAGATTACAAACACTGCAGCCACCAGTTACCTATTTTACTTGCTCTTGATCCTGACCCTCTTGGATATCTACCCTGGTATGTTTTAGGTTGTATGTTGTTATGTTAAGGTCTAAGTGTCAGAGTAGGCATTGGTCGAAGGCATGAAGGGGTCTGCACAAGCACCTGAATTTAGTCAGTTCCCTCCCGCCATCACAGATTCAGTCGAGTAGCCATGGAGTGAAGGTGCAATAGGACATGGGAAAAAGAAAGGCAAATGAATTTTTCCGATGGTAATCTACATCAAATTTCAATGCGACCTAAAATTCCTTAATGGCACACCTCTACTACAAACCCAATTCCTGAACTTCATGCAGCATTAAGTAGATTTGTATTTACTTACAGCGTTAGGTGAATCTTTGGCAGTGTTCATATTGCTGGCAGTTGTTTCAGACGGCAGTTCTGTGTTCATAATATTAGACTGCTGCGTGCCATCCTTCACTTCCGCCGCTTCAATTCTGTAAATGACTTTCTGCATGTACTTTGCTAGTATTTTATTGTTCGCATCTTCCAGAAGCTGGAAAAAATTGCATTGTTCAGTTTTAAAAAAAAATTTAAACCGAAAAAATACGATATACTACTTAAGTTAAAAAAGTTATTTGTTAAACACAAAGTGATACTACAGCGGTGCAGAAAGTATTTTGCTTTTGCGTTTTTTGAGGAAGCTTTCACATGCTAGATTTTTGACATCTATTCCTGAAGTTTCATGGTCCATCATTTTTTTATGGGGGGAGGGGAATAGGTAGGGGGCCACAGTCTCAAATGTTGAAAAATTCTGATAAAAAAACGACAAAGAATCAATAAAATTTAAATATATTTTCTTCACATTTTATCAAATCCCCAAAAATGTATTTCTTGTTTCCATTCAAACACTAATATTTGTTATTCTCTAACANACTGTCACATGTTTTACCGCAAGCGAGCGGAACTCGCCCAGAGAGCAGATTGTGTATTTTTGATCAAAATATACAAGTATTGAATCTGTATATTTGCAATTTTTTTTGTGTAATTTTTCCCGAATTTTCCCGCAGAGTCCGCTTTTAACGAAGTTCCGGATATAACGAAGTTTTTCTGGGAACCGTGAACTTCGTTATATACGGGCTCCACTGTATTCTCTAACACGTACTTACCAACATAAGTGCAAAGTTATTCCTCGGTTAGGCTTTATTAACGCAAGTTATTAGCAGATATTTACAGACACCCAAAAATGCCTGATAACTGTAAAAAAATCATGACTTTTGGATACATTTGATTGGTAGTTTGCATTCAACTGAGCGTACAACTTCCAATCGATTAGTGTGTACAACATAATATTTTTACCGATTCAAAACTGAGATAAGATGAAAAAAGGACAAAGGACCGAGAAAATCTAAACACAATATGTTCAAATTTCATCAAGTACCCAAAGAATTAATTTCAGGTCACCTGATGTGCTCTACCAAGAGCAAAACCAGTGGTGCCGGATTTCTCTGTCCACACTTAACTCTCCTTAACTAGGTTTCTCGCTTCCACAGTACACAATTTGTGCAAAAAATTGAAAGATGGTCATTATCTCGTAAAAAATTGCATTTTGCACACAAAAATATTTACAAGACACCATGATTCCAAACCGTGTGCATATTCATAATCTAAGACCAATGATCGATGTTCATAATGTGGTCTTTCGTCTAGGTCCGACATGGGCAAAACAACAGTGTATTTCATTTGGAAAATACACTAAAACAAAGGACAGAAAGCAATACATTAAAATTACCTCGAAAACTTGACGGCACAAATGCTCAAAATTCTCCCGAAACTCCGGTTCATCATAGGACAACTGAAGGGGTAACAGAGATCTTACAAGCACAGGGACATTCCCAAGATTTGCACCATAAGTGTTGAGAATTTCCTTGCAAATGGCTATGGCAAGGCTATTATGCGGATTGGGTCCCTGAAAAATAAGGAGTGATCTGAATAGAGGCACATACATTTTTTAAACAAAAGAAAAGAGTCAACACGTTTATTAAAGGGTGTTGAAAAATTTCGAATTTACAATTTTCTAATCGCTACAAATGCTAGGCAAAATTCTCAGATGTTCCCATTGCAAAATAATATGGTGGCTGGGGTTATGTACCGACCCGACACCTACTAATAGAATTTTGAGCTGATGAGAAATTCTATCCAACAATTGAACTTAAAATCACTTTGTCTTATTGAAAAACCAGGAGCGCAAAATCTTTCAAGCTTTCACTTTTCCATGCACTCGAAGCTGGCTTTCTACATTTCCCTCAAAGCCTTTCCCAAAAATTGCCCTCAGATTTCAAAAAGAGGACCTTTTGTTTCTTATTTCCTTTGATTTTCGACTTCTGACCTCTAAATATCGTCCCTCCTTCCACATTTTCATGCATCCACTTAGGTGTTGGATTGAGCATTTTTGACGCGCCTGGAAGAAATCTTAAAGAGCTTATTTAAGTTTAAAAACACTTTGACACAAATTTTAACATGATATGAGCCTACCATTAATTCAGTTCAGGGATTAAAATAGTTCATGGGGAATCTTAAATTACGATTTGCAGAGAGAAAAAAACCCATTGAGATTGAAGCTGTAGCCAAAGGAGTACCTTTTCCTTGTTCATTCTGACAAGTATTAGATTAATCAATAACTTGGCTACATCATCAGGATCAATTTCATGTAAAGGACTGTCCATTGGAGCATCGTACAGCGTCTTCAAAGTTGGCAAAAATGCTTGTTGAAACATATAATGGGATCCCGCAAAAGATGATGCATAAACATTGAAAAACGTTCCCAGCTGTTGACGAAGCATGTAATCCTCTTCAGAAATAGGGCTGAACCACATTATCATCAATTTGGACAAAAGATTTACAGAGGTAATACGACCACCGATGATCAGTTTACACAGTCCTGGAAATAGACGAGAATAAATATTTAGATGACTGAAAACACAGAGTAATAATGCTTTAATTATTTAGCACGCTACTGCAACTTGAAGTTTGTCAGTGAGAGAAAGTTACTTGAAGAAATGATAATAAGCCATTTAAAGTTACCAAATAGGTACATACATGCTTTACAAATTCTGAGAGGAAATGTTAATACAGTTATATTATGTGCGCCGGTTTTACAGTGAATTCCTGAATATCTGGGAAAAAGGAGTCACACAAATATTAAGACATTAGGTACATCAAAATTTTGGTTTTCTTACTAGCCAATACCGTGATTGACATCGCTTAGTGATCAAAAGAGATGACATTAAAACTGGCACCCTTTAAGGATATGAAACATTGCCTTAAGATGTATTTTCAAGATTGAAGCAAACTCTGCTCTGATGTTTTGTCCCCCGTCTGACTGATGACTTCATCACGCAAAATTCGGCAAATATTTAGGAAAAACCAGCATACAAATTATGTAGGACAAATGCCTTGACAGAAAAACGAATATATAATATAATGATTTTAAAACATTAAGGTTACATGAATCCGTAACAATGGAGGTAAATTTTTATGCTGAATGCAAATATTTCCTCAATCATTAATATAATCTTGGAAGGATTCAGACTTTCAGCGATTCTACCTTTTTCTATTTCACTCGAGAGGTTGCCAGATTGTGCGATAAATGTGAATATTTTACATGGATTTGAATTGGGAAAAGTGCTAAAAAAGCAACTCATCTGGCAACAATGGAGTCCGGGAGGGACGAGAGGCTGCCTTCCTGGGAAAACCCATGATTTAGCCGGAATTGTCATTAAAACAATTGATTCCGTTTGAAGCATCAATTGTATACTAGGGGAAAGCTATTTTAAAATAATAATTGTAAATGGACACAGATGCTACAGAAAGGGAAAAAGGAAAAGGAAAGGAAATGAAATGAGGATATGATTACTAATATGTAATCATAGAGAATAAAACAAAAACGTCCGAGAAATTTATATGTGATGATTGCGATGAAAGTATGAGAAAACAACTCGAGTGGGCTCATTGCGATTCGGAACTCGAACTATATCCTTGAGCAGTTTTTAGACCCCTACGCCACCGATAATCTTCTTAAGAGGTAAAGATGAACTTTTGCTACTTTAGCAAGTCAAATCGCGGAAGGAGATCCATGGATTGTCTTTTTCCGCCACCCGATGGGATGACGTCCCAGTCAAATGCGTTATTGAAGAAATGATCGATCCCCATCATCGCCTCATCCCCACACATCTATTCATGTGCAAATGATGGCACGCTCCGGCAACAAGGTTCTGTGACGAAATCATTTTTGCCTCCAGAGTCTCCAAAATGTATACATCTTAGTGATCAAATGTCCAACCACTGAGAAAAATGGCTCGCGGAGCGAGCCGAATGTCACTCGCGTAGCGAGTGATCGGGGGTCCAGGGGGCGCAGCCCCTTGGCTGGCCGTGACGGACGCGCAAAGCGCGTCCAGAACGGCTAGTTTTTAACTATTTGTATTTAAAAATAATGGATTCATTCTTTCAAAAATTACCATTCACACAGCCCTATAAAAAGTTAAAAATGCAGTAAAAAGTATTACCTTCAACGGTCACATTCCGGATTTCGGTGGAGGAACTGTCCAAAAGAGACATTAGCAAGGTAACTAAATTTGCACTTTGATCAGAGCCGTCACTGGTGGTGTCCATTGAACTAATATTAGCCTCACCACTATTGGATACAAAGCTGTTTTCTTCTACCATTGCACCTTTCAATTTCCTCTTTTTCCTCTCTGGTTCATCGTCTTTCTTTTTCTCCTCTGGATCTAAATTATAATAAAAAATCATTATTGAAGCCAGTATAAAACTAGATAAAATACATACAAATAAAAATGGCAATGACAGAATGATAATACCCTGAAAGATCCAAATAAGGAAATAAGAAATACTAATTAAAATTACTGACGGTATAAAAGTATGCAAGTATTTGCCAGTGATTTTTCCTGATTCTGGAAAAACTTTTGTAAATCTGTTTCAATATGTTGCCACTTCCATGACTGTTAGCGACTGGGCCTCCAAAGCTAGAAATTTTTCTGCAGTGACCTTCTTCTTAAAGGGGAGGCAAGAAAATCATTTTTATCTTGAAACGTTTTTTCCCCCTAAGCTTTTTTTAATATTAAGGATTTATGTATTAGATTAGATAGAAAAAAATAGAATATTGTTAAATAGAAATTCAGAATATTGTTCCCTAGCATAGGAAATGATATTCCTAAAATTTTGAAAACCTCAAACAATTTCTTTCACCACTACAGCACACACTTGCTCACCAGAACTTACCATCAATCTGATCTCTCATATTAAAAGTGCCTAAACCATAGAATAAGAGAAGATCGAAAATTCCTTTCAGAGCAACCAAGCACATATCATCATTCGGCACCTGAAAAAGAGAGCAATAGAAATATTGTAAAAACTGAAACCGCAATCGATTCTACTTTATGTTCAATCACCAAAAAATAATAATAGAAGAGGAATGGCAAATATGAGACTGAAAACAAAGTTTTAAAGTTCTTCGGTAACAATGTTAGGAACAACTTGTAAGCTCTACTGAGGAACATCAGGAATTTAGGAGATACAGAGGCACTGCTGTGGCAACACTGATGGTTCGTTGGCTTGCTGAGAATCCATGAAGTACAACACGCCTCTGCTTGCTCACCAGACCTGCGTTCGATCGCGTCAGGAAGGAAGGAGGATTTTCAATGAAAAAAATATTTAAAAGAGTCTGATTGAGCTTAATCCCAACTTGCACACCAACACCAATACTCGAATAAATGTGAGGAGAATTTTGATGTCACGCTCATTAGGTACAAAGGTGAGGCAAGGTGATTGGCTGAGCTAATTGCTTTTTAACCAAATGATCAACAAACCAATTGAAGTATCTCAACCAACGCAGGGTTTTCCATCCAGGAACAGAAATATCGATATAATTTGTTATGGAGATGCTTACTCCTCTTCTGACTTACACAGCGAATGAGAGGCAAGATAGGCAGTTTTAGAAGTTTGTTATGAACTGATGACATATTGTGGGCATTCAGGGAGAATTGGCGAATGGAGAATTGGCGAATGGAGAATTTGCATGCAAATCTTATATTGCTTCATAGTGCTTTGCTGAAAGTGCTTAAAAAGCTGATTTCACAGTATTTTTCAAAAGTTTTTTCTGATATTGCAAGTAGTATAAAAATAGATTTAAAAGTGAGAAAATGCACCGCCTAGTGACGTCATCTGGCAGCATTTCCCATTCAAACACACGTATATTGGCAGATTAGATCATTTTGTCATACCCTCTCCAATAATTGTTCAATTCATGAACCAAGGGCATCCTTGTGTTCAGTTCACTCAGTAGTTTCCACTTAAACAAGAAATTCATCAAAGTTCAGACATCTGCAAATTCTCTATTGATTGGAAATGTTTTGGGCAATGCTACAATTACGGTATGCTAAAAAAAGGCATGCCCAGCAAGATGTTTGCATTTTGAAACTTCCTGAGCCTTAGATGACATTTAGAACACTTCTTGTCACTGGTCCACATGCCACATAATTTTTTTACTTTTATGTCACTTGATCCCTACTACGTAGAGACGTATTTGTGCTAAAAAGAACCATGTTTCACGCAAACCCTAAACACATAGTCCCTTTTAGCAGAAATAAGTTCATAGGATCTCTTCAGGAATGTGAATAGAAAGAGGAGTCCTCATTTCTTAACTTGAAAAAACTTGCACATCTCACTGAACGTTTAAAATGAGACAAGTCATAAACACCAAAATTCCAAAAGAAGATGTTAGAGGTATGAACAAAAATTACAAACCTGGAAACAGAACAAAAGGAAGTACTGCTTTGCAAGATCTACATCTAGAAGACAACTGTTACTGAGTGCATGGAGAGCTAAAACTCTTGAAGTGGTGTCTTGAGCTTCGAGAGCGGGACAGACGAATGTCGTTACCAAACTTCTCAAACATGGATTAAAAACTGTAACATTCTTGTTTTGTAAAAATTCAACAATGATGGTCAGGCATTTTGCTAACACCTCCGGGCTGATTTTGACTATCTGCAATAAGGCGCAAATATGAAGAATCGTATTAGAATATAACATAAAAAATTGACAATCTTTGCTTTAAACAAGCAGATTGATGCGGGATGACCACCAATCCTCCCCTCCATTGCATTGAAATAATCTCTATAAATTATTTTAATTGCAGCTAGTAGTTTATTGTAATTTAGTTTCTTTAATGAGTTCACAAGATTAAAACCTCACCTTCAAGTATTGAACAAAAACATCTTGACTATTTCCTTTTAAAACACATGAGAAGACCTACGATTAGTCATCAGTTTTCCTTATTTCATAAATATTTAGGGGGATACTCTAGTTCAAAATCAACCTTACTTTCTTTTTGACCGAATTTTTCTTCTTTTTTGGAGGAGGAGGGGGCAAAACATATATTTACTTCCACGGGGTTTAGAGCAAAAAAGCGACCACTTTAAGGCTCCTAAGATATCGCACAGTTCCTTCTGGGGACCAAAAACGCCGATTTTGAATGACACGTATCCTCTTCTCAATAAGCAAAAAAGTTGTTAAGAAGCTGCGAGATATTTAAATTTCACTTCGAAAATCGACCCTGTTGAGTATCTTCAACATTTAAGAGGGGAAATACAATCAAAAGCTTACGGAGAGACAAAAATAAATTTTTAAAAGCGAAGAAAAAGCGGAGGATTTGGAACCAAAAACATTTGTTCATGTTTCAACATGCTTCATCAAGAGCATTTTTAGCAGACATACGAAGAAATCATTACCTCATTATTCTCTTTCTTTTCTTCATCTGTTTCTTCTTCTGATACATCTGTGTTTTCATCTTCTTTGAAGGGCTCTTTCAAGTCCATAATAATCTCCACGAGGGAATCAAGAAAATGATCAATATTTGGTAGAATCCGACTGAAAACATCCACGATCACAGGGACAGCATCTTTCTTCACTTGAGGGCTCAGAAGTAAGTCTGTGCACAGTTGCTTTAGTTGACACCTTACAGAAAATAGAGAAAACACGATCAATTTTTTGGAAAAAAGCCTTCAATTTGAGTAAAAAATAAGTTTCACCTCCTTAACTGAAACATTATTATGGGTAGAATTTTTAAAATGACTTCATATTTGCCCTTGTCTCACAAAGACTGGGGAAAAGGAATTTGAGACAGTCCACAAACTTACTAAATTGTGAATAATCAACCTACGACTCTTCCAAACCTGACAGGCAAAAAGAAGTTCAGTAATGGTCCAGAAAATTTTGCCGTGAAAGCGTCCAACTACCTTCGGTTATGCATGGACATGAGATACTAGTTAAAAACAAGGATTATCTAAAAAGTACATTAACTGTTTGTTACACTTCATAAGGTACTAGGGGGCTTCTCCTCGCAAGCAGTCCAACCCCTCCAAAGCACTTCGCACCTCAGGCATTATGATTTACTCTTATGATTTTATATTATCCAGTATGATATGGGAGTGGCGTACTTTGTTGTTTATCCACTATTTCAAACTACTTGTGTTCATGAATTAGACGATGTGAATTTCAGCTGTATAATACTACCAATAAAAACAAAAAAGCCAAAAAGTAACCATTCGAATAAAACTGAAAAAAAAAGAAGAAAAAAAAAAAACGCATGATGAAAATGAAACACTTGAAACCATGTGATCTCTTCAGTCTTGATTTTTTTTAATAGCTGGTTTCTTAAATCACACCTATGGCGTGCGTGTGTTGGCTGTTTTTTGCAGTGATTGGAGGATTGTTTGAAGGCTGCCAGCCGACTTTAAATCTAGGCTTTTCATACAACAAGTGCTCAAGCAAATTCATTTTACATCCTTTTTTACAAATATTTTCATTTCAAGCTTTGCATCATTTAATGAGGGAATGTTTTGATGAAAACTATTCTATATGGACGCCGAAACTGGACTGGATCTTCATTAAAATTTGGTGGAATTCAATATTGCATCATTACTGTGATGACAGAGATGGTTTATAATTTTAAAAGGCAAAAGTTCATTGACTTTTGGATGAACAATGAAATGTAGCTTCACTTACCTCCCAAGCTCATCTGATAGATCATACACATTACAGAGCTGCAACAACTGCAATAAGATGAATAGCCGCTGTTTATGCTCCCAGAACTCTAATTTTTTTTCATCTTCAGAATCTCTCAAAAAATACCTAAAGCAAGAGAAAAAATTAATAATTCGCCAGCTAATTGCACTGATTTTGGTGGTCCAATTTCGAACTCACGTATCTCCGTTTGCAACGTTGCAGTCTTCTTGACGAGCTTTATTTTATCTATGGAAAATTAGACCATGTAATTTCATTAAAATCTCTTCCATGTTGACAGAATATGCCATATAACTTTCAAGCTTTGTATAAAATTGGCTTGTTTCTCTTCAAAAATATGAAATAGGAGCAGAAATTCTTAAACATCACAATGGAGATACGTGGTTTTGCACTTTGACCATCGATTTGTATAATCATTCGTATTAGAATAAATCATTCTTATTCTTAAGTCTCCTTGTAAGCTACTTCATGAGCTGTTGCCTACACTACAATACACGCAAAAAATAGAAGAGGGGGAACGCTTAGAGCTATTCACTGCTATTGAAACTCATTGTCCTTGTGATGATCAAAAGAACCAATCTTCGAATCCTCTCATACTTCCAACTGAGAGCTTTTGGGTCACCATATTTTAATAGCATAGAATATTGCAGGTCTCATAACCACACTGTGCTGCAATTGTGCCATATTTCATTTATGCTTCACATTTCATGCGGTTTTTTCCACTAAATCCGAAAATTACCTCAGTTTTTACTCATCATGCATCATTTTTCTGAAAACGAAATTTTCCCCATGAAATCTGGGTTCTGGGTTTTGGGTTTTTGGGGTGAAGAGATGGAGAGATGCCAGCTTCCGGAGGATCTCTACCATGACAGATTCCTGTGGAGAGTAGGTGTCGCAGAGCGCCCTAGCGCGCCGTAAAAGCGGCTCATACATACATAAATCTGGGTTTTTCAAGACCAATTCTATTATTCTGGAGAAATGGAATTTCCTCGGCATTTTTCCTCAACATAGCGCTAAAACATATCTACAGTCGAACACGTTACCTTACATGACCAGAAATTTGCAAGTCTTTCAGTGACATATGTTTGTTTTTGAAGAGTAAAGTCATTTTGCTAGAGCTCAGAATCAATTTTTACTTTTCCCTGACTGTCACTTTAAAGCATTAAGCAGAGCAATATTAGAAATTTGGGTACTATTTCACTAACGTTGGCCAAAAAACTAAGACAAAGTGAGAAAGAGAATAGTTAAAAATTATACTAGAGGTGCATTAGTACCAGAAGATGAGATGGGAGAGGGTGTACAAAAATCAGATATGGTGCAATACAAAATGTAACCCTCTTCTCCAAAAACCACTAACACTTGAAGATTGGTCATCAATTATGGGCTAAATGCCAAAAAATCGAAAATGGAGGTAACGTTGTGTTACATTCTAGACACCAAGAATGACATGCTGCATAGCAGCCACCAACAAAAAATTAGTGCATATATATAACATCTGAAAGATAGCGTTAGTGGTATGTTCCGCAGCAATTTACGGAAATAAAAATGTGGTAACTCTAAATAAACTTTTTAGCACTTAGCCTGTGATTGATTGCAGGAGTAAAAAAATCCGGTGCTTCTCCAAGACTGAAAACCAGAGAGAACTTACAAGAAAACTTACGTTCTGATATAGTTAGTTAGTGGCGTCAATTCTGGTAACACAGATTGCAACATCGTGTCTTTGTCTACTTCTAGAGCTTCATCATCAAGATTATGGAAAAAATGTACAGCACAGCGCCAGAAGAAGGCATTTTCTGGAGAAAGCTTATCTAGGGGAATTAATTTATCTTCATCCAAATTGAGTTTCACTTGCTCCATGATTGTATTTGTTGAGGTGCTCCTGGAGGCAAAATTAAAAAAAAGAATAGTTAGAGTACGAGTCACTTCAGTAGGAAAGTGTCTTTTAAAGACACAATCATGGAGGAGGAGAACTCCTTTACTTCAAATTCAGTTACCACAATAATAAAGATCATCTTTAATGATAAAAAAAAAATACAATGAAATCAAAATCTAGAAATGTGCATGGATCATCATTCTTATCGAAAGCTAATACATAGATTAAAATTAAGCTCCATTTGAAGTCCACTATATCCCTTCAGCTCTGAGAATATCAGGTAACACAAAGGCTGTTCAACAACTAGCAAGATAAACATCATAACTTCAAAACTAGGCTAGATATAAGCTTGCTTTAGTTTGACAGACAGAGAAATTAGCTTCAGAATGAGACCGGGATCAGCTTACATAATTGAAAATTAAAAGTCATGAGGATTTGAATAGCATGAGTTGCATATACCCACACAGATTTGAACAAAGATTTTTGCTCATTGAAATTTGTCGCTACAACTACTGTCCAAAGTACACTGTGGCACAGAACAATTATCAATCAGTATCAAACAGTTTGTGGCACAGAACAAATAACAATCAGTGACTCTGATGCATGTGAGCATGCGCAAAGAGGGTGTCCTTAGAATTGTAAGCAACCTGCCTGAAAACATGATTAGTAGACTGAACAATTATTTTTGCATTGTGGAAAAACACCATTAAACATGAGAATTGTGATATGATGGAATATTTTCTGTCTCCAGAAGTATCCATTAAAGTAAAGAATTTTCTAAGATAATGTTCTACGAACGTAAACTTACTTAAATAAAATTTGGAGGACAAGAAACGAAGTTTCAGTGCTTGTTTCAACATCTAAAAATTTCAGCATGGTAACAAAATTATTCTTGGCATGATCAAACCACAATGGAAGCAGGACTTTTTCTACACATTTGCTTACACGCTCTAGAAAAAAGAAAAAAAAGAGAAAGTAGGTAATCACTTGAAATGCATTCCAAAACAAGAGCAAATTTTCTTGCAAAAATAACAGCATGATTAGGATTAGAGCTGTGTGATTAATCGAACGGCAATCGTAATGGTAATTAATCTTTTTAATTGTAATCGAATTGAAAAATTAATCACAATTGAGTAGATTAATTTAACTTCATGAAATTTTGAATTTCCCGTCGCGTTCTCTCAAACTTTCGTCACTAGCGCAATGCTAGCTTAAAAAAGCGGTAAAAAATTGCAATAAATATATGACAAGATTGAGAACCCTGTTATCTACACATCCGCACCACGCGTATTTCATGATGCTTATGATGGAAGAGGCTGGCACTATATGAAATTTAAAGAAAAAAAAAATAATTGTTTGCAGTCGGACGGAACTACCCTCTTTTGAATTTTCCAAGATTATTAATGATAACTCTCTGCCTTGTGCTGTGTTTGTCCTCCATTCTCTTGGAGCCAATAAGCTGAAAAAAGTCTAGTTTATTTGGGTGGAAAGGATCTTTTAAAAAAAAAGACAATGGGTCAAACTTAAAAAGAAGGAGAAAAAAAAATATTGAAGTAAATATCAGCTTTCGCAGTTTTATGAAAAATTCTTCAAGAATTCGTATACTTTAACTTTATTTTTGGTCAGAAAAGCCACAAAAAAAATGAAGATGCCAAAATTTAACCATTATTTTCGTTTTTTCAATTTTAATCGTGATCATGATCATAATCGCAATTAATTTCCTTAATCATGATCGAGCTGTAATCGAATTCAACAATCCTTAATTGCACAGCTCTAATTAGGATGTTATCACTTCCCCAGTGATTCAGTTAATCTAAAATAACTTAAATATTACCTAAAAACTCTAAAACTTCCAAAAAGCCACTATCAACAATTTTATACGAGCTTAAAAATGTATAGAATGCGGTCCACAACTCCTGATCGTCGATTGTCGACACAATCCATGGATTTTAATTCTACGACTTCAATCAAACTGTGGTGTTACCAATCTACTGCATAGCCCTGTAAAATTTTAGTAGTAATTCATGGGCTATTGCAGTGTATGTGTGCAATCTTAAGGTGAATCCAGGCTTGGAACTTCGCGATTTAGCCACCACGTTGCTCTGCTCAGAATAGCCGCATATATTTGCCAAAATAATAAAAACCGTAATATGTACTTATTCAAAATTGGGGATCCAGGGGATATAGCAACATACTTGAGGAACACTCAGTAAAAAAATCTTCCCAAAATTCCCAAAAATAAAGTCGTAACTACGGCGGAAAGTAATTCCCATTGCGGCAATGGGGGAGAGACAGAACATATGGGATTCGGTTGCGCGCTCGGCCGCCGCGACTGAGCTGAAAGTTTCAGCCGTAGTTCCTCTCCGCTTGTAATTCTAATTGCCAATATTTTTGGCTCAAAAAATCAAGCAAAAATAATCTATATCTTGTGGATCTGCTTTTTGTAATTTGAACAATATTATTTCAGTAATCGTTGAAGGAAAGTGAAATTCTCAGGGGTGACTGGTGGCGCTATCTCTTATCTTGAATTATCCTTAATCGAACNGTTTATTTGGGTGGAAAGGATCTTTTAAAAAAAAAGACAATGGGTCAAACTTAAAAAGAAGGAGAAAAAAAAATATTGAAGTAAATATCAGCTTTCGCAGTTTTATGAAAAATTCTTCAAGAATTCGTATACTTTAACTTTATTTTTGGTCAGAAAAGCCACAAAAAAAATGAAGATGCCAAAATTTAACCATTATTTTCGTTTTTTCAATTTTAATCGTAATCATGATCATAATCGCAATTAATTTCCTTAATCATGATCTAGCTGTAATCAAATTCAACAATCCTTAATTGCACAGCTCTAATTAGGATGTTATCACTTCCCCAGTAATTCAGTTAATCTAAAATAACCTAAATATTACCTAAAAACTCTAAAACTTCCAAAAAGCCACTATCAACAATTTTATACGAGATTAAAAATGTATAGAATGCGGTCCACAACTCCTGATCGTCGATTGTCGACACGATCCACGGATGTTAATTCTACGACTTCAATCAAACTGTGGTGTTACCAAACTACTGCATAGCCCTGTAAAATTTTAGTGGTAATTCATGGGCTATTGCAGTGTATGTGTGCAATCTTAAGGTGAATCCAGGCTTGGAACTTCGCGATTTGGCCACCTGTTAAGGTTGGCGATTGGCCGGGTTGGGAGAGCAGAGAGAACCCAATTTGATTCGATGACACAAACTTTTATTCCATACTTCACAGAGCACACAGACCGAATAATCAGACGAAACGCACTCCATTCCTCACCAACTCGTTGCTCCCCCCTCCAGTGATCAGCCGAGCAATCCACTCCTCTGATTGGCCAGGGGAACTTCTCAAGTGATGCTCCAAAGCAAACTCGAAATTTCCCCGGTCAACAGAGCAGCCGTGCCAACCGAACAAAGGAGAGGCAAGCAACGTCAGAGAGTCGCTATACTTGACACCACCACGTTGCTCTGCTCAGAATAGCCGCATATATTTGCCAAAATAATAAAAACCGTAATATGTACTTATTCAAAATTGGGGATCCAGGGGATATAGCAACATACTTGAGGAACACTCAGTAAAAAAATCTTCCCAAAATTCCCAAAAATAAAGTCGTAACTACGGCAGAAAGTAATTCCCATTGCGGCAATGGGAGAGAGACAGAACATGTGGGATTCGGTTGCGCGCTCGGCCGCCGCGACTGAGCTGAAAGTTTCAGCCGTACTTCCTCTCCGTTTGTAATTCTAATTGCCAATATTTTTGGCTCAAAAAATCAAGCAAAAATAATCTATATCTTGTGGATCTGCTTTTTGTAATTTGAACAATATTATTTCAGTAATCGTTGAAGGAAAGTGAAATTCTCAGGGGTGACTGGTGGCGCTATCTCTTATCTTGAATTATCCCTAATTGAACCCTGGATTCACCTTAAATGGTTAACAGAGCTCACCGAAAAATTTTTAATTGCAGGTTCATGAACATTTTGCTCACTTCAATACCTATATGAATAAACTTTTGACAGTAAAAAAATACTTTCAGTCCAGGCTTTAAAAATGGCATAAAAATAATGCGGCTAAGGACTGCATTTGGATTGGATGTATGTTAAGTAAGTAGGTTAGTATTGATGGAGGACTCTTAGAATCATCACAGCTTTTTTATACTGCCGTAAATCTCTAATAGAGAGAGCGTTGGGATGAAATGCTAAGCTTGGGACTGCTTAAAACGCTATATAAAAAAGGACTAACTTACCATCTCTGTCTTTCAATCCGCTGTACAGTAACATTTGTCGCTGTTTGATAGTGAATCTAGACATGGAGCACTTGCTTAAAACAAGGAAAGCATCTTTCCTCACAAAGTCTTTGACATCATAAATACGTTCTACAATTGTTGGAAGGGTATGAGCTGCTACTGCTAATTTTCTAAGAATAGCTCTCCGAGCTTCAACGCTTGGGTCCATGGACAGATGAAATGACAAAGCTGAAAAAAAGACATTGATGTGCAAGGGTCATCGACAGAGTAAATTTCTTAATTTTTTTTTTCTTCTGAGTGTACATACTACATCTAAAGCAAAGCACTTAAAGCACGGAGAAATATAGGGTTATATTACCAGTTTGCTAATATTTGACACTCGCATAACCATTACACTCTCCATTTTTCCCTCTCCACTAACTATCTATTTAAGTAAGGTGAATTTTTACCCAAGCATCAAGGATATTTAGTACATCACTGCAGCAATGGGGTGATCAATTGGACATATTTAAATCAAGATGGACTGACTGAGCTCATTGTGACATGAGCCCTACCATACATAGAGTCTTATGGGTCTCAGGGCTTATGTCATTGGCGACACGGTTCCGTTCAATTCAAACATGTATAATCAGAGCAGGAGATAAAATAGTTGGCTGGGTTGGTTCACCTGACGAGAATTGTAGCATTTTCAAGAGATATAATTTCAGTTGATAACTTCGTAATTCCTTCAGATTTTTACGTGCAGTTTTTTCTTCCAAAAACGAAATTTGAAAGTCAGATTTCTTAGCTCTGAGACAGAGATTCAGAACAGTGTCAAAATTTAGAGAGCTAGGAAAATTACCCTTAAACTTATAAAACTCTCATTATGTTTGCTTCAATTGTTTGCTTATATGAAGAATGCTGAAAAGGCTTTGGGGAGGCTCAATATACTTCTACATATTAGGTAAAAGCACTGAACAGTCACTTACTACATAGGTGAAGGCGGCTTGAGTGGAATAAGTGCTAAATGGATGATAAATTTGTTTAAGTGGATGAAAACGAAAACAATTGAGAAAAACTTTTTACCTTTGACAACTGGGCAATTGGCATCAAAGGGATCCTGCAACCTGTAAACAGCAGAGATGGCCCTGACTCGGATACCTGGCATTTTGTCCTGAAAGCAAAATTTGTTGTTTAGATTATCTGAAACGCATTACTAATTTAAAAAGATAATACAAAGAATAAGTATACATAAGACTAGAGACAAATTGGATGCAATCGAGTAAAGGAGTGTCATTTGCACTGGGTGGCTCAGCTAAAATATCTAAGGCTGTGCGAAGCTTCAAAAAGTTTTAACCGGATGGCCATTTTTGGTTCAGTTTGATTTTAAAATTTGGGTTCAGGAATTCCAAGCATTTTTAACATAGATTTCTGAAGTTTGGCGGGCACTTGCAGTTTCTAACAAACCTTTGCGATTTTGCAGGTGCTCACTTGTGATCATAGTTTTTCTGAATCACTTGTTCATCTACAGGTAAAAATTTTGGGTCAAAATGGGCACATATTTTTTTATAATTTTTTTATATTATTATTTATTTACTTTTGCTAAATTATCAGTTATTTCCCACATTATTTAATCAGTATTATATCAGTTTTGTTTCAGATCTGTAATTCAAATGGCAGCAGAGACCCGTTCCAGTTTAGATGGATTTCGTCAAAATTTAGCTGAAAATCTACCTCCAAAAGACCGCCACAGATGACAGAGGGGTTAAAAAATTTTGAAAAATGGTTTTTGTGCTTCAACCACAATAAATAAACAGATGACAAAAATATAATAAGTACTGGGGTTGGTTGAGCAACAGTCCCTGGATGATTTCACAGTGAATGACACCATAATTGATAGACATTTTTAAAAAGAGAACTAATATGTACCTTCATTCGTTCAAGCATACTTTCGACGAGTTTGTTATACAACTTTTCATCAATGACCACTTCATTACCAAGTTTGCACAGTAATTTATCCACAAATAAGCAAATTCGACTTCGAACAAGGTGATTATCACATCCATGATTCTAAAAAGAGAGAAAAAATCAAAGTGAATTAAAATTAATACATAAGGGCACAAAAATAGGTGCATGCTGCAAAATAAAAAGATTTTGACAGCACCTCTTTGCATGAAATAATTTTTTGAAAAACAAAATGCTGTCCTAATAGCACATTTTATAGACAAAGAAAAAACTTCAATCTTTGTTTCTTTCCTGAAAACAAATAAATTTAAACGAGGCAAATATTTGCAAACAATAGGAATGTTCATTAAGAGTATGTATCATACAAATAAAATGGTACTTTATTTATCTGCCTCAATGTGGCAGTCGGCTTGGTCAGATAACATGAAATTGTCATAAAAAGGTTTAGAACAAATTTCAATTACGGAAAAATCAGTGCCACTCAACTGATTGTATGTGAGCATTGGCAAGCACTCTAAATTATCAGTAGAAAGCAAATTGCTTGTCTATAAAACAATCATCCGGCCAGTTTGGAGCTATGGATGCCAACTTTGGTGCACGGCCCCAAAATCTACCATCAAAATAATACAAGTTGCTCAAAACAAATTTCTACGCCTCATACTAGGGTGCCACATCTACTGCTATGTAGATATAATGCACAAAACCCTGCAAGTAGACACAGTCGAACAATATGACAAAAAGATGTGCCAAAACTATGCCAAGAGATTATTTAATCATCCCAACCACCTAGCACTAAATCTATTGGATAATAGTATGACAGTAAGGCGCCTGCGAAGAGCTCATATCCATGATTTCCTAGATGAAGATGAAGCCACCAGCAGCAGTGAAAATGAAAATTAATCAATCAATCAAATAGTTCAATGAACCTATCCGTGACATATATTCTCTATTATTGCGTCACCAAATTCAAATCTTACCCGTAAACCGAAACGAAAGGCTTCCGATTCGGCATCGAAAACCTGCAACGCATCAACGCTGCAACACAACAACGACAAACCGCAAGCCTAACTTCTTGCAATGCTAGTGCTACCCAGTATTCAGCCCAGCTGAAATCGCTCGATACTTTTCTTTAATACGTGCATCTCGAACTCGGAACAGCTTCTATAAGTTCTTATCAGGCTGAAATAACTAACTGGTCGCTAGGCGGATTGCCGCCACACCCCTTCTCGTTATCTCCCCATGACCTAAAAGGGTAGGGAAATCTAAAACAGTCGCCAAAGCCGTAAGGCAGATTGCGTCTTCACCAACAAAACAAAACAAAAAAATTCATTTATTGTAAGATTATTTGAAACTTTTTTTGGTTTTGGACGCTTGAAGATAATGATCCCAGGAGAATTTGACTTATCTGTCAAATGAGATCACTTTGCTCACAGACTATGGATATTTAATAAAGTAACTTGGATAATATTTTAGAATACTCCACAGAGTTTCAGGATGTACTCTAATATATGTCCATACACGACTGAGAGGGGAGAGCTCTCAGCCCTTGCAAAAGAAGTTGGAATTTTTTGCTGGGATCTCACCAACAGAATCACAAGCGGCTCTGTTCTTGTTACAGCACATTGGGTTGCCTGATGACGACAGGATAAGCATGCAAATATTAGGAGAGACAGGAGATCAAAGTATTGACTAATTACCTAATTGAAAAGGAAAGAAACTACCAAGTTTGCACGTACAAAAATTAAATCAAGAAAAAATAAAAACTTACTGCACAAACAAACTCCAGGATTTCTTTCAAAAAGGGACAAGTTTCATCATCATCAACTCCAGAGCTGTTGATGACGGCAACAAACTGAGCAGCAAAATTAAGAATTGCCTCGACACTAGGTACGTCCTCGGGATGAATTAGGCTTGCTTTCAGGCACTCAATAAATTTGTCGACAAAGTCTTTGAATGAAATCTGTAGAAGAAATAAAAACAGGTACCAATGAATATATTTTCAAAAAGTGTACTCAACAGAGGGATTGGTGCGAAGAAATGAGAGAAGGAGCAACGTTTGATTAGGATCCCTCTATTGAACGAGGTGTTAAGAAAATATACAAATAATCTAATTGAACCTGGCCCGTTTACGCAGGTTATACCTTTAAAACTAGGGTTTTCAATGTTGCAAAAACTTAGCAACTTCCATCCTACAAATTAGATAATTAATCAGCCACAGATTTAGAAAACTGTTCTATAGGCAATTTATACGTTGCCTACGAGCAGTCTGGCCTGAGGCTACACCTTGCCATGTTTTAGCTGTACTTCGGCTCAGTTGCAGTGGCGTAGCGCACTTTGTGATATATCAATTGATCTGTCATTTAAACCTATGGAAAAGGATCGGTAGGCAGGGTGTTTGCAACGAACACCTTAATGAATGATTCTTTGACGTAGCCTCAAATGGGGAAATATTGATAATCGATCATTCACACCTCGCCACTGCTCAGTAGCACGACACTTTGAGACAACTGATTTTGGATTGATGCACGAATTGATTAATGAGAAAGTAAGTACAGTTCCTGTTAAAATAATGCATAGTTTGCGACATGTTAAAAACCTCTGAAAGTAAGAGATGGACAGATGGACGTGGTTCATGTCCATCATTAGCCTTCATTTACACAGGCCTTTTTAAGTGAGATGAATACACATCTTACAATTCAAATTAAGAGATGTGCATTGAAAACTTCCACATGAATATCATCACAACGAAAATAATTGACTCAGTACATTTATTTATTTATTTATTTATTTATTTTTACAAAAAGAAAATTACAAAAATAATCACACTTAAGCTGGCAAGACCCTCCAGTAAGCAATGCTGCTTGTGTGGAGGGCTGCATACGAAAAATATAAACCAAAGGAACTGACAACATATTTAACAAAAGGTAGCCCTGCCTGGTGGGTAAACTAAACAGTCTATAAAGTACTACATGCTGGATACAATCCTGATTGAGAAGCATTTGGTACCGATGGGTTGAATCAGAAATGAAATTTGGACACTAAAATCTGATTTGCCTACATGCAAATTGAGCTGAATACGCTTGTGCTAAACATAACAGCTCCTTGTACTAAGACCTAAGAAGATAAGGGATACTCTTAACCTGGGTTGATATATATGCTTTCTTTCCAAGTCCAAATTCTAGTAGCTTTGAAATGAGAGTCAGAGGCTCATTTGAAGTGCCTTTCGACTTTTAATTTTGGGTGAATATATACAAAAACAGCTTTAGTGTTTGGTTGGTTGCGATCTACTTCACACATTTCACGAAGAAATGAACCAATTTCAATCAAGTTTTGATTCACTATCAGAGGATAACTCTTATCAACAGCTATGCACTGAAAGTGCTCAAATACTTGTTATTAATCCTGGCAACAAGATTGAAAGCGTAGCGATTAGAAAAATGGAAAAGTACCTTATCGTAGAAACATCTCAACTCATCTATGAGACGGTGTTCTTCATCCAAATCCAAATCACCGAAATGTTGGGCCTGTTGGAAAAAGTGGCTGATTTTGGAGCTGTCTCCCTTTCGAAAATCCATCTCCTTGACTCCTGACATGGTGGGCATCGGATGATTAGAGCAACCTCAGAAAACCACATGAACTAAGCTTCTTGATATTCATGAAAGGAAGCGAACCTTGAGGTAGGCATTGCATTATTTTGGACAGACAGAGAAAACTCCTAACAATTTAGATTCCATAAACGAATATACTCGTATCAATCACCGGAAAATAATCTGACTCCTGATTGTGAGACTCCAAATTAACCGTAACTTGTTGAAACGAACTTAAACTTGAATCACCTTACACTTGAGGAATGAGAAATAATAAAAATAAAATTCAACGCATCATTTGAAGTTGAGCGGCAAAACCTCAAGATTTGAGTATGAAGGATAGAGATAGAGGGCGATTGCTGTTTAACTTTTGCAACCATTTTTAACGTCATTGAATATATGCCCTTCCATTACTCAATGACGTCAGCTGGTTCAATTCTCCATTTGCAAACAACAAATGAACTATACAGGGTGATCCATTTGAAAATAAGTTTAATTTTGAAGTTTTTTAACGTATTCTTGGCTCTGATAATTATCGCGGGTTGCTTTCGAAATTTCGAATCCCCTTAAAAATATTAAAAAACTGAAAACGAGACTTCGCTTTTTTGCATGTAATAATATCATTTTGCATCTATGGCTAAAGAGAGCGCCGCCGCCGCCTAGCCGTATGATCTAGTGTGAACAAGGCTTCTCAGCAAAACGGACCGCGCCGGTGCGCAAGTGTGAACGGGGCTTCGATCTTCTTGGAACTTGGAGTTTCGCGTGTTGTGCGAAAGGTAAGTGTCACGTTGGCCCATCAATTTTTCACTAATTTTAAAGATTTTAAGGTTTTCTCAAGGCAGCTAAGTGCTCGATAATTACCTGTTCGCAAACATATTTGTATCTTACAGCATGTGTGTCAAAAACCTCTCTGACTTAGTTGTTTTACACACGAAAGTGTAGCATGAAAGACTCATGAGCATGATACTTAGGCCAAGGCATTGTTTTCTTCGATAATTTTAAGGCCTGATTATTGTTCTCCAATGTCGAATTACATTTTTAGTCCGAATTTCCATTTAAAACTGGAAGTTTCGTGGCTTCTTCTGAAACTGTATTTGGCAAATAGGCTGGGTTTGATGCCCATGCCATGTGATAGACTAACCTCCAATTTCCATCTGAGACGTGAAGTACGTTTAGAAAGCTTGCTCTTTATTTTATGAGATCAAAGTCAGTCTTTGACTAGTTCCCAATCCGTACCACGCCTGAGGTGTTTTGTGTAGGTAAACTTATCGAATTCCATATTGTCATTATGTTTACTGAAAAGCAACCTGATGCTTCCATCAACCTCCTCCATCCACTGAGCGTAAGGCAGAATTGTTCCAATCAAGAAGGTAGGAAGTCAGCCTTGTAGGGTATTTCAAATGTACTATCTTGATACGGACAGTTTGGCACTGGGCAGTTTTTTCCAAATGGTTTCAAATAGTTTTCTTTGATGATACACTGACTATCTTGCCAAAGACGCTATTAATGGGGACGTTATCAAAGGGATTCTCCATTACATCAAATTGGACCCAAACAATAACATTAGCGTAACCTCTTTCAATGCTACCAATGTTTATAAATTGATATTTATTGCTTCTTCGTGACGCGCCACTAACAGCGTCTATATCAGATGGTACTGTTGACAAGTGTTGACCGAATCACAACTTCACTGTTCCTAATCTCAACATTCTGCGAGTCTTCCCTGCAACATATTAAGTTCACTCATTTCTACATTGAATCAAATATCTACTTAATAATTCTTTTTTTTTTTTTTTTTTTTTTTTTTTTTTTAAATAACTTAATTGAATAAAGTACATATTGTCACCACTACCCCATTACAATTACAGGGGATCTATTGACATGTTTTAATTATCGATTATTGAATGATATAAATAAATTATAACGGATGATAAGATAGCACACTTATCATGTTGGTCTGAGGCATGTAATGCCCCAGCCATTTATTTAATAATGAGAGTGAGATTACTCTTCGTAAGAAGGCGTGCAGGGGAGGGCAGAGGGCCGGGGGGCACCCCGCCGTGAGAGGCAAATCAAACAAAATGGAAGAAGTAATTCTTGTACTTGCTTTCATTTCTAAACTGAGGATGGGTTGTGTGCCAGTCACCCACTATAAGAACGTGAAGTAGATGTCTACTTATTGGTTGAATTTGCAAATGGTCACTTTTTGTAGCTCCAATATTCTGAACAGCATAGGTAAATCAACCCAACTAGTAGCAAATGCGCTTTTCAAATTTTGACATCAGATGTTTATGTGTGTAGTCAATACGTCTTTAATTGATTTTTGCATTTTGATTTTTTGCAGGAGTTTCTGGATATTAATTTCTGAAACATAGAATTATCCTCAACTATCAGCATGGTAAGATCCCATCACTGTATATTAGTTTTTAGTCCAAGTATTTTTCAACTTTCGCGTATTTTGACTGCTCTAATGTATTGTATGTAGTTCCTCCCAAATGAGAAAGAGATAAGTTGTTCATCTCATTTTCCTCTTACTGATGCTTGTTTTGCACCAATGCCACCCATTTGCATTGTGAAGAGGTTCGTTGCTTAAGTAAGTGAACTATTCTGGATTATTGATTACTGGTATCAGTAAATTTGAAGTACCAAAAGAACTACCCTTGAACAACTGTCTTATTTGTAATCTACGGCCTCAGAGCAATAGTTGTTCAAAGGCCCTCAGCTCAGGCCTAGTATTTAGAGAGATAGCAATAGTTTATTAGCAAGAGGTAAAAAGGGTTTTTACAGTGGAGCCGTTTTTAGAAATCGGAAGCCTGAGAACTCTCTGCATCCCTGATTTGGATACCTCCAATCACCATCGGATCGGACAACACCTGAAGTACTTACCTGAACATGTATGGACTGTTTTTCTTTTTCTTTTCATGAAATGAACTTTGTTTCAGCCACGTGAAATCAAGGAGATCAAAGATTTTCTCTTGAAGGCCAGGCGGAAGGATGCAAAATGTGAGTCATTTTTATAAATATATTTTCAGCTTAAGTAGGAAGGATTGAATTCCAAAAGGTTATTTTAAGATTTTCAGCATCTTAAAGTATCTGTAATATCCTTGTAAATAAGATGGTTATTTTGTACTAAATTGTGCCCCAAAAATCATAGATCATCAAAATTCTGCTCCTGAAATGCTAAAACAGTGATGGGTCTTGCCTTTTCCCCCTTTTAACCCATTTGCCTCATTTGACGAGTATACTCGTCAGCGCGCGTGCGGGGGACCTATCTCAGCTAAGGAGTTAATTCGCGGCATCTATCGGTGTTGCTATGCCATTTTTTTGGCTATGTTACTTCACTTTTCCGATAGACGGAATCTCAAGCGTCGTAAAGCCGACAAATGGCGCGAATTAACTCGTCAGCTGAGATAATGTCCTAGGCGCCCACTGACGAGTAAACTCGTTATATGAGGTGAATGAGTTAAACTTCCCACCGGCCATTTTTTGTAAATACTAACAGAAATGTGTCAGAGAACACATCTTCAATTTTTTACTCTGTAGGAGGGAGCCAAGGGAAAGCCCTCTGTAGAGCTACCCCTCCCCTTTTGCTGGGACCTAAATCCCTTGCAGTGATTTCCCAATGAAGGTCTGTAAAGCCGGGATTTCCTACAAATGCCTATTGGCGCGGGTCGGTAGTGCCCGACGCCAATTGTCATAAGAGCCCGTGTAAACGTCTTATTTTCGCCAGGCGTCAACACCGCCTTGAAGGCGGTGTTGACGCCTGAAGAAAGTAACTTTTAACACGGGCTCTTATGACAATTGGCGCTGGGCGCTGCCGAACCGTGCCGATAAGCATTTGTAGGAAATCCCGGCTTAAGACACTCCAACTAATGAAACATTCGAGCTCTTGCCGTTACCCTTCTCCTCATCTAAATTATATAATTAGATCACATTCAGATACTAGTAGTCTTTGTGAATCTTTAACGTTGAAATTTTGCTAAAGGCATGATGCGAGCTTTAAATTAAATATGCAAAGCATTTAGATGGTTAATCATTGCCAGGGTTGCGACAGTTAGGGAAAACCGGGAAATGTCAGGGAAAATTTGGCTTTCTAGAATGGTTTTGAGTATTTGAACAACAAATTTTGCCTGAAAACTATGTTCAATTATGCCTTCTTGACCATCTGTCACATCTTCAATTGTCGGGGAATTTCACCAAAATGTGTCAGGGAATTTCATTTTCTGAATTTTGTGGCAACCCTGAATTGCACGATTTCAAAGTCTTTTTAATTTGCAAAATACTATGAAAAAAGTAAATTCCTTCAAGATTCTTTGTGATAGGTTCTTTCTGGAATGTCTTGTTCGATATCTCTGAAAGATGTTTTGATTTTTTTCAGCCGTCAAAATAAAGAAAAATTACAAGAAAGGTGACAAGAAATCAATAGACAATGTCAAGTTCAAGATTAGATGCTCGAGGTTCCTTTATACTTTAGTGGTCAAGAATGAACAGAAAGCAGAGAAACTCAAGCAATCTTTACCACCAGGTACTTTCTGACTTCTTGGTTCTCTCCTAGTCTAATGCAATCATAGATACAAATTTTTAAGAGCAGCCCAAGACAATGATAACAATGGAAAAACAAGGATGATAAATGGGAAACAAGGCTAAAAATACACAATTAATGAAATCCGAGACGTTTCGACTCAACACTGAGTTATTTTCAGTCGGAAACAATAAAAATTTAAAAAAAAAAAACGATAATAAACCTGAGCTCTACATGGTGGTGGCCGGGATCTGAGAGAAAGAAAAAAAAATTAGAAAAATGCTTTTTCTCTCAGATCCCCGCCACCACCATGTAGGGCCTCAGGTTTCTTATCGTTTTTTCTTTTAAATTTTTATTGTTTCCGACTGAAAATGACTCAGTTTTGAGTTGAAACGTCTCGGGTTTCATTAAATATGTACTTTCAACCTTGTTTCCCGTTTTTCATCCTTGTTTTTACATTGCTATTCTAATGCATTTTCCTATTTTTTCTTGGAACTGATGTTTCAAAATTCAGTGTGAATTTTATCTCATTTTTTTTTTTTTTTTTTACTTACAAGTGGCAACATTTTATCATGTCTCTTTTCAAGAAATGTCTTATCTTCTTTTTATAGAAATGTGGCACCATCCTGAGAGGTCTGTTTCTCGTCACTTTCATTCACTTATATTGACATTGAATTATTTCATGAGAAGGAATCTTCTTTTAACACATTACTGCACTCTCTTCAGCTTTTTATTGAACTATTTTTACTTATCTTACTAATGTATGTTTGAATGTATTCAAGCGAATATGTGAGAAAAGATTTTTGTCAATTTTTTTAAAGAGATATGGGACCATAGTTGTTTTGTGTCGCCTCCTTAATTACAAGAAAATCCTTCAAGCTGCTAGTACTTTTGCAAATTCTGTCTGAAATCAACTTCTATCCTACAGCCTTCTGTTGCCAAATATTTCATTTCAGATTTTTCTAGCACAGTTTGAAAAACTTTCTCACTCTGATTTAATCCCCTAGAAATGTATTTCATTGGTTGTTTTATTGTTTCTTTCAGGTCTAGCAGTGAAAGAAATCAAGTGAAATCTCTGGCTGAACGCAAGAATTTGTTCATTCATTTTATATCATTCTTACACACTGTAAATTGTTGACCTTTATTATGTGACCTTTTGTAAAATAAAAAAAGAAAAATATATGAGAAAAAAAATGGACATCTGACTTATTTTTTCATCTTATAATCTTACTGTATAGCAGCCACTTTTTTAGGCTTTTTATTTGAAAGCAGAATGTTTCTTGTTTAACAGGGATTGCAGTATGGATCAAATACATTTTAATTAATGACTTAATATCTTTAGAGGACAGTGGAGATATCACATTTGTTTTGAAAGCATTGGAAAAAGCCCACTAGGGCAACTACTAATCTCTTTCGGAAATTGTCATTTGGTAGAATTTAATGAAAAATGTAAGGTAAGGGCTTGAAGTGCCCCTTCCTCCCAGCAATTTCTCTCTTCTTGAACAGTTGTAGGTAACAGTAAATGAGCTTGTTCAGTAATTTTTAATTGTTAGATTTTTGGAAGGTTAGAGTTTTGCCTTTACAGCAGTTTGCTATTGAAACACAGGTAGACCCTGTTTCAGATTGCTTTTCCTCTTTTGCATTCTCTCTCCTGCGCATACAGCGTGTGAGGAAAACAATCTAAAACGGGCTCTAGATGAATGTCAGAAAACAGGTATTAAGTCAGGTAACAGGTATATTAAGTCGCCACAATGTCAAAGAAAAATAGTCCTTTTTATTTGATAAAGATATTACAAAAAACAAAATAGAGAAAAATGAAAACAAAAACAAAACCTTTTATCTAGAAAAAAAAATAATTGAAGTTCGAATTTCTAGATTATCAAGTATGTTCGTGTAAACAGCAACACGTCAGAGAAACATACTTTTCTAAAATACTGATACTTTTTCCTGGAGGAGCTTGTTTTTTTTTTCTTTTGATAACTTTTTAATACATTGTATGCAACATTTTGGAGATCTGATCAAGGAAGAGCAAATCAATATTAATGTCTACCTCTAATGAGTAGGCCACAAAAAATGGGAATACATTTGTTGCATAACATAGTGAAGTAAAAGTAAATTGGAAAAGAATACTGTTCATGGACATTCTGATTATTACGATACCAAAGCTATCTAAAATTGGCTTCCTAAGAAAAAGATGAGAGGAGGATCAAAAATTGTGACAATGTATTACATTACAATCGTAGTCCTCCCAACAATTTTTTAATGAAAACTCCCGAGCCAGGCCAAAGACACAAAGACAGAGGGCTCATAACTAAAAACTTCAGGGATGAATGAAACCACTCTGGTGCTGTGCGTTTGTGGGTGCAGGACTTCATGGGCGGCAAAAAAAAAATTTGATTTAAATTACTCTTGATTTTAGCCTTTAAGTTCTAAGCTCACTTATGACACCTAACGCAATAATAAAAGTGACGAGATGGAGATTTTTCATACTTCACCTACTTCGGCCTGACAGTTCCTGCAAATCATTGTTGAAATTAGAAACATTGATTAATATTAGCTCCTGGTACAGCAATGGTTAACGCACAGGAATAGAGCAAATTCAAAATGGCTCTGCAAGGGCCATTACTTAGACTGGAGATTACTTTTTTTTCTTTCTTTTTTTTTTTTAAATTCAAAAAGGTATGCAGTCTACGATAAACTTGTAGAAGCCTTTGAAAAGGAAAGTTCCCCAAATTAGAGTCAAGGAAAATTACAGAAGAATAAGCTTACAAGCCAGCCCCTCAGGCATTGGTTGGGAGGACTAAGATAAAGAGCGTGAACTACGAGGAGAATTTTTTGGTAGCTAATTTTGATTTAAAGTCAGTGGAAGTTTTAAAGTGATCATAACTATGCAAGTGACAAAAAGTTATGAACTGCCAAGGTTATATTGAGACTATTAATTCCGAACTGACAGTGCTGTGTTCGAATAATTCAAACTTTTGTGGATTAAAAATAATTAAAATGATTGTTTTCCTCCTTCATATTTACATGCAAGGACCGAAGCCTATGAATATTTGAGCACAATTTTTTAATTGCTCCAACCATGGAACTTTACTTATTTGGAAATCTGGACCGAGTTTAGCGGAAATGCACCAGGTCATACTTTGGAAAAAAATGAGTTAGAAGTACCTAATATTTAAAAAGTCATAAATTGTCTCCTCTCAAAAATTCAAAGACAAGAGAAGATATTATGAACATAAAACAATCATTAGACTTTGTTCTGAACATGAAATCTTACGGAGGAACAAAACTTCAAACCTCCTTTTCTACTTCCAACTTAATGCCACTTGGTGTGTTTCTGTTAAACTTGATCGATTCGCAGTGGAGATACTAAAATGCAGGGGGAAAAAACAGACAATAAGGGAAAATCAATACTTGGAAACTTTGGTAAAATAGATGTAAACAAGTAATCGGATATCTACTAGATAAAAGAGATATTAGATAACAGAGCATCGTATAGATGAACCTCCACTACACTTTAAAGTAAAAAGTAATAACATTTTTAAAGAGACACGAACATCATGTCACAGATTATCAACGCCAGGTCCAATAATAATAACAAGATATTCAAACATACAAACACAGAATAACTTAAGAAACCTGAAAAAAGATATTGCACACACACATGAACACACATGTCACAGCATGAAGAGGGATTTTTCCTGATCTGCTTTGATCAAGAAAGTTGCCTTTGATGCCAAATAGGTGACATAGGGCATCAACTTTCATTATTTTCGCAGGGAGAAGCCCCAGGCTGTCCTGTTCTGAGATATGACAGGAGATGGGAGGGAAAGCAGCACAAATCGTAAAATGCTATTTCTAGATAATAGCGAGAGTTTTAAAACGTCGGCAAATAAAGTTGCAATTGAAGCTTCCCAAGCTGCCGCCTCTGATCGGGCTGAAATCTTTTCAGTGGAATCTTTGGATGAATTTATTGTACCGGTGTTTTTTTTGTTAATTCCAAATCGCCCTGGGCGCAGCATAAAAAATTCAGGTTATGAGCGCACACAGTTTAATGAACAGCTGGCAAGCAAACAAATTGGCAGGTTTGCTGCTTTGTTTAGGGACTGCAAGCCTGCAGCCTCAGCAATCTTACTAATGTATTGGCTCCTTAGCTATGTACGGAGAGTCTGACTGGGTATAGAGATGGTCTCTCAGCGTAGTGTAGGGGATTCCTTTCATTGTGACCTCAACTGTAAGAGCTTTTGCTGAGCTTGAAAGTTTGTATCAGAGGAAATTGGTGGCACCATTGTATTTTTCTCAAGAATTTACTTCAGAAAAAGTACTTAAATCACGAATCCCTGACACATGCCTAAGCTCCATTGGCTAATTGACCCTCTCGTTTCAAATTACAGCAGTGTATTTACTTCATTGTAACTGAGTCATATGGTTCAGTAAAAAACAGAGCTCTTAGAATTAACAAGGACAAGACCCCTACTGTCAGCTTGACATTTAGATGAAATTTTAGGGGAAAATATTCCTCAGGGAACTAAAATACGAGTACTGCTATTCCCACTAGTGGATTTTAGAAGAGCTTTTTAGGATAATTTTCTAATATTGCAGGCAAAAGTTGAGAGAGATACTGAAAAATATGTTCTAATAAAACTAAAATTAGTAAGACAGCATTAGGATAAAAGGAACTAAAAGTATGACAATCCTATCTTATCTGTGTAAGGTAATCAAAGGCTGATAGTTGCTTCTGAATGAGCCAAAAAAATGGTTCATTGAAGTTAAGTTTCCATCAGTTTGCCCTCTCATCTTGTGATAGAAGGGATGCTGTATTAATGGCGATGAAACTTTCAGATAAAAAGCTTGCATTGGTGCATCAAAATATTCCACACTTCCCAACACCTTAGGCTCATTTCTTTCTCTTGATTTTCTTTCGATATCCTTTGCCAAACCACCCTGGATTGATGCTGTTTTGATGACTATTGGAGGGTTTCTTTGCAATGCTCGAATCAGGACTCTCGCAGCATAAACAACAACGATCTTTGAAATTGAGGTTTGCGTTTGTGAACTTCATGTAAAAGAGGCAATTATTCGAATCATAGTAGATACGACAAAAGTCACAACGTTGGGATGATATTGCTTTGTCGGTTTCAGCAGTAACACTCACACTGTCATTAAAGCTATCAGTCTTTATTATCGAATGAGTATCTTGGGTTTGAGTATCACGAGTGCTAGGTATCACAGATTTGGTCTTACAACTATCCTCGAGCCAATCGTTGTTGATAATATTGGAGGTTTCTACGATGTTATCACGAATCCGTCGGTAGACTTCATCAAAGTCAGCAGGAATCGATATCCCAACAGTTTCACCAGCCCCCAGTGCCAGGTCCACAGAGGAAAAATCCATAACCTGACAATCGAATATAACCTGATCAGATTCTTCTCCGATATGGAGAGGGTCTGTTTCTTCAAAATCTTCTTCTGCAGACTCAGCCTGTTCCATGATTTCACAAAAGTTCACTCCATTATCTATAATAATACCATTTAGGATTTGCCCACCTTCCTTCCGAATTGAGTCTTCTTGCCCGAAGTCAGTTTTCCGGAAACTGGTTTCATTTAGAATAACACTATTTATTACCTTCTGCTCTCCATTGTGAGATACAGTGATTTCTGCAAACTTTGATTCAACTGCTTCATTACTGGGTATAATTCTAAAATTGGAGCTTTCTGTGAAAATGATACTGTTGATTCGCTGATCTCTCAGCTCCGATTTCCTGCTTTGTGAGTAATTTTCCTCCAATTCATCTTGAATCACTTCACAAAATTTCACATCTTCATTAATGATACTATTTGTTTTACATTCTTTACTGTGTAAACAGTCCCTTTCTACCACGTTATCTTCAGCTACCTCCTTTATGGTTTTGAAGAATTTCATCTGGCAGTTAAAAACACGGTTTCCCGTATGATCCAAATTCTTTGGTGAGTGGTTTCCAGAAGACTCATTTCCATTCAAGATTGAGCAATTTATCTTACTTTTAAGGATATTAATAACTTTCTCCTCTCCATTTAGTGATGGTTCAATTTTGACTTGTTCCTCCTTGACCATTTCTTTCACAAATCCACAATGCATTGGACCGTTTGACCTACTTTCTTTCCAATCTAAATTTTGCAAAGGATCTTGTTCGGCAGGTTCCTCTTGGAATTCTTCCTTCACGTCGAACTTATTATCATCCAACACAATACTTTTCATGAATGAACAGTTTTCTACAGAGTCCTTTTCATTGCACATGCGAGGCTTTAAGTCTACATTTTCTGGTGGTTGCTCTTCTGTTATGCATTCCTCTTTTTTCACATCCATCAATGGAGAAGATGAGATTTTACTCTGATCAAGAAACTTACCATCATCAGGTAATGGGTTTGTAGAATTTTGTGGCGTTTTGAGGGCTGGCTTAGAGGTAATATGTGACTCCACAGGATGAATAAGAGTTGCATGATTGTAAATTGGATCTCGATGACGACTATATTTTGGAATTTCTACATTTAGGAGGTGCATTACTTTCTCAAACACTGCATCGCATTTTCCTGGAAGGAAAAAAAAGAATTTATATTCAGGATACAGGCATATTCATAATTAATAAGAGTTTAAACTGAAGAGGATTTGCAAGGTTGCTCCCTTGTGCATATTTCTGCATTGAGGAAAAAATATGAAGAAAGGACACAGGTGATCTTAACCAAGTCCAAATGTGAATTTTGAAACCCCAAAATCTGAAAGTGGGAAACTACAGTAATATATCTCGGGTACACTCTTTTTCACCAAATAAAAATGATTCATCGAGCTGGCTTTTTTTTTGTAGTTTCTTTTTTTGTGAAAAATGTATTATTGTATCGTAATTTGTTCCTAGAACTTTGCGGTAAGCTCATGGGCTTGATAGTGCAAATGCAATCATCATGCTAAATGTTTTACTTGCAAAGAAATAAATAAAAAAAAAAATATTAAAATATAATACAACAATACAGGAAGATACATTTTTATGCTATTTAAACAAAGGAGACCCATGGTTTGCGTCCAGCTTTTTTTGGTCAATTTACTTTGGGTATATTATAAAATAACATTTCTTCATCCGCAGGTGAGTTTGCAGTTTTTGGTTTTTCATTTTTTTAAATTCAATTAAACGAGTCTTGAAATCAGTAATTTAAAATGCTTTGATTCAAACAAAAAATAAAATGAAGAATCAATAACTCCACATAGAAAATTGAAAATAAGTACAATAGAAATGAAATAAAAATTTACAGTAGAGGGTGCATGTGTGAAAAGTGTGAGAGAGGGTGGCTTACCGTTAATTTTCAATGTCGCATGTTCATCTTTAGGCGTCCACTGTAAATTCACGATAAACAATTGAGGCCTTTTCCTTAGTGGTTTATCCATTCCCCAGAGCCATGGATACTTTTTCAGCACCTGAAAAAAAAAACAGAGAGATCTTGAGAAAATCCGGTTTGAAATTGAGCTACTCTTAAAAGAAACAATTTATACATTTTGCAGTGCTGCTTAAATTGTGCATCTGAGCAGCAGTCGATTCAAAAGCCTGACATAAATTTTGCCCTTTAAAATCTTCATTTTTTTTCTCCCACATGGAAATCTGCGAGCCTTCTTGATTTACTAAAAATCATGAACAATACTGCACAAGCTTAGCTGTATGCAAAGCTTCCAATAGTTTTTCCAAAAAAAGAAATCACTCCATTGCAACGTACAGATAAATTTTTAATCGAGGTCCTTCCAGCTTGTAAGGGTTCTTGCTCCAAATGGGTCGCTCTACTCCAGGCTCTTTGGGGTGTCGATCAATGGGGTGGTCTTTAGTTTATCTTCCCAAGTTTATTATTTTACATCTACCCTGTTGTTTTCATTCACTTCTACCCTTAGTTCTTTTTCTGTCCCTTACCACTTTCTTCTCCGACTTGCACTGATTCCTCGATCCAATTTACTTTTCCACCAATCCCAGTCCATGAAAGATGTTGATTAATGACGTTTACTTTTTATAATTTCATTCACAATATCATTTAAATTATTTCCCAAAATCTGCTATTTTCAGGATACTTGGCTTTCTGAAGGGTGTTACATTTGACAAAACTTAGCTGTAGATGCTTGCAGCGATAGGAGGAAAAGGCGCAAAAGTTTTACATACACGATTTCTGTTCAGCATTTCTAGAGGAATTTTTAAGTTCATATACTTTTTTAAGATATGCACTTATATTTTGATTGTGTACAGTTTTCATTTTTATTTTAGCATTGTTTTATCTAACCAAGGGGGAAAGTTTTCTTTCTAACCTTCGGACAGAATGTTCAGATAATTCCAAGCATGAGTGTGCCACTGAATTAATTGATTAGCCATTCCCCTTGAGAACCTGGCACCTATTGAATGTAAAAAATGCCAGAAACTACTTGGGGGGGGGGGATTAGCACAGATTGAAAATCTTGTAGATAAACCAAGGGTCATGTAGTGAGAGTACTCTGCATGATGCAGGTACCTGTTAAACTGCACCTTGTGGTTGATTTGAATGATCTCTACTGTACTGTAACTATTGACTGATGTGTCTTGTCAGCTCTTTTCTTTCTCATAATTTTACACTGAAAAAAAAAAAAATATTGCAAATTTGCACTATCGATTGTTTGAAGGCAAAGATGTATAGTGTAAATATTTTTACAACTTTGCTGAAACGCATGCTCTGCAGAATATTTAAAAACCAAACAAAACATGCGTTTTTCTCGAAAATATGTTCATGACGTGGGTGGTTTATGTGGTGTTACCCTCAACTGAGTAGTTCCCAGAGAGCATTTAGAAATTTTCTTACATGCGGAAACATACGTGAACCAGTAGTTAAGTTTATGAGAAACTTGCTTTTGAAAAATGAAGAAGGATTTACCTTGAGACTTGAACCTAGACAAAGAATAACATCAGCCTGATTTGCATTGTCTGAAGCAGTTTTCCAATTGAGTGGCCATTGCAAAACGCCACGTTCACCAAAATGAACGATGGTATCGCACAACGGTGATCCACAAAAGTAACATAACCTTAACGTTTCATGACTATATCTTGCTGTGTGCTGCGTTACATCAAATAAACGCAGGTAAAACCGGATCGGTTCGCAATCATGACAAACCTGAAAAATAAGTAATGTATTATTTGGATGTTAATATTTTAAAATGCTTTTTCCTAAGTAAATGATAGGCAACTTGTCCATGAAAACGTGAAAACTAGGAAATTTATTCATTTTTAAATACGTTCAAAATAGCAACTTTGACACCCCCACCCTCCTTAATTATGAAGGGGGTTCATTACTTTACAGAAAGAGTTGGTAAAATAAGCATGGAAAATTTAAGCTCCATCCACGAGGAGCCTAAATAAAATCATTTAAAAATAACTGCTTTAATTCAGCGTTGGGGAGAGCACTGACAAATAGAATTCTTCTTTAAGTTAATCCTCTATAATAATGACCTAAAGATAATTTCTTTTGCCTGTTTCCTATAATTTTAGTGTAATTGTCTGGAATGAATTTTACTATTATTATCAAACGCAAGAACTTTCATTTCATTAAGGTATCAAAGAGGCAACATCTTCCCACACATAAACATCAAATATTCAGTTTCGCCTCCCTTAATCAGCCGATTTTCCTTTATGTTTTGGTTGCATTTTGTGCATTATGTTAGTACTATTAAACGTATCTTACCTCTAAATACATATTTCCATGAATTTCAGACAAAGCTGAGCGTGGCAATCCACTCCGCAGATGGAGACCATCACAATTTTGAGATACAACATGTTTCAAGATTTTTTCTTGATAGAGTTTAAATAATGCCATGTGGGTGAGAGTTGGTTTGGCAGCACTCAGATCATGCAATCTGCAAATTAGTTATTTTTTTTTACCAATATTCAAAATTATTAGGTTACACTGACAATTGGAGCCTACGGACCGTTCTTCTTCAATCTTGCTCTAATGATATGGATTTAAAGTAGGCAAAAATAAGGTACATGCATTATAATTCAGCTACTTATTTTAAAACTGGACTTGAAGTAAAAATATTCTCCCTGACCGCTGAAAATTTTAGTAGAATCCTCTATGTGCATTGCCTATAATGCACTACGATTACCTATTTTGACTAATCTTTAAAGTATACTCGATGGCACAAGGATGTTGCACTGGCTTTATACCAGGCAGGCAGTAAATCCAATGCGCCCAAAAACTCTTGTATTATGCGATCTTTTCTTCCCTTTCCGTTGCACTTTCCTAAATTTTTCATGGGGATGGATTCTTTTCCACAAGTTTACTGGGTCACAATTAAATATATCTCACTTAAGACCCCTACATCTCATAATATTTACAAACTTCATTTTCGTACTCAGTACTGCTAGTTACAACAGTTTTACTTCATTCATTTACTTTTATTTGTTGAGCATTAATAAGTCAAATATGATGCGACTCTTCATCTGGAGAGCCTATTCATAGGTCTGTCCAATAAATCAATCTGTTTCTAAAAGAATTATGCAACAACCCATCCTCATACTGGAGCTGTCTTCCTCTATCAAGAGTAGAAGAAATCCATTACTTACCCAATATCTTTACCCTGCTCGAGAAGAGTCCATACTCCATTGCTTCCACGATAATCAGGAATCCTGGCTGCTGTACTGACACCCGCACCAGTGTACACAACCAAATGTTTTGACTGCGATATTGCCTTAGCCAGAAGAATGCACTTATTGTTTAAGACTTCTGGAGGATCTTCAAACTCCTGCAATCGATCTTTTAGTCGCTGTCTCTTGAGGAGTCTGGAAAAGATACCGAGTTTTATTGTAGGATTGGCCAAATTATCAAAATAGAGTGGAAAGAGGTATGGAAGAGTACAGTAGGGTAGAAAGGAATACAGTAGAGGAGAGTAGAGTAAAGCACGTAATGTGTCACAGATAATCCGATCATGTTTCTTTGGCGAATTGTCATGCTGCCTTCAGCCAACTTGCAGAGCGGACTGGTATCATTTTAGTGCCTTACCTTAACACTCAGTCATATACTGGTCAGGATTAATTTGCCAGTATCGGCCACTTGGACATATTTTTGCCAAACAGAACCAAAGGCCAGTGGGAAAGAAGGGGTGTGCTCGTAAGTCGGGGGTTGTAAGACTGACTGGGAATTATAAAATGGTAAATAATAATTTTAAACAAGAAACATTTGGAGGGATTTTCTCGCAAAATGTGAGTATCATAAACGATAGGTGCCCATGTTCTACAAAAGTCATATTAGTGAAAAAAATATCACTTAGGTGACAAAAATAGATCAATAACTAGTCTTACTTTTCCTTGACTTCTTGCACGATGTTATCATCCTTACATAAATATTGCAGTTCTTCCTCTGTGCGTTCATGCTCTGCTTTCCGCAAAATTGCTGAGATCTGAAAATTAAGAGTAAAAAATTTAAGTTCTCTGTTTTATACAAACTAAATATTAATGGCACAAAAATATTAAACGATGTGATTGCTGTTTTTGCAGACTACAACAGCTTTTAGTCCAATTTGTAAAAAAAAAAATCCTCTTCAGTTTAATTGAGCCATTAATAAGTATTTGAAGAAGTCCCTAACAATAAGAAAATTTAACTTAAAAAAAAAAAAAAAAAATTAATAAATAAATAAATATCAACATCTTCAAATGGGGATCCCTCATTTGTGATACATCGTTAGAGGGGGTATCCAGCGTTCCATTTGCCTGTCTCGATATATGTACAGTTACATTAGTAAAATCATTTTCCTTAAAAAAATATTAATTTTTTGAGGTTGTGATTGAATTTGATACTGCATGTTACTGAGGTTAGAGTGCTGTACGTAGTTGATCATACACTTAACAGCTACTCAAGGTAAATAGTGATCACAATAATTGTTTTTCCAAAACTATATTGATAAGTGACATTGGTTTATCACAGTTTAACCTCAAAATGCATTATTTTCCAGATGGTCACAAAATCACCGTAGAAAGTAGAAATTATACTGTCATCTGTCGTAGGCGTACAAACACATGATTCGATCTAAAAAACCTCATTCCCTCACTGATAAAGGCATTAGTGATAAGAGTGGCAGTGAAGAGTTATTCGTCAGTCTACCTAGTCTGAAGTGCTCAGCAACTAAGGATATCAACCAAACTTTTAACTGCTAAACTACCTGCTACTGTGAACGCAGAGCTCTCAACAATGATAATTCTATAGCAGTGTGTAAACTCTTGTACTACTTGGTATTGCGGTTAAGACAGGTTCCTCAACTGTCTTACTTTCGACTGTTGCCTGTGAAAAAATCTGCGGTCTGCGGAAGAGGAGCATAACAGCTGTTCCTCGCTCGTCTGCAAGATCAACCACTGGTCCTTGAGAATAACATCGGTTTTCAACTGATATTCAGATTAGTTGCATCCTTAGTTAAGATAAACAACGAAAGATTATACCAAAATACAGCCAATCCTTAAGACCTATTCAACTGTAAATGCTTGCGGACGCAGTGAAAAGCCCTTACTGTTTCCATCTTTGGACATAACTTCCTGAATGAAAGTGTTAGATAAATGAGCGAGAGGTACATTACCTTTTTATGAGATGCATCTCGCGTTTTCTTGACGCAGAACGTAACTTTCAAGGCAGCTTTCCTTTTCAAAAAAGAGGGTTTTTCGGCAACTTTCTTGTCATCCATTACCAAATGACACTGAAGGAGAACTGGGCAACTGGGTAAATTGACTATTTACTCATCTGTAACCTGCAGAAAAATGGACTTCTCTTGCATGGCACTGCATGGCGCGTCGGTCAATCGAATCAATCGCGTAACTTACCGTAATTGTAATAATTTAAGGGCACCGAGTCCGAGAAGTCAGAGGACATAATAACGTAGAACGTTGGTAAGTAAAGTAAGTACACTGTACTTACTACTTAGCAAATGCAGTTGAGTGCATTCATGTGCGGTGCGCCCAGTGCAATGCCGCGCATTACCACCTTGTGACGTTCGTGAGGTACAATATGGCGTCGATATTCTTCTCTTACGAAATCTATACTAATAATATTAGAATAAGGACTGAGACTCCCGGATTGGAAAATCAACAATTACGTCCATTTGTTTGGCGTAATTTTATAAAAAATTCAATACCAAACACTTTTTGTAAGTATGACTCTTTTCTGAGAAAGCCGATGAGAAAAAATAGTCTGTACCCTCCTACGTCATCGACGAAATCCAAAATGCCCAAATGTTTCTTCCATGGTTTCTTCCAGTACTTATGTTTTTTTTTTCACCGGAGCGGAGCCATTTTTCTTTTTATAGGTTATCACAATACCATCTACCCATACCTGGCCATTGGAGAATACGTGTGAGAGTGTGTGAGTAATAGCTCCCGACGTAGACATAGCGGCCATAGCGCAAACGGTCGTTTCTTCATCGAGCTCCACTTCAACATCACGTGGAAATGTGAATTATTTTAGTTTTTCTCATTATTTTGGTGTCAGGACTTATGGAATCATGAAGTTTAAGGTAAAATGTGCAAATTGTCAGGTCTTAGTAAAGGACAACACCCCAAAAAGTTGCTTAACGGCTCTGGGGTTCTACATAGACATTATAGTTCTCCTAGCGAATCCAAGAGATACTCTTATATTCAGCTTCTTTATCTCTACCCATTCTAAATTTTTCTTGAATGGAATGTAACAAAATGTGTTACAAAATAAAATTTCTACCTTTAAATCATAAGAGTTGAAGTGGTCCCCCCCCCCTCCTTCAAATAAATACTAACTTGCACCGAAATAAGGTGAAAAAACCAATTTTTCTCAAAGGGGCATGTATTTAGGAGTCTATTTTACTCGCTACTTTGCGGTTGGGACCTAAACTAGCATCACTCAGCGTCAGGAAGACATCTCGCTTCACGAAACAAATCTTGTGGATGATCACTTGCCTTGTATTCCCCATATGACTCCACCACCATTATTAAATATTTTTTTTCTTCCATTAAAACGCAATTCGGTCGCATATATTTAGCTCAATCGGTCTACCTTGCTTAGAGCCTTCGTAACAAATTTTTTTCCCCGCATTCAAGCACTTTTTATGTAAAAAGAATCAATTTTTGTAAGTTCGCCCTATACAATCCCGTGTATTCTCGGGAGTTACGAACATTTAACCTCAAACCCATGGCCAGGTATGGGTAGATGGTATTGGTTATCATCGCTGAAATTCATTGTAGGGATGTCGATTTTTTTGAAAAAATCGATTACGCGAATCGATTCGATTTTTTTCGAAAGATCGATTAATCGATTTAAAATCGTACCTCAAAAATCGATTTTTAAAATCGAATCGAAAAAATCGTTTTTTCCCCGCGCACGAGCTAATTTCAGGCTTAGAAATTTTTAAAGTGAAAGAAAGTTCTACTAGTGGCGTTAATTAAATCGGTAGGTAGGATAAAATAAGTAGGTAGTGAAAGTGAAAGTTCAACTAGTTCAAGGAATGTTTGACGTTTGACCGTTTTGACGNTTCGTCACGGTTTCTTGCATGGTTGAACTGATGTGAGATATATCACAGGGAATAAGTTAAGTATAAATCTTGGCAGGTTTTGAATTATTACTTAGTCATGAAAAGGATGGTAGCCTCTCTGCATGAGCCTGAAGAATCATTCTAAACCATAAAAGCGGCTAAATTCAAAGTAATGACCGCAAAATATTGTTTGGAAATAAACCTAGCATATGATAACTATACTGAATACAAGTTTTCTTTCTAAATATTATTCTGCTTTCATTTCCCTGAATTTTGCCAATTTTTGGTTTAGAATGATTCTTTAGGCTCATGCGTAGGGGCTGTCGTCCTTTTTTTGGCCAACTATTAAAAATCTGCTGAGACTTTTGACATAATTGAGGTGATATAGCTCATGCCAGTTTGACCATGTCAGAGACCTTGATGAATCACCGTACTTAAGTTTGCAAACTGTGCAATGTGGAAAGTTTAGCAATTAAATTATTTCTCTTGAAGAAAAATTCAGTGAATTTATACAAAATGATTCTTCACTAAATGAGGCTCTTTATGTCATCGAATACATCTAAATACTAAGCTAAGTAGTACTTGCTTTCATTTTCAGCTGCTTCAAGCAAGTTATAGTTTCTACACGTGGCCCTCTGCTCCAATACTCGCTTGGTTTCTGTGGGAACATCGTAACGAGTTAGCCGGCAAGTACATCGTTGAACTAGGAGCTGGAACTGCTCTTCCAGGTATCCTAGCTGCTAAGTGCGGAGCTGTCGTTACACTGACAGAAAGTGCATGCTTACCCAAGAGCATCCAACATATTAAAAGGTTTGTCCATCCTCTCTTCTATGACCTCTGAACCATCTGTTATCCACTGAGAGGCTTCAAGTCCTTACTCTTGGAAGCAGTTAAATTTATCTATCAGAGTTCATTATTGCTTGACCAGGGTGTCTAGTAGTTCGGAACCTCGGGACATCGTACTGATTTTTTAAGGATGGTGCGGTGTAGAAGTGGTGAAAAAAAAAGCGGAAATTCTGCAAGGAGGCTCATAATTTTTTCCTTCATACCATGCATGTTTTTAACCCATTCCCCCCATTTGACGAGTATACTTGTCAGCGCGTGCGCAGGACGTATCTCAGTTGACGAGTTAATTCACAGCATCTATCGGCGTTGCTATGCGATTTTTTTGGTAGTGTTTTTTCGCTTTTCCAATACTTAGATGGCATCTCGAGCGTTGCAACGCCGACAAATGGTGCGAATAACCTTGTCAGCTGAGACAATGTCCTAAGTGCCCCGACGAGTATACTTGTCCTATGAGGCGAGTGGGTCAATGAAGCCTGGAAAGGATACAATCCCCTGAGCGTTGATTATCAGAGTAGTACTTGCCTGCAAGATTGCAATCGTGCTGTCAGTTAATCTTCAGGCCACCAATGAAGTTCTGTGTCTGTGTCATTTTTGTCCCCCATTTCAGTGAGAATTTCAAATTGTTGAAATTTCGTGAAGTAGAGGTACTGAAAAATACTGAATTTAATTGTTGAGGAGGTACTGAGTTTCTTGGGAATGCACTGAAGAAGCACTGTAGAAGTATTGTTTTTGGATAGCCTGTCGTAGTAGACACCCTGTTGACATTTTATGTGCTCTTAGTTCCATGAAGACTACTGGAGCTAACTCAAGAGCCTAGGAGAGTCAGCAATTAAGTTTACCGGGAAGAGTGGAGAAACATTTGTCTCTGACAGCTGTAGATGCTGGGAGGAGGCTCTGAACTGTCTGTTCTTGGAAGAAAGATTTGCCATCATTAAGTACTATTACGCTTCCTGGATACATTTAAGCGGTGTGCTTGGATTCAGGCACTGTGAATTCAAGTACGAAAATGTTTATGAAAAATCCATGAAATTAAGGAAAGATGGGACGATTTTTAGAGCTCTATTCAATTCAGCTCAGTTCGCGCATCATGATTTACTTTAGTTAAAATCAACAAATCTCCTCCAGCTTCTACAGACTTCAGCTTTCATTACTATTATTACAAGGAGGAACTCCAAGACATGGTATCATTTTCCATAGCATTACAACCTTAAATTCTCTAATTTACTACTGGATTTTGAGGGAATTCTCTACCCAAAGATAAAATGCATAATTCGATGGCCAAAGTGTGAAACCACATATCTCGGTTTGTGACATTGCAGACTTCCTATCATACTTTGTTTTTTCTTTGGAAAACTAGTCAATGTAATTTCCTGAAAACTTCCATGATTTCTCTTCTCCATCACTAGAATATTCAGTGTACATTTCAAGCTATGAAGCTGGCTTGTTTTTATTTAAAGAATAGTAAAACAGGAATAAAAAATTTTGAAACATTGCCATGGAGATACGTCGTTTTACACTTCGGCAATCGGTATGTAAGCATTTCAATTAGAAATTTTATGAAACTCTACACTATCTTTCTGAGTAGAGGTCCTCGTAATAAAATGGAACTTACAAGAGCTAATGCACCCAGAACTGAAAGAAAGATAGCTTTGGTCATGCCTCATTTCGAGTACTTATTCCTTATTAGAAGTAAGTAGTACATGATCTAGAATGAACTGAAGTGGAATGCTCATCTGTTCCAGGTGTTGTGAAATCAACAACCTTCAGCAGAATCAAGTTCGTGTTCTTGGTCTTACGTGGGGACTCTTCTTGTCTAATTTAATTGATCTTGGACCAGTAGACCTCATCATAGGATCGGACTGTTTCTATGACCCAACTGTATTCGAGGACATAATTGTCACAGTTGCGTTCATCCTTCAAAACAATCCCCATGCAAGATTTCTGTCAGTTTACCAAGAACGCTCCTCTGATTGGACCATAGAGCATCTCCTCCACAAGTGGAACCTCAGCTGCGAACACATCCCAATCGATAATCTTGGGGCTAGCGTTGGCCTGGACATTAGTAATTTGATGCAAGATCATACAATCCATCTGCTGGAAATCAGGTGTAACTGAAATCCCACATTGCTGTGACATTGAGAAGTTGCAAAGAAAATAAAGAGTGAAATTTTTACTGAACATGAGCAGTAAAAGATTGTCACTTTACATCGCTAACCTTCCCTGGACGGTCGGCAACCAAGAGCTCAAGAAGTACTTTTCTCAATTTGGCAAAGTAAAGTGGCAGAACGTGATATTCTCCAAGCAGGACGGGTTTTCACGAGGGTTTGGATTTGTGTCTTATGAATCACAAGAAGCTCTTGACAATGTATTTCGAAAATCTAGACATGTGTTGGAAGGCAACCTTTTGAAAGTTCAAACACGGGAAGTTGACATCCCCGAAAGAGATTGATCATAAAACACTCAAGTAGTTTAGGCTTACCTCCCACAGAAATAATTTTTATACAATTTTTTTTCCTAGAATTTTAATTCTAAAAAATGGCCTCATGTAGTGATGTTGAGGAACTCTTTGCCAAAGCAACAGAGTACGTGAAACGTATTGCTCCAACTCTTGGCTCTCAGGATCTTTTAGAATTTTATGGCTACTACAAGCAAGCAACTGTCGGTCCATGTAAGGAAGCAAAACCAAGTTTTTTCAGTTTTGAAAGTAAACAGAAGTGGAGTGCTTGGAGTAGATTAGAACAGTTATCTAGCACTAGTGCAAAGCAAGCTTATTGTGAGAAATTAGCCCTGATTGACCCGGCTTGGGAGGAAGAATATGAAACCGGGGAAGCTCCCAAACTTAGTTGGGTTGCAACGAGCTGCCTTCCTAATTTAGACGAAGATTTAGCTGAAAATGAGAAAAGTATCTTTGATTGGGTAAAAGAGGGCAACATTGAGAAAGTCAAAGCTAATGGTTCTGCCCATATCAACGAGTTAGATGAATCAGGGCTTGCAATGCTCCACTGGGCAGCGGATCGAGGTAATTTGCCTATTGTCGAGTTACTTGTATCTTTGTTGGGTGCTGATATCAATTTGAAGGATTGTGATGGCCAGACGCCACTGCACTATGCTGTTTCTTGTGACCATCTAGATATTGTTAAGTTTTTGCTGGCCAATGGTGCCAAACCTAATTTGCGAGATGATACCAACATGACGCCAGCTGATTTGTCCGATAATGAAAAGATTAAAGAGTTGTTGAGCAGTATAGCTTGTTCTATGAATTAGGTGTTAATAAATGGAAGTGTTCCAAAGCTACTGGGTATCCATTATTTATATTTATCCCAATTCCTTTTTGCAGAAATGCCTAACAATCCATGAATACTCATTATTCCTAATTCATGGTTCTGTCATGAAGTCTCTTAATCTCAATTTATGGATTCATTATTATCACTCCCCGGTGCCAAAGACATTGATTTAAGCAATTAAGTACAAATCAAACAATGTAGCATCACTTATACGCTTAGATCGGAAACTTAGCACTTGAGCTACTAAATGAGAAAGGCTCCAATTTAAAATGTTCAGACTGATTAGACCTTAATTTTTTCTTCAAATCTTTGTGGTGTGCCAGCAATTTATTTGATCATTTCTTGATGAAATCCAAATCAATTTGAGTCAGTGGCTGGGCTATGAAAGACAGCATACCTCTCATTTGTAGTCAGTTCAATGTTCGGTAATTTATTTGATCATTTCTTGATGAAATCCGAATCAATTGGAGCCAGTGGCTGGGCCATGAAAGACTGCATATCTCTAATTTGTTGGCAGTTCAATGTTGGGTATTCAGTCTTTCATGGCCTGGCTGGAGGACCTTAATCTAGGCTGGGCGTCCATAGAATTTCAGCGTTCGCTGATTACTCCAATACATTTTTAATCAAAACAAGGGACTGAATACAGTGAAGGAACTAGTAAAAAAAAATACAACCCAAGTCAGTTCATTTTTTCAAAAGAAATTGATGTCAGTTGAGAGGCAGTCGCCACTAAAAGTGGGTACAATTAGGATATTAAGATTTCACCTTTTAAAAAAATTTCGGGCAAGGCCCTTCCGACCCTTCATTTTTGGGTTGTCACTCCTACTGAATACCCATTAGATATGGTGCCATGCTGCTGATCAAGACTAACATGGAAATAATAAGATCGGAAGTCTGGAGCCTTTTTTAAGCAACTTTATGCCTTCGAGCAAGGTAGATTTATACAGGTATGGACAAGTTGAAAATTTCCCATGAGCCTCAGTACGTGTCACATGACTACGTGACGTAGCTTAAGGGGCCCGTTTTTTAATTAAATTACGATCAAATTAACATTCAAACGTTTGTGCGTTTAAACGTTAAAATTAATATCGCATTATCAAGATTGTGCAAAAAATCCTACAAAATTTTGACAAACGATAAACCGAACATAATAATTCAAAATAATCAAAGGGGTCTCTGGAGAGCCAATCAGAGGCCAGTTGTTTAGTTCTGTCCATACCTGTGTAAATCTACCTTGCCTTCGAGTTGGAAAAAAAGGTGTCCGTCCCCTAATATCAATAAGTGCCAAAATGCAGGGAATGTAAAAAAAAAGGCGGGCCTGGCTTCAAGTGTCTGCTGAAAAAGGATCCAAATCCGTAAGTTCTTCCAAAGGGTTAACACAAGGGATTGTTGAAAGTTATCAAGAGATGAATAATCTTCATTCAGGATGCTCTAAAAATTTGTTTTGGTTGATTTTGAACTTCATTCAAGTTAAATGGGAAAGGATATGGGGTTTCACGGCTCTCCTAAAGGTATGTTGTGTCATACTTCAGACATATTCCTTTTCTTATTAGAATTTTGGTATAGAATTTCAGTTCTAAGTACTTGCATAAGACTCTTCCAAAAATTATTAGTAAAAATTGGAAAAAAATTTAAGAACATGTTACATACCAGCCCAGAAAATTTATTGAATGATTTTGACTGCTTACAAATAGAAAAATTGAACATTCAGTGGGTTTAAAATACAAAAAACTGTCTTTCGACAAAACCATCAGATGAGAAAGGCCGGGCTAAGTCATGCTGACTTGCAAAATATAAATTACACACAGAGAAAGAATTATAGGAGCTGATTTTACTTAAATAATTTAACTTTTTTCCCACAGTAAAAATTTAGTGTCTACGTTTTACAGAAAAAATTGATAAAAAATTGACAAATTGGTAATGGATAACTGAGCCATGAATAGTCTGATGATTGGAGCTAAGTCTAACTTAGTATAAGTTTAAAAAAGACTTCAAACCTAAATGTTTAAAATAGTACAATGCAATTACAATACATCGGAACAACTTACAAATGAGAAGGTAATTAAAAGTTCAATAAACAAAAAGAAGAAAACAAGTTTTAATACTCGTCAATAGCAGCATTGACTTCATCCACAACGCCCACTAACTTTTTCCATTGAGCAGCTGATAAAGATATACCTGAAATGAAAAATTAAAGAAAAGCGATTACCACCTGATAATTGATCTAAAATTATGCTGCAGAGTGAATTTAAACATGGATGATACTTGCAATTAGGCAGACTTCTCATTACAAAAGTAAGGACATTTATCAGATTAAAGAAACTGTATAAATTTTCAGATCTTGCTGAAATCTTGAGACCAGTTATGGACACTGATGTGCCATTTGGACTAGTCTTTCTCAAAGAAAAGTTGGAATCGGTTATAAGGGGTCTTCAACTTCAACTCCCCTTCACCTCAGTTATGGGGGAGGGGGAGGGGGGGCACCAAAAATTAGAATGCTTACTGTGTGGTCTATTGTTGAGGATAGCATAAAAAATTGAAATGTTTGGCAATGAGTATCGATTTTAATGTGATGGTTGGTTGGAGTTCAAAATTTCCGAAGGCTGTTAAGGGGGAGGACCACACATTCAAAGTGAAGCTTCAAAGTTATGTCTGTTTATCCAAGCGTTGCTATCAATTACCTTCAAAGGAGAGCAGCCTGCTATATTTTGACGCATCGATACGCAACACTTGACTAAACAGCCACCATTTTGAACGTGTATCCAGCCCTTAAAGCATTGTAAAATGTTAAAAGATTAAAAAATTGCTGTCATGCCGCAGAGAAGCAGCAAGCTCCTGAGTTGCAAATTGAATAACATTCAGACAATTATGATGCATCATGTGAAATTTCAATGGGCTTTGATTTTCCAGATACATTTCATAATTGACGTATATGTAGCTAGAACTTTTGTTTAAACCTACAACACAGACCAAAAAAAAATACCCTGAAGTTTTGATTGCTAAACTTCATTAAATTTGGATTACTGAGTCCAAAAATGAATTCTATTTTTCTTATGGGCCCCTTTTTTTGCTTGCAACCCTATTCAGAGATATAAGTAGGCCCCTTTTTTTTCTATGATGATGAACTGACGATCGGACAAAGTTCCTTTCATCGCATAGCCATACATCACTACAAACAGGTGGACAACATAACTTCACCCTGCATAAATAGAAAAAAATTGAGTTACCTTTTCTGCCTGGTAGAAGATCACCATCCTTCTCATAGAATTCTCGGATGTCAACCATAACTTTGCCTTTGAACTCTCTGACTTTCACAAATTTCATCTTTTCTAGTAGCCATGAATGTTCTTCTTCTTTATTTTTTTGAGGCTTCTTTTCAGAGGTCTTGGATTTTTTCGCAGGTTGTCTCTAAAATTTGAGAACAATTATTAGTTACCTTGGGTAATATTAGGTTAGAATCATTACGAATTTCAGGATATGACAAAGGATAACAAATTGAGAGAGAGAAAAAAATCGAACATCTATTTAAAGGTTTGAATTTTAATGAGATAATGCATTGATTTTCCACAGAAGTGACACAATCTCATAGACTCGGGTGAGAACTGGACTTGGAGAGTCAATGGGCTTGTGCACTATCATGAGTTACAAATTCCTTGATTTTCCAAAATTTACAAAATTATAGCTCACCGTGAAGACTTATGAAAAAATAAAGCATGGCCACAGACAGCAACTAATTGGGGGACTTTTTTCCGCCCAAAGAGCCTTGCGATTTGATTTCCATGATTGCCTTGCCCTTCTTGGAATTACAGACCAAATTTTAAAGATAAGTTCAATGAAAATTTAGGCCAAGGAATGAAGCAAGAGGTTTCTTCTGTTGCTTGACACTACAACTGAGAAAGCTCTCCAAAGCAGTAGTGTTAAGTAAAATGACCTCAAATCAACCAATCATCCCAAATTTCTTTCAGCAGCTTCATTCTGGAAGATCCTGATACTTCCAGATCACTTCTATTCCCTGATTTTCTCTATGTTGTCAACTTAGGCACCTGGATGCCATCCCTTCAAGTTAATGGACTGTCAGGTCCCTCCATAGAGAAAAAAAAGGAGGTGTTTGCATTTCGGGCATCTTGGAATAGTTTGATGACTTGATGACGTAGGTGGGTACAGCTGGGTACAGCGACGTCCCATTCACGCTGTACCCACCTACGTCATCAAGTCATCAAAAAATTCCAAGATGCCCGAAATGCAAACACCTCCTTTTTTTTCTCTATGAGGTCCCTCTACTTACTTATGATCCAGAAAGATACCCAAGACTGAGAATGCCCACTGCATCTGAAACCTAGTGCTTTCTCTGAATCAGAAACTTTGGTCTCTCTGGTTACAATTTCCGAAAGCTGCAACCCTGGAGCCTGTTTCAGATACCTTATCTTTTTCACAATATGTGCTACTGCTGAATAAGGATCCTGATGAAGGAAGCAAAGAGGGAAAAGTTATCTGTACGCTGTACGGCTCTAGAATGTGATGACTTCTAATGACTCGAGCTTCTATTTCCTCCCACCAATGTTGATATGAATTAACACGCCAGCTGCCAGCTATGAATGAAGACCCCTGCGCAGCAATGGTTTATCAGTTTCTCACGATTCAAATTCAGTTACTGAGATGTGCAAAAATGTTTTATCATTTAAGTAAATGATGAAAAGTTCGAAGTGATAATAGCAGAATATATCTTACATCTTCAGGACCGGAATCCGAGTCAGATGTATCACTCTTCTTGTTCTTCGGCATGGCAATTCCTCAGGACAGAGCAGTGCAAGATTTGGAAATTGGAGGTGATGAATGGTAAGAAAACGAGTTCGTGAACCCCAAATTCAATTCGGTGTTCACGTGTTGATCCAGGCCTTTTCAAATTCGAGGCTTAGGCTTCGTTGGACTTCGTAGGATTTGTTTCTGGATGGAAGTGACGGAGCTGAAACTGAACCTGAAACTGAAAGCGCAGCGATCGGTACGGGTACGGTAGCGGTAACGATTAACGAAATCACGACACGAACGCGGACTCGTAAATGATAACGTGAAACGTGAAACAAAAAAACCTGAACAAAAAACGTAACCGGAAAACGCATTGACGTATAATACAATCTAGACCGCGCATTACGAAATTCAAGCGAGACGATAGGCAACNCACAGCAAGTGTACCGGCGAGACAATGGTGGAATTCGTGGAAATGCCAGTCTTGCCAGTGCCGTTGCCTGATACGGGTACACTTAGCTCGTATATCCGGCGGTATCAACTAAGCTGAAGGCGCGTCTTTACCCCCCTAGCTGTCTTACCTTCCCCGCCCAAAGTCGGGCCCAATGCGCGGTCTAGATTGTATTATACGTCAATGGGAAAACGTAAACCGGCTGTTGGCGCGCGGTCTAAATGCGCCAATGGCAAAGCTGTACTGACCGACGTCACATATTGTGAGTATGACGCTAAAGATGGCCACGAAAATTACGCAATCTCATTCATGCTCCTCTTGCAGTGAATTTAGAACAACAACAACAGAACAACACACCAAGTAAATGGCAAATTCAGAGTGCTTTATCCTCAAGTTTGTGGAATCGGAATACATGCCATTATATGTGTTTGGTATTGCATTGCCTGCTAGGACGCAAAGTGACAAGATGTATTTAAGTGCGACGAATTCAGGAATTATTCTCCCTACGTTAGATTTTTCTTGCGAATGATAATTTTTTTTTTTCTTTTCGGGCGCCCAATGGCGGCTTGCGTTCACTTCATGAATGAACAGTAATTAAATAGTAGTAAAACAACCGTGATTCGTGTTTGGTGTATGTAAGAATTTAGGTTCAATGGTTTCAATGAACATGACACTGTCAAGTATAGTAATTCATTTGTTAGTTGTTGTTTTGTCCGGACTACCTCATGGCCAAAGTGGATCGGAGAGTCATCAGGTTTGTAAACGCTTCTTGTTTGAACCGTTATTTCATCATATTCATTTTATGAATCCATGTGGTGACATGGCCACCTGGTTCTCAAACTGAAAATTTAAATAGACTCATTGATTTCACTTTGCTCCAGCTCCGCAACAACATACTTTCTCAACTTTAACTTTTTTGAACCCTAGGTGACTTGTCGCAGACTGAATTGGTTGATCTGGCAGAATGGGTCAGTTGTGCTAGTCACAGAATGGTGCTTTGATGACCCTAGATTTTAACTTGACTCAAATTATGAAGTCTGTCCAAACACAAAGTTTTCCTATCCTATATTAACGGATAGGTACATTGCCTGTGAAAAAATACTGTGTATGGCATTATCCATTACGATGGCGAATAGAGTCTGCGCCAACCAAGTTTGTACACTTTTAGACTGTTGCTTCCTGTATTTTACCTTGAAAAATTGACAGCAAATGAGCCTCTTTTGCAGTTCACCAGTGCGTAGACTCTACTATGATTTCTGCAACCTTGGTCTTGTAAAGGCAAAGAGGCAGACAACACCAAAAGGGCCTTGAATGCCGTCCAGATTGAGCCTTTGAGGCTCATTTTGCAAGAGTAAAGCAACCTGTTGGCCACCCTATTACCTTCATGCTAATTAAAAAGAAAGAAGGAACTGTCATAAGAAAGGGGTAATAAAGGCTTATATTTTCATGATAGTGAGGTGCACACCTCAGCTGGATGTCTTTCCTAGAGATGTTCTATTCCATTTTTTTTCTTTATTTTGCAGAATCGTTTGGGCAGTGAGAGGACAGACCTGCTTCAGGATCAAGAGAGATCTTTATTACTTGTCTCCACATTAGATGGATCTTTCATCGGAGTTGACCAACAAACCGGGGATGTTCGCTGGAAAGTTAAAGATGGTATGTATGGCTTGAATTAATGGCATGATGATGCATTTCACTTTCAAAAGATTACAGTGGTGTGATATTTTTTTTAGATCTGCCAATAATTTGATACTTGATTAATTATATTTTTTGCTGATTCTAAATATGACCTGGTTTTCTCTGGGAAAATCAGATTTTTCCCTGGTAATCTAGCTTTTTTTCACAGAAAATTCATTTTCCTAGATAATCTGTGCAGGAGAGAGATCAATCCAAGTCAAATTTGGGTTCAGTTGCCGAAAATGCACAGGAATCCTGTTTGCTATTGCTGTTTTTTCTGTTGCCTGGTTTTTTGTGCGTCAGGCCTCTTCTTGTGCTCAAATTTTTATAGACCCTTGAGATCTTTTCCTGGACAATTTCAATCGTTTAACTCCCTACTTACATTTCTGTTTCAGAGCCAACTATTAGAATGCCTATAAATTCTGACAACTCTATCATGTAAGTTGCCCTAAATTTTTCAAACTACTATGAGGTATACATAGCATGAAATCTCACATCTATTGCTAAATTAGTTAAACCCACAAAAAAATTTTTCCCCCTCTATGTAGCTAATATCAAAACTCAACTAAAAAAATTTACCCTGTTTATCGTTTTAGCTCTCTTATTAGGGTCTAAGCCCTACTAAGCATAGATATCCTCCCTATGTTTAAGCAAACAGCCATTTCTTTCGAAAATCAAAATGTTACTTTGCACCAAAGTTGTACAAATGAGATATCTTTTAAGCAGTTCAAAGAAGGAGTATCCTAGCAAATAGCAGAGCTTCCCTTAAATTTGCTGAAGTCCGTATACCAATGCAGTGCTGCTTTTGTTTAGAAAATGTTTCTATAAGCAGGTTAATAGAAAATCTTCATGTTATGTTTCGATAAATGCACCAGATCTTTGGGAAAGTAACCAAGAAATTGTGTGTAAATGGACCTATTTGAACTGAGTCAAATCAAATTGTCAATCAGAAGAGCGGAGTGATAACTGAACGAACTTCAACATAAAATCCCACGGAGAAATGGCTCCCTTGCATCAGTATATATTCATCTTTTTTATTTTGCAGGCCAATGTTTTTGCCAGACCCAAAAGATGGATCTTTGTATATAATCAACAAAGAAAATGCTTTAAAAAAGTTGCCATTTACAATTCAACAACTAGTAGCATCATCTCCTTGCCAAAGCACCGATGGAATATTTTATACAGGTAGGTTGAACAGTCTTAGAAAACGCCTACATATCAGTGCCCTGTAGGTCATTGCTACTTGAGGGAAACAGCTTTTCCTTTGCCCTGCTAGATGAAGAACAGCGTCCAAAACGTACAATGCAGGGCGATGAAATAAAATTTTTGCGGGCAATGAAATAAAGTATCTTTATATCCGGGAAAATTTTGTTTTGATTTGCGGATGTGAAAAAAATTAGAATTATATTCCCATTCAATCCATTTTTCTGCTCTGTGCTAGTTTCAAACTGCTTAGGTATGCCATCAAAACTATCAGAAAATTCTCAATGACTTTTCCGGTCACCTCATTATCTCAACTCAATTGAAGAATCTGAAAGACACTCTGTACAGAATTAATTTCCATTTAGCAGTCTGATCCATGAATTTATGAATACTCAAAAAAGGCAAGCATAATTGATGTAGTATGAAATAACTCTCCATTGAATGCATCCAGTTCTCCAATAAAAGTAAGATTTTAAATTAGCAATGATCTGATAATTTAGAATACTCTCAGTCCAGCACCTACAATTTTTTTACTTTTATTATTGATGTGATGTCAATGAGCACATTCAGAATTTAACTGTGATCTCATGCGGTCCAGAATTGGTAGAGGTGAACTTAAATGGACTTTATGGCTATTAAACTGATGGTTGTGACGCACAGATTACATGATGAATTTATTTTTTTGATTGCTTGGTTTTCCTAATTTCATTTTATTTATAACTGCATCTTGAGCTGTTTCAATGTGTATCTTGATGGCAGTCTGAATGATCATCATTAAAATTATTTTACTGTAGAACTCCTGTAGGGTTGAAAGGGTCAGGAAAAATCTGGAAAATCAGAGGTTAGTCAGGGATATTTGCTCCTAGTCCAGGAAATCCTCATTTTTTTCTGCCTTTAAGTACAAGCCAAGTACATTGTCTTATTCAGGTTATTTGCAAGTTTCAACTTCATACTTACAACTGTGGTGCTTCAAAGTTTGCGTTGCTGTTTTTAAATTGACGTTTTCTCTCTCTCTCTCTCGCTCTTTTTCTTTTCTTTTTTTCTTGAGAAATCCTTCAGGGGAAAGTGAGGATGCCAAAGAAGTTCATGAGCATGGTCCAATGATGGATTAAGCAGGTAAATGTTTTTCCTTCAGGGAAGGGGGCCATGGATTAGAAATGGCTGTAAATTGGAGCTAACTACTATTACTTGCACTCTATTTAGTTCTTCTTTGTTTTTCAGGAAAGAAAATGGATAGTTGGTTCTCAATGAATTGGCAAACCGGAGAGAAAGAACCCATTTTCAGTTTTGATCAACCAGACATAACTTGTCCTGCTACTCTCTCGCCTGATGAAATGTTCATCGGGAAAGCAGGTATTACTTTTAAAATTTTACGCTTGTTTAAAGTAGTGTTGATCAATAACTGTATTTGGAATGTAAGATTTAACACTATATTCAATAAATGTCTGTACTTCACCATAAAATAGATCAGCACGAGGGAATGGAAACAAGGAGTTGATTACAACGTACGGACATTGGAGAGCGTTTTACCGCACAAACCTTTTTATTTACTATCACCAGGAAATAATTGAATTATTGTTTAAGATATGGCAACATCATCGACCTCTCAACAGTAGGTACACAAGTCATCTAGAGCTAATAATATCAGCTATTCAGACATGACATTCCATCATGGAGTAATATATAGGGTTCATATTATATCGTGAATGGGTATTTTGTACTCAAAGAGCTTCAAGCAAAATTTTTGAACATGAACTGGAATTAAATATAAAAACGTCATTAAGTTCAACAGTTTCAGGAAGGAAGAATAACTTAAATGAAAGAAAAGGGTACCATGATTTTATAAAGTGCACCATAACAAAGAAAAACGTAAGCAATATTAACAAACAAAAATTGAGAAAAATAGAATTGCTTCCTGCTGCGTAAAATGGTGAATCCACCCATATAGCAAAACGGGGTTGTACCATTACAGCATGTTACAATGTTAAGTCCAGAGTCAAAAAAATCTCTGGAAAGAGGGTCTGCTATGCCTAGCACGGTGAACGCTCAAAGTGTCCTTCTGTCCAATCTGTATCACCATGTTTAATTATCACTTTTTCCTGTCCTTTAGAATATAACATTGTGATGCACGACAACAAACATAAAGAGCGACGTTGGAACGTAACTTATGTTGGATACACCTCAACATTAATGTCAACAGAAGAAATGAAGAATTACAGTGAGTACTCAATTAAGTTCTTCAAGAGTTCATTCATTATTAAGTGTGGTCTTTCATGAGAAAAAATACCCTTATAGAACTACATTTTGCCATAAATAACTATTTCAGGCTCATTTTACTAACAGCATATGTACCATTAGTTTCCCCATACAGGTAGGTGTTGTTGTGAACAAGCCAAAGTCAGCAGACCAGTTCACTGGGGCAAATTTTTCAGGAGGGAGATTTTTGCCTAAGTATCTGGTTCAAAAAATTTAACTGAATTTCGCAATAGAGAATGTCTGAAAGGAATTCCATTTTTGAAATTTGCTTTGTAAATCAGCAATTTACTTTTGTTTGAGGTATTAAGATCTCTTTCCTACGAAGGGTTATAAATCCTTAAATTCTAAAAATTCCATTAGTCTGATGATTGCCTCTTCAGGCATAAGGATTTGAAAGAGCTGTTTCAAGGAGGAATTAATTTGTTTTGCAATGACATGACTGTAATGAACAGGCTAAAGACCATAAATACTTTTACGTATAAATGTGCAGAAGTATTTATGCAGGCTATAGACATGGAGGGGGGGGGGAAGTGTCTGATTCTTCAAGACATCACATTGGTTCATGAGGAAAATCCTGCCAACCGTTACACAATGGGTATGGTTATTTTTTTTATCTGAACCAAACCCGAATTAAACTTTTAACTTTCTTTTTGCGCAGCTATGATTTACCTTAACACTGATTTTGGAAAAAATTGTCTTAAAGTCAATTAGTACAGTTTGCCAGTCCAAAAAATGTTACAATGGACAAACGATTTAATATGTCGAAAAAGCACTCTGATCTGAATAAGCTCCACTGACTGTTATCTTTTTGTCTCAGAATTACGTCACTTTACGGGTAGCTCATCTGGACGGTTGGCAACTTTTGAAAATGCCTATGGATCTCTTTTGTGGACACTAGATGTGAACTCACCGATAATTGGATTGTACTTGAAGCAAGGTGATGTCATGGTATCAGTGCCGTTCACGAGCTTGGCAGAGGAGTCTCTATTGGAAATATCTAAATCTCAGCAGGCAAAGAACTTATTGTAAGTACAAGTTCAGATTTTCATACCTCTTAGCTCTCATAAAAGTTCTTGATTGCTCTGTTTGTGAACAAGCTGACTGGTGCTAGATTTCAGGCAAGTATTTAAGTATTTTCAGGGACCCTGCCATTGGTGTCTTTGTCTTATGTTTGATTTCTGAATTAATCATTTTTCAACAATGATACGTAAGCTAATCAAGAATGAAGAAGAAAGAGCCCCCTTACCCCACCCTATGTTTGCAGTGCACGGTTTGGTGATGGGTCAGGAAAAATTTGCCGGACACCACTCCAATTACCTAACAGTTAGCATTGTGAGGGGTCAAAGGGTCAATAATAGGAGCATATAAAGTCCAAGAGAAGTGGCATGTGTGCCGCAACAGAGCTTCATACAATTTACACTGCCAAGGGGCCGGGAGAGGGAATGTGGGCTGTAACAGGGAGGGGATGGGCAGAAGGAATGGAAAGGGAATCATTGTAGAACTGTTGGCAGACAAAGCTGTGTCATCCAGCAGTCAGTCTTCCTGACTGTATTTATGTATGCTTTAAAAATATGTTATGTTTCATTTCAAACTTACTTGAATGCACTTGAGAACAGAATTAAATATTGTAGTTTTAACTCTCAGAAATCGTCAATTTCCCTCTATAGTTTTAATTTATTGACTTAAAGAAAAGTTTGCAGATAAAGCTACACCTATATTTAACTTCTAAGAATATATCACATGGAATTAAGAAATAAGTAAAATACAATATCATTTTGTCGGAACTTTTGCAGAAAAGAAAGTTAAAAAATAATGTTCTTTCTCTTTTTCAGCCCTACACTGTACATCGGCAGACATTCCCATGGTATGTATGCTTTTCCAAGTCTGACAACTGCTAAGGATGTGAATTGGCCACCCCTCCTTGACGGACCCAAAGAAGAGATTTCCGGCTCAGTTATTGCAGGAGAAACTGAGACAAATCCTCTGTTTGGTCACCATCGCGTACCAGACTTCAGTCCAACACGATTGCTCCAAATTGGTGGGAGGTCAGACCTTATCATTCAGTCCAATTTATCTACGTTCAATCGCTCTGCATTTTTGCGTCCCACAGCCCAGTCTGTCCCTTCTTTACTAGAAGAAGAGGAAACAGATTGTGTTGATAATACCTTTCCATTCAGTTTTGTAAACTTACTCTTATCATGGGTAAAAAACCAAGAAAACTTAGCTCTAAAGTTTGGAATGATTGTTATTCTAGCTATGATGACAATAATGTTTTTGTATCTTAGAGCGCAAGTGCGGCAGCTAAAAGAGTCTTCCCGAAATTCTTCCAATGTTAGCTTCACAACGTCCATACCTGGTAGTATTACAGCAATTGCAGAAGAACTACCTGATGGAACGACCAAAGTTGGCAAAATCACCTTCAAAGTGTCAGAAATTTTAGGGAAGGGCTGCGAAGGCACTTTTGTGTTCCGTGGTGAGTTTGACAATCGTCCAGTTGCTGTTAAACGGTTGCTACCGGAGTGTTTTACTGTTGCGGATAGAGAGGTGTGCCTTTTAAGAGAATCAGATGAACACATGAATGTCATTCGTTACTTCTGCACAGAGCAAGACAAGCAATTTAGGTACATTGCATTGGAGCTTTGTGCAACAACCCTCTATGAATATTGTGAAAAAGGCACACTGAAGGATAAAATTACACCACTAGAAATTCTGCTCCAAGCAACCGCCGGTATCGAACATCTCCACTCTTTGAATATTGTGCACAGAGACATTAAGCCGCAAAATGTACTCTTGTCCATTCCTTGTAATCAGTCCGGCTCTGTCCGTGCGATGATTTCAGACTTCGGATTGTGCAAAAAGCTCCAAAGTGGCCGTTCATCATTTTCAAAGCGTTCAGGGATAGCCGGTACTGATGGTTGGATTGCTCCAGAAATGATTGCTAATAATACCCGCACAACATATGCTGTTGATATTTTCTCTCTTGGATGTGTTTTCTATTATGTTTTAACAGATGGTAAACATCCTTATGGTGATTCAATTCACAGACAAGCAAATATCATGAATAAGAATTTTAAAATCAGTGGTATCTCAGATATTCTCTTTGAAAGCTTGATATCAAGAATGATTTCTCATTGCGCATCAGAGCGGCCTCCAGCATCTGTGATAAAAGTGCATCCAGTTTTTTGGGACAAAAGTCATATTTTGAACTTTTTACAAGACATCAGTGATAGATTGGAAAAAGAGAAGTTCCATGTGCCAGTCATGATAGAATTAGAAAAAAATTCTCTACAGGTCATAAAAGGTGGTGACTGGCGACTGTTAGTTGATGAATATGTTGCATCTGACCTGCGAAAATACCGAAACTATAGAGGTGAGAGTTTAAGAGACTTACTTCGTGCCTTGCGCAATAAAAAGCACCATTATAGAGAGCTTCCTGTTGAAGCTCAGCTCAGTTTAGGATCAATACCAGATGAATTTGTAGATTACTGGTTGAAGCGCTTTCCAAGACTTTTATATCACACTTGGTCTTCAATGCAATTTATCAAGCATGAATCATCTTTGGTCAAATATTATGATAAGAATTATATGTTTCCGAAACCTAAAACGGAAGGTATTCCTGAATGGCTGCAAATTTGTATCGATAAAGAGCTGGAATTAGAGAAACAGTCATCTAACTCTTCAGCAGGAAAATTTTCACCAGCAAGCAGGGACTCCATTAAAGAAGATTCGCCTAAATCGAGAGTCAAGTCAAGCAAGGTTGATGAGCCAAATTGGCGGTTACCCTCAGCATATATTCCTAGTAAAGACTGTGATAATATTTCAATAGATGACTGTAATGAAAATGACACTCCTAGAAGTAAACCTGTGAAACCCCGTTATAGGCGGCGACCAAAGGTTGCTGATAATGTAACTTGGTGTTTAAAAGATGGGTCTCCAAATTCGTGACTTTCGTCAGAAGTTCATACTGCTGTATACTTTTTTATTACGTCTTTTCTGTCGATCTCAATTTCCCTCTTATGAAGCCTTTGGAGAAGTCAAGACCTAAAAAACAGAGGTATTTGGAGTTCAAAATTGTAATTTTTGGGATCATGATATCGTAACAAGTGATATTTCATTAGACTATGGGTATGCGATTATCCAAAAATCTCAAATATTCAAGTTGGAGTTCTAATTCTAACTGTTACTTCTATAATTGAACCTGCTACGTTTTAATTTTTACCAGCCATGACGTTTCTGGTTTACACTAACTGATATTGTACGATAATGTTACAAAGGCTTAAGATTCAACTGTTCAGAGCTAATATCTGGCTGGATGTCCTGTTGTACTCTCCAGAGAAATTTGGTGTCTGGTAATTGTATCTATCTGATCAATTTTCGGTATCTAGCAACGGCTTTTGCCTGTCCGATATCCGGTTTCCAGTATTTGATCACGTTATCTGTGAGACTGATTCTGGTCTCCAGTATCCCATCGCATCATCTGTGAGATTGATTTCTGTTGTGGATATCTAGCCACCACATCTATTTTCTAATCTCGATACAGGCTATTGACCTCAATAGTAGTTTCCATTCCACACTATGTGTGTAGTTGATTGTTCTCAATGATACCTTTCTAGTAATCCCATCAGCAAGTCTTTATCTTGCTATTGTATTATACTATCTAGAACCATACCAATTGCTAGTTTTTTCGGATTCACCCTAGCTCTTACACAAATATCTGCGATCATATTTCAAACGTTAATGTCGTTTCATCTTCTGTAGTAATCACAACGTCTAAGTGTCTTATGAATGGTAACTTCATCCTCAAACTTATTGTGTGTTGTATACATCAAGTTGCAAACTTCCCTCAATGTGCACTTCCAATGAATCGAATGTGCATTTTTTCTGGTTCTACACTTGTGATAATTATGATTATTATGCACAAAAATTAATTTCCTCTAATCAAGGTTATTGTTTGTATTTGCATCATTCCATTGACTGAAAATTTAAAACAAGGAATCATCAGCAAAAGTCATGAAATATTGGATTTTTGTACGTCAAATTTTTTAAATTTTTGGACATTGTAAATAATTTTTGTAGATATTTCTGAATTTAAAGTTTTGAGTTTGTCACTGTTTTTATTTTGTACACTTTTAAAGTGATGGAAATGAAGGTGATGTTGGTTTTATGAAAGGAAACTAGGCAAGAACTTGAAGAAAAGCAGGACGTTTTATAAGGCATTAAATGGGTTTGTTAATTCAATCTTCTATTACACATACAGATAAAACAACATAGAGAATTCAGGGAGAAAAGGGTAGATACATGCATAATACTCAAGTTGAGCCACAGAGTGCAGTACCATACAGATGAGCGCCAACAGGTGAAGTTAAGAAAAGTTTAAGTATTTTATTATGACAATGTCTTTTTTGCAAGGGGAATTTTTGACAGTTCTGCGTTTTCACGCGCAAAATTTTCATGTCAGGCAGAAAATTTTTGTAGACATCTCAGTCAATTTTGCCTCTTTTGCTGTGGACGCTTAAAGTAATTTCATCAAACGGCCAGACGATTTCTTTGTGCTCATAAGATCCCATTCTTCCATTTACAACCTCCGACACAATGACTTCTCTACCAGGTCTAATCTGTGCAACCTCCTTGTCTAGTTCTTCGAAGAAGTGATCCTTCACTGCAACATCACCATTTACCATGCAAACTTCAAACACTGTCACCATATGACAGTGCAATATTAGGTTTCTTTTTGATCTTACGAACGTCGGTAGCTTTCCAGTTCTCGATGCATTTCCGTAATTCTTTGCAAATCAGAATTGGAACACCGTGCTGTGCATGTGGATGTGTCTTCTCTCCTCTTCAGAATCAATCATGGTATCCAAGGTTTACGGATCTGTCTACGGTCTTTTTTCTTCGTTTCAGTTAGTCGTTGTCAACCCCATGATTTTCCATCTCCGTTACCACTTCCGTCCATTATCTGGAAATGCCCCGCAGATTCCAAGTTCCAAATAAAAGGGTCTGTTTCCGTTTTTTTTGTCGATTTTTGTGTTGAGTTTCATTGATACCAAGGCTAGTAGTTTTGGATTTTTTAACATTGAATAATTTCGTCTTAAATGTCTGTGTGGGGTCCCATTTTTAATCTGATCATTGAAATAAGCCGGACGCCAATGTTTAAGAAGAACTTACAAATACCAACAAGAGGAAGCTCGAAAACAAGACAATTAGATTTTAAAAAGTCTTGTTTTTAACCTTTCCTCTTACTATACACTGTGATTTTTTTTTTTTGTCTTATTTTCTTTTCCATATTTTTTCATCAATATTCAGATCTACTCCCCTCGTAATGCTTTCTTCGACCATTCTTCAACGGTGCTCTTTATTCAGTTTTTACAATAAGCGTATAAATTTCTTATTCTTTTAGTTAATTTTTGTTGTTGTTGTTTTTTTTAAACATCACTGGTGGTTTCAGTGTTAGATACTTTACAACCCATATTGTAAATGTACAGAGGTTTTTGTTTAAGATTTTTGTCCGAGTTCTTTTTTTCTTTTTGTACACTTCATTGTTACGAGTAAACTTTTAAAATAAATTTAATTCTTGTTAAATCTGTGGTTAACTTTAAATATTTTCCATCCAAAAGTCAGCATCATAACTATTCATTTATATCTTTTGTTCTTGGAATCGAACAAGTCTGAAAAAACAAAACTTGAAGTTTGGATAGTGTTCACTAAAGTATGAGGGATAACAAATCGGGTGACAAATGATCGGACTTACACGGAGAAAAGAACTTCATGCATGAGGCCCGAAATTCAGGTCTCATGTATCCCAGAAGCTCTCGGACTGCACATCCGCAAACTTGAGGTTCAGCTATCAAAGTTTGGATCACACATCTGAAGTAAGTATCTGATACTTGGGTTGTAATTTCTACCGAGTCAACCGAATTACTTCAGATGTGTGCCCCGAACTTCGGTAGGAAGACTTCAAGTTTTTGGATCCACGATCCGAAAACTTAAGAGATTATTATGACCTTAACGTCTAATCGAGGTTGCCAGATTGTTTGAAAATGTGGATATTTTACATTGAGTTAAATGGGGAAATGCGCTGAATTTTTAGCAGCATCTGGCAACAATGCCTCGAGTCCAACGAAGTTACTTCTCCATGTCCGCCGAAAAATACACGCCAAGGACCTGGGCGTCTACTCTTTGCTTCGCAGGCGCAAGTCACGAGTTTATGCATTTCATATTTTTTAAAGGTCGCTTGATTTACAAATTAAATTCAAACACATAATTGGAAAAATGAATATTTGAAGCACTGTACGAGGAAATATGTTCAGTTTTAAGTGAATATTATAGTCGAAAAGAAATATTGTGAAAAATACAAGTGAAAAATTAGCACTGAAGACAATAAACGGTACCTACCTAACGCAAATATAATTAATTTTGAAGAAAGATGAAAGTAAATATCAAGTAAAAATATACCCAAACGCCATATGAACAAAATAAATCAAAAGTAAATGAAATGAAGTTGAAATCCAATATACAAACTGACGCTTAACGCTGAATTTGACG